ATTCAGACACTTTAGCTGCAAACCTCACACACTTGACTCAAGTGTGCTGGAGATTGCTCATCTTTCTGTTGTGGTGCCAGGAGTCCCACTAGCACTGCCACTGGGATGGTACAGGAGTCCAACGTGGGACCCATGCCTGTAAGACAGGCATGCCCCCACTGAGACACGTGACTGGAACCATGATTCAGGGACACTCTTTGCTTAGCCTTTACTTTAATGTGATGCAGGCTATCAGGGTAATTTTCCTTCCTCACCAATCATTAAATTCACCTCCCTCAATAAAGGGACCACCATGGCTAAGATAGTTGGAAATGATTGCTCTGGATAAGAACTGTGTGCTGAAAATAGATAAAGGTACAAACATAAACTTCAGTTTCTGTATTGCAAACAATAATGCCCAAAAGGGGGAGGGGAAGGCAGAGAGAAAGAGAGAGAAAATGCATGCCATAGAGACAGGTTGGAGGGAGCAAAAATGGGGACATTGGTAGTGGAAAATGTACATTGGGGGAGGGATGGGTATTAGAACACTATAACTGAAACCCAACCACGAACAGCTTTGTAACTGTATCTTCCAGTGATTCAATTTTTTAAAATTTGACTTAAAAAATGTTTAGCTCCCACAAAAATTGCTCTTGAGGCATGGAAAATAATTCCAGTCTCCCGTCCTTAGAAAAGTGGTATTCACAACCTAAAAATGTATAAAAAGAATTGGATTTTCATTAGCCTTGATATATTCAGAAGAATTTGTGTCACATAGGCAAAGAGCAAAACGCTTGTCTTATGCTTAAACATCAGGTCCCTTTATAGACCTTCAAGGTCACCCTACCCTTCCATCTACTAAATTGATACTTCATTTTCAAATTAATATGTGACATCCTTTAAAGTTTGCATTTATCTTTTCCCAAATGAGTATTTTCTCTCAGATGGAATTTCTGGCCTTTGAAAAATTAAGACACAAATTCTGGGCCAGAGACATAGTACAAATGTTAAGGCATTTTGCCTGGCATATGGCTGCAGTCATGGCCCTGGTTTGAAACCCAGCACTGCAACTAAACTCAGCAGCCTCCAGGACGGAGCCAGAAAAATTACAAGGTGAGCCTGGTACCCAGAAAGTAAGGAAACTCTCAAAGAATAACACGAACATATCCAAAAAGACCTCTGGTAGCTTGAAATGGTTACCACAGACCAAAAAGTTTCCCTTCTCCCTGACTCACTTGTGAAGTTTTTCTTTTATTTATCAATGTAAAAGGAATGACAAAATAATAAAATCATTTGTCAGCTATTAGAGTAGTAACTAATTCAAATAAGCACTGGTAGCTATTAAATCTAGTGACTAAAATTTTGAGAAAAAAAAAACAGATATTCACAACGTCTCAAAGACAAAGCCTCAAAAGATATTTATACCCTGGGCAGAAGCATGGGTGGTCCCTGAGCACAGAGCCAGGAGTAAACCCCGAGCACTGCCACAGGTGGTGGCTCCAAAACTTGAATATAAGAATAATAAAAAAAGTGTTATGGGGCCAGAGGGATATACAGGGCATAAGGCACTTGTCTTGCACAAGGTTGAAATAGGGTGAATTCCTAGCACTACATATGGTTCTCTCAACACTGCCAGGAGTGATCCTGAATTCAGAAATTCAGGAGTAAGAGCTAAGCACAGCTGACTTGACCCCCAAATAAAAGCAAAGATAATCCATTCTTTCAGACAGCTCTTAACCAATGATGCATGTCAGCACGGACAGGAACACAACCAAACATGTCAGCAGATTTGCTGCACTGGGAGAACTCAGTACCACAGAGAGATGGGCCTGCCTCAGGGACATGGCTGGAAGCTCTGTGTGGAGACAGCAGCACACAAGCCCCAATAGAGAGGATGCTAACAAAGGAACTGACTTGTCTTTTTCAAAGTGTGAACGTTGCCTGGAACATAGCTCAGTGGTAGAGCGCCTGCCACACATGTGTGAGGCCCTGGGTTTGATCTTGGCACTGTAACACTGTCCTCCCGTTGTTCATCGATTTGCTCGAGCAGGCCCAGTAACATCTCCATTTTGAGACTTGTTGTTACTGTGTTTGGCATATTGAATACATCACAGGTAGCTTGCCAGTGCGGGCGAGGTACTCTCAGTAGTTTGCCGGGCTCTCCACCAAATAAATAGAAATATGAAAATCAATACAATGAAAGCAAAATTAAAGAACTGCTCCAGATTAGGAGACTAAAGAAAAATAGAATAAATGGACAAAAAAGCAGACTTGGGTTTCCTATAACTATAAAGAAACTGGCAGAATCTGAATGAAATCCATAGATTAGACATTAACATTAAAACAATTTTAATTTTCTGATATATTAGTTGTACAACAAATATAGAAAAATCACTTACTCTTTGGAAATACATACTAAAGTAGGAGTGACAAGGCATTATATATGCGACTTACACAATGTTTCAGGGAAGAGGAATATATATATATATCAACATTCATATTTACTTTGCAATTAAGAAGGGAAGGGAGAAAGGAAAAAGCAAATAGAGTGAAATATAACATATGGGGAAATGGTACCAGCAAAAAAAAATTTTGTGCAATTCTTAGACTTCTCTAAAAATCTACAATTGTCAAAATAGAAAATTTCTTTAAAAAATTAAAAAAATGGAGTGATAGCACAGCGGGTAGGGCATTTGCCTTGCACGCAGCCAACATGGCCAACGCGAGTTCGATTCCTCTGCCCCTCTCAGAGAGCCCGGCAAGCTAGTATCTTGCCCTCACGGCAGAGCCTGGCAAGCTACCCATGATATATTCGATATGCCAAACACAGCAACAACAAGTCTCATGATAGAGATGTTACTGGGCCCGCTCAAGCAAATCGATGAACAATGGGAGGACCGTGCCCATGACTAACAAAATGATACCAATTGAACAAAGTAAACCAAGAATTCATATTGACACAAGCAAAAGAATAAAGCAAAAGTTTGATGAGAACAGTCATTTACATGATCTTAAAGAACCTTAGTGAAAATACCAATAATTGCAAATGTTCCAGGGTAGAAGCTCGGTGATACCACCTTCCCTGATGAACATTAACATCATCAGTAATGGACCCACTCAAAATGGTTGGTCACATGATGAGATGCACCAAGAACAGGACACCTTTGAGAATGCACTTTTAAAAAAATGTATGGGTGGGATGGGGGGATGCGGGGTGGGAGGGATACTGGGATTGGTGGGGATGGAGAATGGGCACTGGTGGTAGGATGGATACTTGATCATTGTATAACTGAAACCCAAGCACAAAAATTTGTAATTCTACAACTGTACCTCATGGTGTTTCACTAAAAAAAAAAAGAAAATTATATGACTAAAATTCAAAAACAAACTGAAAAAAAAGTATGCTTTTCTTAACAAAATGTAAGAAACCTACTCTGAGAGACAGTCTACATTATTGGAATTTACTCTTCAAAAGATTCCAGGTTGTGAAAATAAGGAAACAAGGAGACATAGCAACTAAGCATGAATCAAGGTTCAGACATCTTTGTGCTGTCAAAGCTACTTGAGAGGGCTGGGGACACAGCTCAGTGGTACAGCAATTGCTTGGATATGTAAAGTCCCAACTTCATTCCCCTGCACTAAAGAAGAAAAAGAAGAAGAGGGCGGGAGAGAGGGGAGTAGCAACAGATTGCCAGGAATGCGACTCAAGGGGAAAAGTATCTGCCTTATAGGCATGAAGTCCGAGGCATGGCCCCCACATTTCTGGGGCAGGTCCTAGATGATCCCACCCATCTGGAGTGCCCTCTCCCCCCAAATCAGACCTTAAAAATATAACTTGAAAAAAATATGAGGATTAAATGGTAGAAATTTTAGTATTAATTTTCTGGTATGTAGAATGAACTTGTAAAAAATGAACACAAAAATAATCAGTCATGATAACATCTTATCTCTCTCTTACTTTGAACAACCTGGCAGTCTACTGAATGTAACCTGCCCACACGGCAGAGTCTGGCAAACTCCTTACTGGTGACTGCTTGAGGCAATTGATGAACAACAGGATGATCATGATCATAATTGTGATAACATAATACCAGAAATTTACTTCTTTTTTTCCTTTTTTGGGTCATACCCGGCGATGCTCAGGGGTTACTCCTGGTTCTGCACTCAGGAATTACTCTTGGCAATGCTTGGGGGACCATAAGGGATGCTGCGGATTGAACCCGGGTCAACTGCATGCAAGGCAAATGCCCTCCCTGCTGTACTATCACTCCAGTCCATCGAATTTACTCTTAAATTTGACTGGACAGCAGCTCAATGGTAGGGCCCAAGGATCCGGGAACTCAGGCCCAAGGCAACCCCGGCAGTGCTGGTGTTGGTGGAGGGTCAGGGGCAGGGTGGGGTGTGTGCTGTGCTCCAGGGCTGTACCCAGCAATGTTCCAAAGGACCTATGCTCCCAGAAACCAAACCTGGGGCAGGACCGTTGAGCCTCAGAGGAAAAATTCTTTGAACTGAAACTTGAAACTTTTCTTTAACTCAAAGACTTTCGAAACACTAATTTAAAAAAGTCAAAAATAAATAGTGAAAAACTTTTGGCAAATCATACTTCCCCATGAGGAAATATCTATGAACTTGTGTTTAAAATTAAACACGGTGAACTTTTTGGCACTATAACAAAAAATGCTCAAATACTGACAATCACCACTGATGTAGACTGTCAAAATTATGACTGTCTTAATCTTTAGTTCTGTATATAGTGATAAAAATTAAAAACAGAAAAAAAGCTATCAATTACTACTACTGAAGTATAAATAAGGCCATGGTTATTTGGGTGTTGCTCTAATAGCTAGTACTTGACAGTTTAAATATATTAAATTCAGGAGTGCTGTGTTTTGTGGTGCCAGGGGTTGAATTAGTAGTGTTGGTTTGCATTCACTATATCTTCTTAAAGGTTAATTAGATGTCAAGAAACAATTAAAATAGAAATTTTTCATCATACACAGATGACACAAAGACATATGTCATATGTTATATGGGAAATAATTTAATGTCATGTAAGCTGCTCAGGAAATATATTTTTATAATTTGTAGTTCATATCAGATAATTCTTTTTTAAAATCTCTACATATTCCTGCGAAGTTTTCATAAGTAAATCCTGAGTTAGATTTGACCCATTGGTAGATCCTGGAGGAGAAGATCTATAGGATCCAGATTCAAATTCAGCAGCAGCTGAAAAAAAAAAGAATGATATTATTTATCTAAAATATTTTATAGTTAACTTAGTTTGGAAAAAAACAACTATAATAACATGATCAAAGTTAAGAAATGTTCATGACTATGAAATTTATATACAAGTGGTACTACATGGAAAGTACCATGCTAAGCGAAATGAGTCAGAAAGAGAGGGACAGACATAGAATAATCGCAATCACCTGGGGGAACATAAAGTAACAAAATAGGAGACTAACACCCAAGAATAGTCGAGATAAGTACCAGGAGGATTACTCCATGGCTTTGAGGACAGCTACACACGCTATTGGGGAAAAGGCAGCTCAGATTCAGAAGGGAGCACCAAATAAAGGGTGTTGGGAGGTTCCTCTCAGGATAGGAGATGCGTAATGAGAGTAGACTATAGACTGAACGTAACTGCCACTCAATGTCTCTTTTGCAAACCACAGCACTCAAAAGGAGAGAGAGAACAGAAGGGAATGCCCTACCACAGAGGTAGGGTGGAATGGGGGGTATGGGGGGTGGGAGGGATAATGAGATACTGGGATCAGTGGTGATGGAGAATGGGCACTGGTGGAGGGATGGGTATTCGATCATTGTATAACTGAAACCCAAGCACAAAAATGTGTAAGTCTACAACTGTACCTCATGGTGTTTCACTAATAAATTTTTTTTTAAAAATTGGAAATTCTTAGGGTTTTTGGTTTTGCACTCAGTGGTGCTCAGAGCATACCTCTGGGTCTGTGCCTCTCACCCTCGCAGTGATGGAGGTGTGTTTGCTTCTAATAGGGCTCAGGGGATCATATGTAGCGTTGAGACTTGAGCTTGAGCCTGCCATATGCAAAGCATTTGCTCAACCTTTTGAGATATATCTTTAATCTGTAATTATCACATTCTTGTTACTTTAAGTCTCTTGTTGTAAGATCAATAGCATTTTCTGTTGTACATGTGAATCAATGAATCACCCATAAATAAAAAATGTTTAAAAATAAAAAGAAATGTCTTATGACTAGTTTGTAAGTCTACAACTGTACCTCATGAAGTCTCATTTAAAAAAAAAAAGAAATATCTATGACATACTATAATACAAAATACAGTCTTATACTAGAAACACTTTGCCCAGAGTTACATATTGAATTCATTGCTGTTGTATCTAAATATTGGAGCTCCTGGTCTTCTTAATCTTCTATGACAAGCTCCGGAACTAGCAGAGGAAGATGACAGTCTACTACTCAACTATCATACACTATAAAATTTTGAAAACATAGAGACAATTCCATAAAGGGTCTATATATCTTAACAGGTATGAAATACCAAAAAGCTGGATTACAGCAGGTAGGGATTACCCTACCTGCTGTATGAAGACAACATATGTTGTTTTCATATGGCCAACTGTGTTCTATCCCAGGCACCACATATGATCGGTCCTCCATACCCAGTCAGGAGTAAGCCGTGGTGGAGCCCCAAACACCACCACTCTCTGCCCAAAACAAGTGCTCACACAGGAAAATCACAGACTTGTGTCAATAATCCTGGCTTTGAGGAGGAGATGGTGTATAAGCGGGTTCCTTAAAGACAAGGAAAGAATAAGCCAAAGGAAAGAAGAACACAGGCACAATGCTGGAGGTGAGGAAGTTCAATTCTGGCATTAACAACCATCTCCTCTGGATAAAAGGGGCAGAGCAGAGAAAGGTATAAGAGATGAGACCAGATAGTTTGGAAAGAATCAAACTGGAAAGATTTTGGTGGCTTTCATTGTTGCTGTTTTGCCTGTGCTCAGGGCTTGCTTTTTCCTGGTGTAGCCCCCAGCAATCACTCCATATGGGCTTGGAGGATCATATGGGATGCTGAGGATTGAGGCAGGGTCGACTATATGCAAGACAAGCACCTTGCTTGCTGTACTATCTCTCTGGCCCTTGTTTTAGTGTTTTGGTTTTTGATTTGATTTTGGGGCCACACTCAGCTATGCTCATGTGTTACTCCTGGCCATGCTCAGGGGACCATATGGGATGCCAGGGATTGAATCCGGGTCAGCCTCATGCAAGGCAAATGCCCTACCCACTGTACTATCACTTTGGCCCCTTGGTATTTTTGTGATATGCTATACAAGATTCTATAATTTTTAATGAGAGTAAAGGTAAACCGATGCCAAGTTTAAGGACAGAAGATTTAAATGTTATTTTTTAAGTGACAGCTATAAACATTCTAATAGCTTAAGTAGCACTAGATGAGTCCAGGGCTTTTTTGTTTTCTTTTTTAAGTTTTTTTTTTACAATCTACTTGTGAAATGAATGATTTTAATGCTTCAAACAGTTTAAACCTGATTTGATACCACACCTTCATATTTGTACAGTCCTCGATGATTATCTACAGTTTTCGCAACCATTCAAAGAACAAACCATTGATTAAAAACCACATTGATTTAAGGCTCCATCAAGTAAGGGAGCCCCAAAGGAGATGGTTAAGTAAATGAACTATTTGTACTGACATCTATTGTTTGATTCTCTCACGACTGTTAAGTTAGTTCTTAGCAAGTAAACCTTTAGAGGCAAAATTCACCCCAATTGAGTTTTGACCAAGAAGTCCACCAACAAGCACGAAGTCCACAGTCTTATCGGCAAAGCAGATAAGCAGTGTCTCTAAGTCACTATGCTCAACAGTAAGAGCGATGCATTTTCTGTTTTTACATTTTACTGCAATTTTACATGTTCAATTCAGGATTTTAAATCTCTAGGTTTTCATTCCTCCAAACTGTCTGAAGACACAGTGTGCCACAGACTTAAGACTTCTGTTTCTCCCTGTATTTTCTTCAAACAGAAACTGTTCTCTCAAGTGTCTACATGTTCTAGAAGGGTAATTTTTCGGAGGAGGCCACTTCTTCGGAATAGTCCGTCGCCATCAGGCCTCTGAAGCAAGGGGAGGAGGAAGAGGAAAGAGCTGAAACACAAGGTTCATCTGGTAAGTGCACATTAGCCATTACAAGCCGGACAGTAAAGAATGTGGCTTTTTTGGCTCAAAAAGTCTGAGTCTTGGTGTGGAAACGAGTACTCGGCTGTCCCACCACAGTGTTCTCGCAGTGGGACTGTCAGGGAAGCCTTGACTGGGGATATGATTGTTTACCTATCAGGCGTAAACTTCCAGGCACTCAGTTCATTTTGAGCTTGTTCCAGTTTGTCTTTAGTCTGTTCCAGTTCGCCTTTCATTTTTAGGAAAAACAAGTTGATTGCTGGGTCTACCATAGTCGATCGCAGTTGGGCAACACTGGGCTGCTGGACTTGCTTGAGGTACTGGATCTGAGTAGTACACTCTTGCATCTCTTGCTCCTTGGTTGCTAGTCGCATTACAAGGATGTTTTCTCTGCGAGCAGACTCTTGCTGTTGTTGCTTTAGTTTTTCTTCAGCTTCCCTTAAGCCAGTTACATCATTAGAATTAAGATCTGTGTACTTGCCCTCCAAAGCTTGCACATACGTTTCATATTGCTTCCACCTTAGAATTAACTCATCTCGTGCCATTACTTTGAAGTCCGTTCCACTCAGTCGAACCTTTTTGGGAAGAGGTTCCTCGTTGGTCATTTTGAAACCTCTCCCGAGCGGGGCCGCGCAGGCGCTGCCCAGTCACATAGGCCGAGGCCGTGCCGCCCGCTCGCCGAGCTCCCTCTTCCTTAAATTTTATTTGGCTTATATCAATCACTATCAGAAATATGAGAAGCTGATGAAGAATCTGTTCTCATGTTTTCTGAGAAGTCTCAGTGAGCAAAGGGACAATTCCTCAGTGATGGCAGAAGTAAAGGTATAACCAGAAACTGAGATACATAAAATTCTGAGGTATTTTTAAAAGCTATGGTACATAAAAACAAAACGAAAAAGTGTATTCTTTATTATGCATATTTATGCTATTATACATTTTATTAGCTATGTGCAAGAAAAGACATTTAAGATAGCTATCTACTATCCAAATAATCCAAAAAAATGCCATTCATTTAAAAAATCAATATGCAAAACAATGGCCACTCAATGCCTCTATTGCAAACTACAAAACCCAAAATGAAAGAGAGAACAAAAGGGAATGCCCTGCCACAGAGGCGGGGTGGGGAGGGGGGGGTTGGGGTGGGGATGGTGGGAGGGATACTGGGATCACTGGTGGTGGAAAATGGGCACCGATGGAGGAATGTATGAGTGAAACGCCAGCACGAAAGTTTGTATGTAACTGTACCTCACGGTGATTCACTAATAAAGAAAAAAACATTTTTAAAAAATAATAAATATTAACTCTATTATAAAAAATCAATATGTAAAACAACATACCTTCTTCCAGTTCTCTAGTAATATTTTTTTCCAATTCCTGTTGCATCTGAAATAAGTCAAATATTATTTATAATTATTTATAATTACCAATTTACTTTATTAATTATAAAGTAATAAAGTATGGTCTTCAAAATCTTTGAATCTAGACTACAGGTAGAAATTGTTTAGGTAGAAAAGTAATCACACAAATTCTTAATTTTAGAAACAGAACACATAAATATAAAGCTATCTGGATTATTTGATATAAAGGGCAATTACTATTGTTGTCTCATTGAACACGATATTTTATTTTATTGGTACAAAACTTTAAAGCAATTCAAATTGAATTTTAATTTGCATTTCTTAGAAAATCTGCTTTTTAAAATTATTTTCTTATGCCAGGCTTCATGGGGTTGGGACTGGGCCGTTCCTTCCCATCTCCCGCCCTTCCAGGGTTCTGGCTGTCATGCCCACGAAATGCCTCTGAGTGCCAATTAAGCTCATTAATGGCCATGATCCAGAGACTCACAACTGAATCTCGGAACCAAGCAGCTTGCTGCAGGGATGGCTCTGGACCCCAATTATTTAAATTTTTATAGTTCCAGGAGAGCGCCTTTGTGATCTCTTTTTTTTTTTTTTTTTTTTTGCTCTTTGGTCAAAATACTGTGAGACAGACCCTTACAGACATCTTACACTATTCGTTTCAAGCAATACAAAATAAATTATCTAGTATCTGGCCTGTGAGGCAAGTTTAAGTGGTGGTAGGAAACTTAAAATAATGGTGGTGGGAAGGTGTAACGGTGGTGGGATTGGTGTTGAAAGATTGAATGTAATCAATTACTGTGAACAACTTTATAAAAATAAAATTTTAAATATATATAACAAAATGTAAGGATGGGTCTTAAGAAAATAACACTTTTCTGGTACAATATGGAAAGTATCATGCTAAGCGAAATGAGTCAGAAAGAGAGGGATAGACATAGAAAGATTGCATTCATCTGGGGGATATAAAGTAACAAAGTATGAGATTAATACCCAAGAATAGCTGAGATCAGCACCAGGAGGATTACTCCATAACTTAGAGGCCAGCCGGGTATCCTAGAGGAAAGGGCTATTCAGATAGAGAAGGGAGCACCAAATAAAGGATGTTTGGAGGATCCTCCCAGGAGGGGAGATGCATGTCGAAAGTAGACTATGGACTGAACATGTTTGCCACTCAATGCCTCTTTTGCAGACCACAACACCCAAAAGGAGAGAGAGAACACAGGGGATTGCCCTGCCACAGAGACGGGGGGATGGGGGGATGGGGGTGGGAGGGATATTATCCATGGTGGTGGAAAATGGGCACTGGTGGAGGGATGGGTATCTGATCATTGTATAATTGAAACCAAAGCACAAAAAATTGTAAATCTACAACTTTAAAAAAAATAAAATAAAATAAAGGGGAAAAAAAGAAAAAAAAAAAAAAAGAAAATAACACTTTTCTTTGTTATACCTGTTACTTTGATAATCGCTTTTATTAAGTTATTTAATATAAAAATAGTTTCTTAAATTTTAATGAATTCTGCCTTAAAATGAACCTTCCTTTTTGTATATTTAGGAAATTTAAACCTTAATGTATGTTCTGTATTACCAATTCTTCATAATTTTTTTTTTGGCTTTTTTGGTCACACCTGGCGATGCACAGGGGTTACTCCTGGCTCTGCACTCAGGAATTACTCCTGGTGGTGCTCAGGGGACCATATGAGATGCTGGGAATTGAACCCGGGTTGGCCGCATGCAAGGCAGACGCCCTACCCACTGTGCTATCGCTCCAGCCCCACTTCATAATTTTTAATTATTTTATTTTAAATAAGTAAAATAAAAGGGTACTGCCAAAATGTCATGAAAAAAATTGGGGGGAGTGGAGGGTCCACACCCAGCAGTGCTGAGGGCTTACTCTGGACTTTGTGCTCAAGGATCATTCCTGGCAGGCTTGGGGGATCATATGGAGTGCTAGAGATCAAACCCAGGTTGGCCACATATAAGGCAAATGCCCTACCCCTTGTACTTTCTCCAGCCCCACCATGAAAATCCTCTTGGCAAAAAAACAAAACAAACAAACAAAAACAGTCAGAGAGATAGTACAATGTGATAAGGTACAGCCAACAGAGGTTTAATTTCCAGCAACCCATACTATCCTCTGAAAAATACACAAGAGTAATTCTTGAGTGCAAAGCCAGGAGTAATCTTTGAGCATAGCCAGGTGTGGCCAAATGACAAAAAAAATAGTAATAATACCTAGCTTTTATGACATTTATTTATTATTATGGACACAAATATCTCACATGCAAAATGTTCACTGCAACCCTATTTACAAAAGGCAAGTACTGAAAACAACACAGGCGCCCAACAATACAAACATGGATAAAGAAACTATATAAGATAAAGTATATAAACAAAATGGACCACCACTCAGCTATAAGGAAAGAATAATACACACTGGAATACTATGCAGCTATTAGAAAAAATGAAGTCATGAGATTTGTTTATAGATGGATGGACATGGAGAGTATCAGGCTGAGTGAAATGAGTCAGAAGGAGAGGGACAGATATAGAATGACTGCACTTATTTGTGGGATAGTAAAAAAAATAGTACACTAATAACCAAGGCCAGAAAAAACAGGGGCCAGGAGAAGTGATCCACAGTTGAAAGCTTGCCACAGTGTATGGGCAGTTAGGATAGAGAAGGAACCAGTATGAAATAATAGAATTGATCAATATGGACAAGAACTGAATGTTGAAAGTAGGTAAAGGGATATGTATATATGATAACCTCTCAGTATCTATATTGCCAACCATAATTTCCAAAATGGAGTGGGGGGGAGAGAGAGAGAGAGGGAAAGAGAGAGGGAGAGAGGGAGAGAAAGAGTGAGGGCGAGAGAGAGGGAGAGGGAGAAGAAGAGGGGGAGAGAGAGAGAGGGAGAGAGAGAGAGAGAGAGAGAGAGAGAGAGAGCCATAGAAGCAGGTGGGGGTTGGGGGACAGAAAGGAAGCTAGGGACATTGGTGGTGGGAAATGCACACTGGTGAAGGGACCAGGTGATGGAGCATAGGATGTCTGAAACATAGTATGACTGAAATCCTACCATCTAATCATGAGCAGCTTTGTAACTATGTATCTCATGATGATTCAATTAAAAATAAATTCATTAAATAAAAATAAAATTTTTTATAAAAGAAAAAATGAAAGAGTGCCTTTGCTATAACATGCCTTTTGCAACACAAAGAGTGTCATGTTACATAAAATAAATCAGAAGGAGAACTACAAACACTGGATGGTCTCATTCATCTGTGGCATATAAGGGGCTGGAGAGAAAGCACAGGGGTTAAAGCGCTTGCCCTGAACACTGTCAACAGAGGTTCGATCCCTGGTACCACAAACGGTCTCCTGAGCCAGGCCATAAGTGACACCTGAGCGCAAAGCCAGGAGTAGGCTCTGAGCACTGCCAGAGGTGGCCCTCGAACCCCAACCCTATTCACCTCTAGCCCCCGCACCAAAAAGCAAAAAGCAAGCAAAAAGAAAAAAAAAAAGAAAGACAGATCTAGAAACTTAAAATTATAATATTTATCACCTTTGTTTTTTGGCCACTCTGGTTGGCTCTGAGCTTAGCAGTCATTCCTGGTGGTGCTCGGAGGAGCACACACAGTGTTGGGATCAGACTAGAGTCACTGGAATGGAAGTCAAGTGCCTTAACCCCTTTAATACCTTTCCAGCCCTATCTCTTCTCTTTATTAGCACAGTTACCTTTTGTGCTCTATTCATAGCATCAGTTTAACATTCAGAATCCCACTAAATTAAAAATAAGTATAATACCTAAAATTTGAAGCCCAAGGATCAAAAGCTAAAGCCCCTCACCTTGATCAAGTAAGCCTCCATGCTGTTGTTTGGAGGCCATGGATTTGAGGTAGGAATCACTAAGTTTTCTCTTGGAGTCAGATTTCTCTGCAGCACTGCACTGCTATTCAGATTTCCAGTATATGGCAGCTCCAGAACTGGCCTGGCAGTGAGAGTACTCAGTAAAGATCTGCCCTGCTGTTTCTCCATGAGGATCTTGGTGCTGATGATCTCTGCAAGTCGTTCATTATCCCTATGAAGACTGCAAAAGGACACTGCTCAGTATTTCATGTTTCCTAAAATGATTCCCAAGTGACTTCTATTTTTTTTAAGTAACCTTAATAATAAATACAACTTCCGTTTTTTGTTTTTTTGTTTGTTTGTGGGCCAAACCTGGCAGTGCTCAGGGGTTATTCCTGGCTCTCACTCAGGATTCACTCTTGCAGGCCCAGGAACCATATGGGACACAAAATCCAGGTTGGCCCTGTGCAAGGCAAGTGCCCTACCCACTGCACTCTTGTGCTTGCTCAGAATTGCCCTCTTAATACTGAAAATGTGTTGTAAAATGTCTACCACATACATTTGTGGATTTTTAGGTGACCTGAAGAAGTACATATGTTTCTAAGAAGATTTCTAACTTACAAGTAATTCAAAGTAGGGAAGATTATTAATGAAGAAGATGGTTTAACAGATAACAATGCCATCTGTAATAGACCCAGATAAAGATCTCAAAGATACCATCAGACATCGTAAATCAGTTTAGATTTTTTAAAAAAAAAATTCCTTCAATTTATACTTAAAACTTAAATAAATAAATAAATAATTCCTTCAAGGAACATTCATAGAAATTTGCTTTCACATGCAACCTACTGAATATTTCACTACCATCACCTAGAGAAATAACCTCATGGTGAGAATGATAGAGGAAGTATCAGAGTTAGTGACCAGACATACAGACACACACACACACACACATTGGTGCAACCCTTCCTAAACCACAACACACAGAGACATACAGACACACACACATTGGTGCAACCCTTCCTAAAACATAATACACACACAGAGAGACACATAAGACACACATACATTGGTTCAATCCTTTCTAAAACACAATACACATACATGAGTGTAATCCTTCCTAGAACACAACACACATACATGTACACACACTGGTGCAATCCTTCCTAAAACACAACACACACACACACACACACACACACACACACACACATATTCACTCACTCTCTCTGTCCCTGATATTAATGGATTTAAGGATTGGGAGCAAGCCTTGAATGCAGCTGACTTGGGTTCCATCCCCAGTAGCATATGTGGTCCCCTGAGCACTGCTGTGTAAGGGTCAACACCCTCCCTGCAATTCCACCCTCCCACCCCCCAAAGAATGAACAAGTTGTAATCTTCCCCAAACTAAACATGCTAACAATTCTTTTTAGGGGAATTATAAGAAGCAATAGCAACACTATTGTGAAAATGATGAAATTTCAAAACTACTTAAAGACAAGTAGGTGGAATATACTACAAGCAAATGCTAAAAGAGAGAGAAATGTAAAGCATGTGAAAATATAAAAAGCAAAGAGATAGATTAACATTTAAAATATGTTCATTTACTACATCATTTTCCCAAACTACACATAATACAGTCTATTTTCATTCCCTACAAATATGGACCTGGATCCATAAAAATTAAAAAGATAAATTTTATTCTACGTTTTGACTTACCTTTTTAGCTCATTTGCCAATGATTTTCTAACTTTAAATTCTTTTAGGAAGAGCTGCTTATATTTTTCCAATTCTATTTTACTAGACTCTTCCTGGTAAGTTTTCATTCTGGTGAGTTCGGATTCCAAATTTTTAATTTGTTGCTTGTATTTTTCCAATTCTGTTTTATTCAAGTCTTCCTGTGAAGACTTCATTCTGGAGAGTTCATATTCCAACTCTTTAATTCGGACTTCCATCTGACTCCTCAGCGAAGCATTATTATTCTCCCTTAACTGCTCTAAGTTTTCTTGTGATGCTGCTTGTGCCTAATGAAAATTAAAAGAATACATAAATTATAACAGTGCATTTTCTTTTAGTTTTGAGTCAATAACTCAGAGCAATTTTAAAGACAAAAAAAGCTGAAGTTTAAGTTATTTGTTATGAAAATCACCTAAATTCTGAAAATTAAGTCGAATCGTTCTATGGTTAGTATTCCTACAACCTAACAATTCAAATAGCATTAAAAGTGATTTAAAGTGAACATTACAAAAAAGAAAAATGGAACAATTTTTAAATCACATTTTTTTCCTCCTTAGATCCTGTTTTATACAAATAGAACTTAAAGATAAAATGATTCTTTAGTGAGAACCATGCTGGAACTTCAATTTAGTGGTAATAATAATGAAAACTTATGTACTTAAATGAAGAACAAATGCTGCCTTCCCTCCAGAAGTTCACAGAACAGACAGATGCAAGGGAAATAGAGGAACCACATGCAAAGTATGCAGCCAGAATGCAATTTGCAGTGAAATGAATTAGAGCAATTACAGATCAATAAATTAACCTGTAAAAACAGATTGACTTCTTTTAATTTTTCTACTATTTCCTGTCTTGCTCTTTCTTCAATCTCTTGTTTATACTGTTCTACTTGACCGCGCTCTACCATATTTATTTCTACATGACTTTTGAGGTTTACTACTTCTTGTTCCAACTGCTTTTTATTCTTCTTGAGCTTTTCACATTTCTTTTGTATTGCTTTCATAGACAATAATTCCTGCTGAAGCACTTGATTCTGTGCATCCAAATGTTGACATTTTGAAGATGTGGTTTCCAGTTTTGTGGTCAGATCATCAACCTACATGAATAAAACGGCAAATAGATTGGTCGGGAAGGAGAAAACTGCAAAGAGTCAAAACCACAATCCTATTTAGAAATAAATTTAGTTGTGCTACATGTAAACTGATTTTAGTAGAGTTTTAGAATGTGAAGACTTGAATTACTCAGAATCCAGAACATGGGGACATAGTTTGGGCAGTACACTTGCCCTGCATGTGGCTGACCTGGGTTTGATTTCTGGCACCCCATATGGTGCCCTAAGCCCCACCAGGAGTGATCTCTGAGGCCAGAGCCAGGACTAAGCCCTGAGCAGTGCAGGATGTGGACCAAAACCAAAGAAAATCCAGAACCAAGTTTAAGCTACCAGGAGTCACAACAAAACTATGTCCTTTACTGTTATCATCTTCATCACAAAATATTAGCATGTAAATTTATCCTATTATTTATCATGACTGTTTCACCTTTTTCCCTCCTCAAAATAAGACTAAGTCATATAAGGGAAATGGTTCAAAGGACTGGAATTCATGCTTGGAACGCACCAGGCCCAGCCAGGTTCAATCCCTAGCATCATATGTTCCCCTGAAGCATGGCCAGACCTGGCCCAAATCCCAAGTACCTAAGCCCAAGAACACAAAATACTAATTGAAAAAAATATATGTATATCTATGTTCATCACAGTCCAACTCAGGTCAAGGTCTGAAAACAACACAAGTGCCCAATAACAGATACATGGATACATAAGTGGTGGTATATGTATAATAGAATACTGCCCAGCTACCAGGAAAGAGGAAATCTAGATTTCTTTCCATGGAAAGGACTGGAGGGTGTCATGCTAAGTGAAATAAGTCAGATGGAGAACGACAATTACCAGATGACATCAGTCATAGGTTGTATATAAGCAATGTGGCTGGAGCCATAGTACAGTGGTTAGGGCACTTGCCTTGCACAAAGTCGATCTGGGTTCGATCCCTGACATCCCATATGGTCTCCTGAGCCATGTACACATATCACTATCCCTGTTAAATCATATACAAAGCCTCTAGCATAGGCCTTTGGGTGATTTTTGAAAGTTGACATAAAAAATAAAGGCAACAAAGGCCGGAGCGATAGTACAGTGGGTAAAGTATTTTCCTTGCACCTCATACCTGAGCATCGCCAGGAGTGATTCCTGAGTGCAGAGGCAGGAGTAACCTATGAGCACCACTAGGTATGGCCCAAAAAACAAAATCAAAAACAACAAAGGTAACAAAAGCAAAACTATCCAAGTGGGACTACATCAGACTAAAAATGTATCCACAGAAACAGTTAAGGACATTCTACCACTTGATTATTATGCAAGGCAATTGTCAATATGCACAATTACTAGCAAAGAGTTCTCAAAATATTTATGTGTGTGTGTGGGAGAGGTATATGTGTAACAATGTATAGGAATTCAAAAATAAACCATCACATGTATGGTAAACTGATGTCCAACAAGAATGCCACACAATTAAATGGAACAAGGATAGCAGTTTTAACAAAAGATACAGAAACAATTGACTAGTCATATGTAAGAGAATAAAATTATACCTCTAGCCACAAAAATGTTAATTTCTGTAGCAAAATCTTAGTTAAAAACAGTGTGGGGGCTGGAGCAATAGCACAGCTGGTAGGGCCGTTTGCCTTGCATGTGGCCAACCCGGTTTGATTCCCAGCATCCCATATGGTCCCCCAAGCATGGCCAGGAGTGATTCCTGAGTGCAGAGCCAGGAGTAACCCCTGAGCATCAGCTGGGTGTGACCCCAAAAGCAAAAATATAACAAAATAAAATAAATAAAAACAGTGTGACCAGGGGCCAAGTGGTAGTACAAGGGGTAGGACACTTGCCTTGCATGTCAGGAATAAGCCCTATGCACCGCCAAATGTGGTTCCCCAAAACAAAAAGAAAAAAAGATCATGATTACCTAAATGCATGATTACCAGTAATAAGGATCATCAATATGAAACATTTTTATTAACAAATATTTTTCAGATTGTACAAATATTCTTATATACAACGACTAAGAAACATAAAAATTATTTTTTAGCTTGACAGAAATTAATAGAGTGACTCACCAAACTTGTACTTAATGGATTTTTTTGAAGCTGTTCAATTTTGGATGCTTGTTTTTGGACGGTAATGTTTAACTTGCCATTTTCAATTTCAAGCCTAAAGCACATGTTTTGAAAATAATTATTTTTACACAGAGGTTCTAAAAACTTACATAATTTCAAACGAACATCTAAAGGTACAATTACAAAAATTCTTAAAATTTAAAAAGTAGATGATTGGAGCTGGAGAGATACTGCAGTGGGTAGGACACTTGCCTTGTATGTGACCAACCCTGGTTTGATCCCTGGCACCCCACAGGAGTACCCTGAACACCGCCAGGAGTGATCCCTGAGCACAGAGCCAGGAGTAAGCCCTGAATAATGTTATATGTGACTCCCAAACCAAAACTAAATAAATAGAATAAAAAGTAGATGAATTGGTTAATCATGCCATTTTTCTAAATTCTTTCTGGATAATATGCAGAATTCAGAGAGAATGTACAGAAACTAGGAACTTAAGTAGCTCAGAGCTGCCATTTTTACCCAGCTGAGCAGATATGTCAGATGCATCATAATGGACACATTTCTAATAGCACCCTGCTAATCTACTTTATAAATACTCATTACTGTATGTGCTGCTCGAAGCATTACTTTTGCATGTGGTCTTTCATCTTCTCAACACATCTTATGGCCTCAGTATGTTGATCCTGGACTTCTTGCAACTGAAAAAAGGAAGAAAAAAAACTTTACTAGTAATCTTGAACCAATCTACCATCACCTGTTCCGGTAACAGAAACTTTATTACTACGTTCTTTCATCTGCCTATTGTTTCCAGCCATTCTCATGCCAAGTCATGCCAGGTCAATCTGAGACAGAGACCTTTTCACCCTCAAAGCCTGGACTATTTCTTACCTGGCACTTGATAGCCAAGTTTGCCAACCTCTCTTCTAACTCTAACACAAAACATTATTCATGTTATGAAATCATGCTCTATCAAAAAAGTACACAGATTTACAAGGTGGTCAAAAATAGAGAAAGAGGAACTGAAGAGGTAGTACAGTGGGTAGGGTGCTTGTCTTGTATGCACCTGACCCGGGATCAATCTCGGGCTTACCATACAGTCCTCTGAGCATTGCCAGGAGTAATTTCTGAGTGTGGACCCAGAAGTAACCCCTGAGAATTGCCAGTCGTAACCCCCCTCCAAGTTAAAAAAATATGAATATAGAGAAAACTACCTTATAGTACACATGTGTTTTTATATACCGAATATCACATCGATCCTCATTTGTAATATTTACTATTAAATTCTCATAGGTGAATAGTCTTTCACTGAGAGCAGTCTTCTAAACAAGTTACAATGAAACTTTTTTTCCATAACATTGACAGTAACAGCAAATGGGGAGCCTGCGGCCCTGAATATATCCCCAATTCCTAAAATTCTGCAGCAATTCCATAAGTCAACAGTACTTTTCTAAACTTATAATAATTCATAGCACAGCGGTAGGGCGTTTGCCTTGCACGCAGCCAACATGGCCGACCCGAGTTCGATTCCTCCGCCCCTCTCGGAGAGCCCGGCAAGCTACCGAGAGTATCTCGCCCGCACGCCAGAGCCTGGCAAGCTCCCTGTGATGTATTCGATATGCCAAACACAGTAACAACAAAGTCTCCAATGGAGACGTTACTGGGCCCGCTCGAGCAAATCGATGATCAACGGGAGGGCCTTACTTACTAACTTACTCTTTTTAGCAGGGAGAAGTATTGGACTATACCCAAAAGAACCCAGGGGTTACTCCTGGCTCTGTGCTCAGGTATCACTCCTGGTGTTACCATGCTCAAGGCAGGAATACAATTCTTACTCCTATACCATCTCTCTGACCCCTGTCATTTACTTCATTATACTACTAGTGAGCCACCAGCACTTTGACTGAGTAGCACGGCACTTACATGTCCTTCGGGGACAGGATAAAGTCACTGACACAGAAATAAATATTGGACTCTAATGCTAAATCAAATTTACCAAATCAGGAGATGGAGCAATAGCACAGTGGGTAGGGTGTTTGCCTTACACACAGCTGAACCAGGTTTAATTCCAGTATCCCATATGGTCCCCTGAGCATCGCCAGGAGTAATTCCTGAGTGCAAGAGCCAGGAGTAACCCCTGTGTATCACCGGGTGTGACCCAAAAAGGAAAAAAAAATTTACCAAATCAATTTGTTCCCAGCAACTTTTTATGCTGGGTAACAATAGCAAGTCTCTGATAAATGTGGTATGGAATACCATAAACCTCCTCAGTAGAGTTTTAACAGTTGGTAAGGTGCTATAAAGCTATCTGCAAATCCCAATTCTGCCTACATAATGAAGAAAATAAAATTTAGATTTTTTTCCATAGTGGGGGAGTAATCTTTAACATAACAACTCTCCTCTGTTAAATTAACTTCCAATTTCACTTGTTTGAAAAAAATATTTAATTTAAAAGAAAATGAACTCCCAACAAGAATTTATTGGCATGCTATAGAGTACTTAATTTTATCTCAACAACAATCAGGTTAAACATTTGCAAGGACAGACAACATGTACATCAAATATTATTTTTCCTTAGACAAATTTATAATTAAAAAGATAAGCTAAAAACAATACAAATTAAAGGTTAACCTGCTTTGTACAGACTACACAAAAAATGCCAAGGAAGTAAGAGAATTAATGAGAGAAAAAGCTTCAGGGATAAAAGGCCAGAGCTGAATAAATGTAGGATAAAGCAAAAAGAGGAAACTGGAAGACAGAAAGGACAGTATAAATAAGCCAGGCCAAGATTTCTGCCTCAGGAATCTCCCAATTAATTCAGAGAATAAATTTCAATACTAAGGACTGGGGATATAGGTCAAAATTCTGAGCACAAACCTGGCATCCAGGAAGCCCAGGTTCAATGCCCCACAGCACCTGAGGCCACCAGCAGTAAGCCCTGCCTCGGGAGGGAGAGAAGGCTGGGCTGCAGGTGACAGCTGAAGTTTGCAGGGTGTCTTCTGAATGGAAATAGTACAAAACTGCAAGCAGTAATGGTGCCACAACTCTAAATTATACTGAGACACTGAAATGTGTATTTTATTTTTTTTTTCCAATTTTTTTTATCATTTTTTTTATTAGTGAAACACCATGAAGTACACTTATAGACTAATAAATTTTTGTGCTTGGGTTTCAGTTATACAATGATCAAGTACCCATCCCTCCACCAGTGCCCATCCTCCCCCACCACGGGTCCTAGCATCCCTCCCACCCCCCATCCTCCCCCCCACCCCCCCGTCCCACCCTGCCGCTGTGGCAGGGCATTCCTCCCTGTTCTCTCTCTCTTCTTTTGGGTACTGTGTTTTGCCAGAGAGGCATTGAGTGGCAGTCATGTTTGGTCTATAGACCACTTTTAGCATGTCTCTCCCACCCTGGGAGGGTCTTCACAACACCCTTTATTTGGTGCTCTCTTCTCTATCTGAGCTTCCTTCTCACCTAGCACATGTGGCTGGCCTTCAAGTCATGGAGCTAAATTCCTGGTACTAATCTGAGCCCTTCCTGGGTGTTAGTCTCCCGTTTTGTTGCTTTATGTTCCCCAGATGAATGCAATCTTTCTGTGTCTATCCCGCTCTTTCTGACTCATTTCGCTTAACATGATACTTTCCATGTAGTACCACTTGTATGTAAATTTCATAACTTCATCTTTTCTACTAACTTCAAGCTCTACTACAAAGCAGTAATAATCAAAACAGCATGGTACTGGAACAAAAGCAGAGCTGCAGACCAATGGAATAGAGTTGAATATACTGACATCTCCTCCCAAACATATAATCATCTAATCTTCGATAAGGGGGCAAGAAAAGTGAAATGGAGCAGGGAAAGCCTCTTTAATAAGTTGTGCTGGCAAAACTGGACGGCTACATGCAAAAAAGTGGGCTCAGATCTCTGCCTAACGCCATGCACAAAAGTAAGATCGAAATGGATTTATGACCTCAACATCAGACCGGAATCCATAATGTTTATTGAAGACAAAGTTGGCAAAACTCTCCACGATATTGAAGTTAGTGGTGTCTTCAAAGACGTCACGCCACTGGCCGAGCAAGTGAAAACAGAGATAGACAAATGGGACTATCTTAAACTAAGAAGCTTCTGCACCTCAAAAGAAACAGTGACCAAAATACAAAGACAGCCTACAGAATGGGAAAGAATATTCACCAAATACACATCCGACAAGGGGTTGATTTCAAGCATATACAAGGTACTGGTTAAACTACACAAGAAGAAATCACCCAACCCCATCAAAAAATGGGGCGAGGAAATGAATAGAAACTTTCGCAAAGAAGAAATCCGAATGGCAAAAAGGCACATGAGAAAATGCTCTACATCACTAATCATCAGAGAGATGCAGATCAAAACAACAATGAGATATCATTTCACACCACAGAGACTGGCCCACATCCACAAGAACAAAAGCAACAGGTGCTGGCGCGGATGTGGCGAGAAAGGGACCCTCCTTCACTGCTGGTGGGAATGCAGGCTGGTCCAACCCTTTTGGAAAACAGTATGGACGATTCTCAAAAAATTAGAATTCGATCTCCCATTTGACCCAGCTATAGCACTCCTGGGAATATATCCCAGAGAGGCAAAAATGTATAGTCGAAGTGACATCTGCAATTGTTTGTTCATTGCAGCACTCTTTACAATAGCCAAAATCTGGAAAAAACCTGAGTGCCCGAGAACAGATGACTGGTTAAAGAAGCTTTGGTACATTTACACAATGAAATGTGTATTTTAAACGAGCTAATATGACATCTTTTTCTCAATATACTTGGATTTTTAATCCGAAGGCAGGATCTGAACTGTTTTTCTTTCTTTTTCTTTTTCGGGTGTTTGTTTTTTTTTTTTTTTTTGCGTTTTGGGTCACAGCAGCCTTGCTCAAGGGTTACTCCTGACTCTGCACTTAGGAATTACTCCTGGCAGTGCTCAGAGGACCATATGGAGATCTGGGGATCGAACCTGGGTTGGACATGTGCAAGGCAAGGCAAACATTCTATCTACTATACTATAGCTCCAGCCCTAGACTGTTTTCTTAATTCTCTGTTTAGATCGTATGTACTAGGCATGATTTGAGTACTTCAATTCTTTTACAATGCACCTAAAATTAAGAGAAAGTAAAGAGAAAGCCTATCTTTAACTGCTTACATAATCGAACTTTCTGTGAGATGTTATGAGATCCATGAAATATACACACAGATTCTATATCCACTCATAAATGTAAATGAAAGAAAAAAAGATAACTTTTTGAAACAAGCTATTAAACATCCTAATTTTATCTGGCTCCTTTCATTATGGTAGGAGATATTAATATGATATATTAAGTTTAAGAAATAGATGCATTATAAAGAGAGTAAAACTGCGATGTTAATGAAAACATAAAGAGCTGCCAATGAAAATCATGAAAGTCTTATATTAGTTAGGCAAATTAAAAAATCATAATGCCAACTTCAAACTCTACTACAAAGCAGTAATAATTAAAACAGCATGGTACTGGAACAAAGGCAGAGCTGCAGACCAATGGAACAGGGTTGAATATACTGACATCTCCCCCCAAACATATAATCATCTAATCTTTGATAAGGGAGCAAGAAATGTTAGAGGAGCAAGGAAAGCCTCTTTAACAAACTGTGCTGGCAAAACTGGACAGCTATGTGCAAAAAAATGGGCTCAGATCTCTGCCTAACACCAGGTACAAAAGAAAGATCAAAACAGATTAAAGACCTCAACAACAGACCAGAATCCATAAGGTACATTGAAGACAAGTTTGGCAAAACACTCACGACACTGAAGCTAAAGGTATCTTCAAAGATGACACACCACTGGCCAAGCAAGTGAAAACAGAGATAGACAAATGGGACTATCTTAAACTAAGAAGCTTCTGCACCTCAAAAGAAACCGTGACCAAAATACAAAAATAGTCTACAGAATGGGAAAGGATATTCGCCGAATACCCATTCTACAAGGGGTTGTTATCAAGGATATAGAAAGCATTGGTTGAACTCCACAAGAAGAAAACATCCAACCCCATCAAAAATGGGGCGATGGAATGAACAGAAAATGGCAAAAAGGCACATGAGAAAATGCTCTACATCATTATTCATCAGGGAGAAGCAGATCAAAACCACAATGAGGTATCATCTCACACCACAGAGACTGGCCCACATCCAAAAGAACAAACACAACTGGTGTTGGCATGGATGTGGGTAGAAAGGGACTCTCCTTAACTGCAGGTGGGAATGCCAACTGGTTCAGCCCTTTTGAAAAACAGTATGGACGTTTCTCAAAAAATTAGAAATTGGGCTCCCATTTGACCCAACAATACCACTCCTGGGAATATACCCCGGAGAGGCAAAAAAGTACAGTCAAAATGACATCTGCACTTCTATGTTCATTGCTGCACTGTTCATAATAGCCAAAATCTGGAAAAAACCTGAGTGCCTGAGAACAGATGACTGGTTAAAGAAACTTTGGTACATCTACACAATGGAGTACTATGTAGCTGTTAGAAAAGATGATGTCATAAAATTTACATACAAGTGGTACTAAATGGAAAGTATCATATTAGCGAAATGAGTCAGAAAGAGAGGGACAGACATAGAAAGATTGCATTCTTCTGGGGAATATAAAGTAACAAAATGGGAGTCGAACACCCAAGAATAGCCGAGATAAGTTCCAGGAGGTTCACTCCATGGCTTGGAGACCAGCCACACATGCTAGGTGAAAAGGCAGCTCAGATAGCGAAGGGAGCACCAAATAAAGGGTGTTGGGAGGATCCTCCCAGGATGGGAGATCCATGCTGAAAGTAGACTATAGACCAAACATGACTGCCACTCAATGCCTCTTTTGTAAACCACAGCACCCAAAAGAAGAGAGAGAACAAAAAGGAATGCCCTGCCACAGAGGTGGGGTGGGATGGGGTGGATGGGGGTGGGAGGGATAGTGGGATCAGTGGTAATGGAGAATGGGCACTGGTGGAGGGATGGGTACTTGATCATAGTATAACTGAAACCCAAGCACAAATATTTGTAAGTCTACAACTGTACCTCATGGTGTTCCACTAATAAAAAATTTTTTAAAAATCATAATGCCTAAAATGAGATATTGAAAGAGAAAGAGAGACAGAGAAGATAGGTGACTGCCATAGAGGCAGACTGAGGTGGGGGGTGATTTGGGGGAGGAAGAAAAACTGAGGACATTGGTGATGGGAAATTACACTGGTGGAGGGATGGGTGTTGGAACACTGTATGACTAAAACCAAATTATCAACAGCTTGTAATGCTCTATCTCACAGTGATCAAATTTAAAAAATTAATAATAAAAAAATAAATACAAATTAGCCAGAGAAATAGTGCAGCAGGTAAAGTGCATGCCTGGCATGCAGTCAGCCCAGATTGCATCCCCAATACCCTATATGGTCCTCCCAAGTCCTCCAGAAGTGATCCCTGAGTAGAGCTAAGAGTAAGCCCTGAGCATAACTGAAAGTGGTCTAAAAACTGAGGCAGGGGCAAGGGGGGGATGTTGGAAGATTAGCCGTTGACCTGACCTATTTCAGATTCTGATTTGACTTACTTTCTTCTTTAAATCCTTCTTCTCATCCTCTAAGTTAGACCGGTAACGTGATATGACCTCCAGAGAAGCCTCTGACATGGACTGCTTTTTTAGGGTATCGGCCAGTTCCTGTTGAAGTTGTCTCACAACAACCTAATGAAACATTTCTGTTAAACTCTATAGGTCACATTAGCACAGGATGCTGAAATATATAATGCTAACTAACATAAGTACACCGAAAATCATCCCAACTCACCTTCATTTCCTCACATGAGAAATTAAAAAGACGGGTACTGTCCTCCTGCCTACCAAATAATATGTTATCTCACTCTCCATCACCCCCAATAATGTGCAAAACTTTACAACCTACCAACTTCTCAAAAAGACACAGGGAATGTAAGTGGGGCTAGTGCTGGTAAATTTCACATGTGAACATTTTTCAACATCTTTTTTATACTTGTTGCCATCTCTGTAGAGATCACACCCAACAGATGAAGGGTAGGGTGTCACCAAAGTGCTGGGTTCAAATCTAGGGACTCAAAAATGTCAACAAGACATGCACTGTGCCACCTGAGCCATACCACCAGTCTTTCCACTCCAGAATCGAGGTTCAAATGAACTTCAGAGTTCCCCGCTTAGTTACTACTCTGTTTAACTAGATGCCTACCTCAGAATGAAAATGGAGTGGAGTAGAGTCATTCCAATGACTTTTATGGTCTTATGCAACCTGGCCTCCAACCTTCCTCTGGGTCTTCTGCCTCCATTCTTACTATCACGATTGCCCAGGGGCAGAGAACAGTGAGTGAACTGATCCAGGTTCAATCCCTGGCACCACATAAGGTCCCTGGAACCACTGCCAGGAGTGATTCCTGAGGGCAGAGTGAGGAGTAAGCCCTGAGCACAGCCAGGTGTCACCCCCAAACAAAAACAAAACAATAGCATACTTTCTTAACATGAAAATGGGGACCCAGAGGGTAGTAGAAGGGGTAAGGTCCTTGCAAGCAGTCAACCTGGGTTGAATTCCTGGAATCACATAGTCTCCCCATGCCCTGTTCAGCTGAGCCAGGAGCAAATCCTGAGCACTGCCGGGTATAATCCAAAAGGGAAAAAAAAATCACCTAAATGGAGGGACCACAGGAAGGAAGCAAAGTTGGTAGGGGGCATATAGTTAAAAAAAAGATGAGAAACACTGGAATAAAATTTATGTCCAAATGATAATAATTGAGGTTTAAAATGGCAATTATGAGCAAATTCTTTACAAAGTTATTTATAGTGAATTATAAATAGCAGCAGAAAATTATATCAAATTTTAGTAAAATGTTATAATAAATGCAGTTTTGCTAAAACACATTTGTCCCAAATTATGATTTATAGGAAAGTAGGTACTTTTCCATAAATACAGTAAAGATGATACAGTAAACAATATCTTTGTTCTGTATTTTTGGGAGGGGGAGCTGAACATGAGGTATATATTCAAAATGATAGAGCACTATATTTTCAGTCTAATAGATGTTTAATATTCAACCATATTCAACATTGAGCCATAATCAAATATGACTTAGACTTTTCTTTGGGAAGTTTGGAAAACATTCTTTCTGGATACTTACTTCTCTTTCTGCTTTCTCGCTTTCATACTGGCATATAGTTTCTTTTAGATGATTACAATCATTGATTAACTCCTTAGTTCTCTCTTCCAGCATAAGACCTTGTTTTTCACTCTCAACCTGCAACCTTTTGACAGCGTCCTGAAACTGGCCGTGGATACTCATCACTGTCTTTTCTTTACTATCAGCTTTGTTTTGGGCATCATCCAATTGCTGGCGAAGTAACATATTTTCACTTTGCAGCTGAGACAGTCTCTCTTCTAAGGATTCCTGCTTACCAATGTATTTATTCACCTTACCTTGTTCATTCCGATACAGGTGTTCAATTTCCTTCTTCTGACCCTGCGTTTGGCTTAGGTCTTTTTGAATACATTCCAAAGCTAATGTCTTTTCTCTAAGAGAATCTCTTGCATGATGGAGCTCAATTTCCAGGTTATTTAATTTACTTTCAGTTCTGGCAAGCTGTTGAGAAAGCACCTCATTGCTCTCTTTTACATTAGCCATGTCAAAATCCATTTTATCTTGTAGACGAGCCCATTCATCTTTTGCTCTCTGGAAGGAGACTTCTAGTTCTCTTTTTGATGCCTGACTTTGTTGGTGATCTTGAGTGGCAGTTGCCAGTCTCGAGAGGTACGTTTCCAACTGTGTTTCCAGCCTGTCTTTGTTTTGTTTTGCAGCCTCCAGCTGTGACTTCAGCATTGCATTCTCAGTTGTCAGAACGTTAATCTGTCCACTATACTGGAATACTGTTTCTGTTAATGATTCCTCAGTCCGCTTTATTGTCCTCTGAAGATCCTCATTCTTTTCTTTTATCACCTCAATGTCTTCTAAATATTTCTTTTCCTTTTCCTGGTTCTGATTTTTTACTGTGTCAATTTCCAATTTTAGCATAACAATTTCATCCTGTAACATATGGTGTTTATGCAACCCATTATTTTCTTTTTCATGACTATCAGAAACCTAAGTAAAATACAGAACTTTTAGCCAGCATGCAATAAAATGACACAAATGACTTGCTGGAAAACAGAAAAATAAACTGTAATTTTAGACAATGAAGAGTTTGAATGGCAGCTACCAAACAAGAAAAAAAAAAGTAGATCCAAACCTCAAACTTTATACCAGCATAAATCCCAGAGGTTCAAAAATTTAACCAAGTATAATAGCAGTGTAGCACTGTCCTCCCGTTGTTCATTGATTTGCTCACGCGGGCACCAGTAACGTCTCACAACAAATTGTGAGACTTGTTACTGTGTTTGGCATATCGAATACATCATGGGGAGCTTGCCAGGCTTTGCCATGCGGGCAAGATACTCTCAGTAGCTTGCTGGGCTCTCTGAGAGAGGCGGAGGAATCGAGCCTGTGTCGGCCACGTCAGCCACATGCAAGACAAACGCCTTATCTGCTGTGATATCGCTCCAGCCCACCAAGTATAATAACTGCATAAAAGAAAACAAAAATATGAGAATTTTCAATAATCTCAGAACTGAAAAGGCCTTTATAATAAGTTCTGAGGCATAAAAAACTAATGTATATATTTAGATCAAGTTTCCCAAAAGTTGATTTTCACCATATTCCACAGATATACATAATGAACTTTCTCAGTTATTGCAATTCCAAAAAAGACTGGTCAAAATGTTAGCAAGCTGCAGGTGTTTTTCCAGTTCTTCTAAGTGTACCATAAGCAAAGTTCCTTCTCTAATGTAACCATTTTAATACAAAAGAAGCTTTTGATTTCAAAAAGCTAATGGCAAATAACGTCAAATTTTGAGATCTCGCTTATGAATCTTTCTTATATACGATTATTTGCTGCAGCAATAACATTTCTAATGGATAAAATACAGTGAACTGCTTTACTAGAGATAAAAACATTTATCAGTAAGTTATGTTGGTATATATTACGGCATAGCAGTGTTTTCAAAATCCTCTTACAGTAAAATAGGAGACTACCTGGAGAGAACTGTTACTTTTCTCAGGAACAGAATAACATGCCAAAAATGATCTATAAATTAGCTTTACTTTCCTCCTGACCAACGGCGAAAGCGATAAACTAACAGATATCAAATATCAAGGAAAATATTATATAAAAATATAAATATATATAACATATATATGTATATGTATGTGTGTGTGAGTGTGTGTGTGCCTGGGTGTTTGATCATTGCATGACCGAGACTTAGACCCAAAAGCTTTGTAACTGTTCTCATGGTGATTCAATAAATTTAAAAAAAATTTTTAATAGAATATACTCATATAGTTTGGAAATTAAAGAGCTTTTAGAAAAAAAAAGTTAAGTCATTGAGGCCGGAGCAATAGCATAGTAGTAGTGTGTTTTTCTTGCACACCTGGCCTACCCAGGTTCAATCCCCAGCACCCCATATGGTCCCTCGAGCACAGCCAGGACAAATTCCTGAGTGTAGAGATAAGGATAACCCTTAAGCATCAACTGTGTGACCCAAAATAAATAAATATTTTAAAAAAAAGGTTAACGCATGGTCAGCACCGGCTGGATCCCCAATACTACCAACTCATGTATCCCCCGAGTTTTCCAGGAATGATACATGAGCACTGCTGGGCATGGCAAAAAAAAGGTAAAGGTAAAGGCCCTCCCGTTGATCGTCGATTTGCTCGAGCGGGCCCAGTAACGTCTCCATTGGAGACTTTGTTGTTACTGTGTCTGGCATATCGAATACTCTCGGTAGCTTGCCGGGCTCTCCAAGAGGGGCGGAGGAATCGAACTCGGGTCGGCCATGTTGGCCGCTTGTAAGGCGAACACCCTACCGCTGGCAAAAAAAAAAAGAGACCAAAAAAAACTTTAAAAAATTTGCCTAATCCAATGAACCAAAAATAATGCCACTCTCAAAAAAAAGCTAATATAAGCCATAAGCCCTCTATATTTTCCATAATATACCCTGTTGGTTTCAGAGAGAAAGAGAGACAGACAGACAGACAGTGTGTATGTGTGTGTGTGTGTGTGTGTGTGTGTGTGTGTGTGTGTGTGTATGTCTTGGTTTGATCCCTGGCACCAAATGGTCCCTCCAGCACAGAAAGGAAAGAGGCACACCCCCAAGTATACATGCATGCATATACATATATACATATACACGCATATAGTATGTATATATGTATATGTATATTACCTCTGAATTCAGTTTCTTATGTGTCATTTCTAGCTCCTTTTGTTTGGAAAGGTGATTAGTCAGAATTCCTTCTTGTAATATTCTGGCATTCTGTTCTCGAGAAAGTTGCCTCTGGGTTTCATCTCGTTCTTCTACAACCTAGAGACACATTTCGTTCAGTTTTAGCCTCATATCATTAAATTAAAAAATAGTCAAAAGGTTAACAGCAGAATAAAATAAAAAGCTGTGCAATGGAAGCAGTCTCAGGGCTGGAGATGTTTATTGAGAGGGGCATGCTTTGCCCCAGTCTGATCCCTGGTTCCACATCCCCCTCCCAATGCTGCTGGCCTTCATATCACTGAGAGTAGCCCCAAAATTAAAGAAAAAAGAATACTTCTTCTTCTAAAAAGAAGGCCTTGGGGGGGGGGGAGGGTGGAAGATAGGAGACACTGTAATGCCCAGTGGTTACTCCTGGCTCTGCACTCAGGAATCACTCCTGAAAGTGCTCAAGGGAGCATGAGATGTCGGGAACAAACCCAGGTGAGCCGCATGCAGGGCAAGCACCCTACTGGCTGTGCTACTGCTCTGGACCTGGGAAACAGTATTTTTAAGCACAAGATCTTTATCATTCTAATAACTCCACTTTTGGAGTTATATGAGTGACAGCACTTTATTTACATATCACTTTAAATAACTCAAATTTTACTTTAAATAACAAAGTAGGGGCTGGAGCCATAGCACAGCGGGTAAGGCGTTTGCCTTGCATGCAGCCAACATGGCCGACACAGGTTCAATTCCCAGCATCCCATATGGTCCCCCGAGCACCGCCAGGAGCAATTCCTGAGTGCATGAGCCAGGAGTAACCCCTGAGCATCGCTGGGTGTGACCCAAAAAGCAAAAAAATAAATAAATAAATAAATAAATAACAAAGTAATATATATTTTACTTTAAATAAGTGATACATATATATATATATCACTTTAAATAACTCATATTCTACTTTAAATAACAGCTAAATTTGTCCTAGAACAAAATACAGAATGTATAGTATTACAAAATCATAAATTTTTTTTTTTTTTTTTTTTGCTTTTTGGGTCACACCTGGAGATTCTCAGGGGTTGTTCCTGACTTTGCACTCAGGAATCACTCCTGGCGGTGCTCAGGGGACCATATGGGATGCTGGGAATTGAACCTGGGCAGGCCGCATGCAAGGCAAATGCCCTACCTGCTGTGCTATTGTTCCAGCACCAAAATTATAAATTCTTATGAAACATTTAGCTAGTTACATCATAGTCTCAAGGCAATTTAGGCATCTAAAATTTTTTAAATCCAAAATGAGCACTCCTGTGAATATTACGTTCACCTTCCCCCATCCATTTCTTCTAATAATATATCAATACCAACAGGTGCGGCACCAGTGCCAAACAGTTCTGCACTGTCTCTTGGTGCTATAACTGAACCATCCAGGAACTGAATACATCCCTTGAATGTTGGGGTAGATTCCCCCTAGTACCACCACCACCAAAAAAAAAAAACAGGAACATAAAGTAAACATTTATTAGATGGCATAAATTTAGTTAGAAATGTCACAGTTTAGATTTAGGAAGAGATAATATTTATGCTTTTTTAAAAACTAGATGATGTACCTAAGATAAATAAGCTATTATAAATATTGATGATGGGACCAAGAAATAGTTGATAGGACTAGTGCACATGCTATGTCTATAGAAGGCTCAGGTTCGATCTCCAGTACTGCAGGGTCCCCCAAGTACCGCCAGGAGGAGCCCCTGAGCACTGCAGGATGCGGCACAAAAAAAAAGTATTGATGAAATAACATTCAAAATACATAACATCAAATATATAGCAGTTTTAGGGGCTGGAGCGGTAGAACACTTGCCTTGCATGTGGCTAACTCAGGTTCAATCCCCAGCACCCCTGAGCGCCAGGAGTTATCCCTGAGCACAGAGCCAAGAGTAAGTCCAGAGCACTTCCAGGGCACACGGCCCCCAAACAAACAAACAAAAAAATTCAAATAGTTTTATCAAAGAATAATTTACCTGACTCAAATGATTTCTCACAGTCCTTAATTCCATGTCTAGAGTCCGTAGGTTGAGTTCAAGCTGCTGTTTCACTTCAACTTCTTGATAATATTGCTCTTCTGTTTTTCTTAACTGCTCTCTAATTTTTTCATATAACATATCAGCACTTCGTCTTTTCTCTTCTTCTTGTTTCAAGGTAAATCTGTGGTTAAATATACTTATTTTAACACTAATTTCATTACAAAAATTAAAGGTTCATTTTATATCTGGTTCTACATTCTTTGACTAATTAAGCTGATAAAATTTCTGTGTTCATGAATTTTTTCTTTGCTAGGTCTTACATTTTTATCCTTAGTCTGGCACAAAAGATATATGCATTTGAAAGGTAGCAATAAAAAAATATGCTGACACTTAGTTTGAGTCGACAGCAATTGATAATATTGTGCATTATCGGAACAATATTGTATACTATTCAAAATAATTCTGAAATTCTTCAGTAAAGCTAGAGTTGAAAGTTACCCTTTTTTCTCATGAGTCATTATACCTTATTTGGACAGATTATTCAGTTATTAATTTTAAAAAGTCATTCAAGATCTGAGGGTTAAATGTAGGGAAGGGATATTCTTGATAACTTTTCAGTATCAATATTGCAAACCACAAAGCCCAAAAGTGGTGGGGGAGGGGGAGGAGAGAGAGAGAGAGAGAGAGAGAGAGAGAGAGAGAGAAAGAGAGAAAGAGAGAGAGAAAAAGCACCTGCCATACAGGCAGGCAGGGGGTGGGTGGTGAGGGGTGACAGGAGGGAACCTGGGGACACTGGCGCTGGGAAATGTACACTGTTGGAGGGATGGGTATTTGAATTCTGTATGACTGAAATCCAATCATGAACAACTTTGTAAGGGTCTATCTCACAGTGTTTCAATTAAAAAGTTAAAAAAATAAAGAAGTATTATTTATCAACAGGTTTATAAAATTCACTAGAAAAAGTTAATTTTTTGGCTCTGGAGTTCTATATATTGGTATTAAGACCCCCTTTTTTTCCCCACTAGCCCTGCCAGGAGTGATCCCTGAGTGCAGAGCTAGGAGTAAGCCCTGAGCACCACTGGACTGTAGCAAAAAAAAAAAAAAGTTAATTTCACAAAATATTACAGGTTGCCCTAGAAATGATTTACAGAGTTAGAGGACCTGCAAATGTTTTACACAACACAGACCTGCAGGCTAATGTAATAATGTAATGCAAGATGAAGCTAGAAAGCCGATCATCTGTCTCCCTAGTCTCTTTTTCTGCACTTCTTTTGACTTGTTTTTTTTGTTTGTTTGTTTGTTTTACAAATCATTTGAAATTTCCTTTCAAAACAGGATAGGATCTATATTAAGTAAACAACAAACAATAACTGCATTTCAAACACAGACCTTTGAACTAACTCAGTAATGAAGGAGATGCTGAATAGACTAATCAGTAATGATTTTACACTTTACTTTTTCTTCTATCCATATGTTAAAAACAAAATCCTAAACATCTTAATGAAATTTATATGTATTGATAAAAGTGGTCATCTCATATTCCTACTGGTAGGAATGTAAATTAACATAAACTTAACATACTGGAGAATACTTTGGAAGCATGAATCAAAAGGTTTTTAGAGTTCTTATACTTTAACCAATACTGTATTGAAGAATTTATTTAAAATAAATCATCAGTAACAACCGAAACAAATTTACACAAGACACTCCTGGTACCTATATTATAATACAGGGCATTAAAAAAAATCTGAAATTTGCTAAATAAATATAAGAGTTCTGTATAGTCATTAAAATTAAGATGAGGAAAAAATACACTTTAATCCTAATTTGCTGTATTTGCTCTTAAGAACTTGCTATATTGGCCCCAACCATGTAAGCTCATCTACTGGCCTTGTTCCAGAGACTCTCAATGATCTCAAAGAGATCAACCAGTGCAGACACACACACACACACACACACACACACACACATACACACACACACACACACACATCTTGGAACTGAGCGGTTTGCTGCAGAGATGCCTCCAGATTCTGCAATAGCCCACTTTTGCTGGGCCACTCCAGATGGGAACAGGTGCCGTCCCTCCATATGCCCCCTAGGAATCCCGGTAGCTGCCATCTTCTAGAACTCAATGAAAGCTCCAGGTACGTGGTGGCAGTGGTGGGAAATGTTAGGCCTCACAGGACAGGGGAGGAGCTGACCCTTCTCCTCTCTCTGATGGGACTCTGACATAACAGCCACAAATGGCCCCCAGCTACTTAAGGTCCCACACGGCCGTAATCCAGAGACACACACACATATGAATCTCGGAACCAATCAGCTCCCTGCAGAGATCTCTCCAGGCCCTAATGATTTATTTTTATTTTCATTTATTTTTTTTAAATGTAGTAGTACTGGTACTTATCAGCCACTGATTAGGCTGATTGAACTGCGTATGAACTCCACCTTACTTTTTTTTCTTTTTTTATAATTTTATTTATTGAATCACCATGAGAGCAGTTACAAAGCTTTCAGGTTTAAGTCTTGGTCATACAATGAAACACCCGTATCTTCACCAGTGTCCATTCTCCACCACCAAAACCCCAGTAGACCTACATCCCATACTCTCCCTCTACCTGTGGGGCAGATAATTTCCAAATTACCCTCTCTCTATTTTTATTACATTCAATATTTTGACACAAGACCCACCATTATTATTTGGGATTTTACCCCAACACTCAGATCTGCCAACAGTAGACCATTTGTTTTCTATTGCTGGTTATAAATAACATATGATGTCCCGTGGCTGCAGTAGTGGCCGCGATTTTGAAATTCCAAAATTTTAACAATTAAATCTGGAGGGATTTCTAGCCAAAGCCTGCTAGGTTCTGAGATTTGTTCCTGAGTCTCTGGGATCATGGCCGTTAAGCAGCTTGATCAGGAGCCAGAGAGGCCATTTGTGGGTGCTGACTCGGGGTCTCATTGGGATGGGGAGGAAAGAGCCGGCTCCACCTCCATCTCATGAGGCCCCATGTGTCTCATCAATGAGGGCCCAAACCTGACTGTCCAGTGTCCTCTGAAGGATGGCGGGGGAACAGGCCAAGGCACAAAACCTATTCCCACCTGGGATGGCCCAGCACCAGTAACCTACTGCAGGGACCAGATGCATTTGTGCCAAAGCCGTTGGGTTTCGAGATTTGTTTCTGAGTCTCTGGGATCATGGCCATTAAGCGGCTTGATCAGGAGCCAGAGGGGCTGTTTGTTGGTGGCAACTTGGGGTCTCGATGGGGTGGGGAGGAAAGGGCCGGTTCCACCCCCATCCCATAAGGCCCTGTGTGTCTCATCATGGCGGAACCAAATCTGACTGTCCAACGGCCTCTGGAAGATGGCAGCCACCGAGCCACCTAGGGGAGCAGGCGGAGGGACAGCACCCTTAACCTCCTAGGGTGGCCTGGTGACAGTAACCTACTATGGGGTCTGGATGCATTTTTGCCAAAAGCCGCTGGGTTTTGAGATTTGTTTCTGAGTCTCTGGGATAATGGTCATTAAGCAGCTTGATCAGGAGCCAGAGAGGCCATTTGTGGGCGGTGAATCAGGGTCTCATTGGGACGGGCAGGAAACGGCTGGCTCCACCACAATCCCGTGAGGCCCCACATGTCTCGTCACTGCGGGCCCAAACCTAACTGCCCAATCCCTCTGGAAGATGGCGGCCACTGAGTCACCTAGGGGGAGCAGGTGGAGGGACAGCACCTTTACCCCCCTGGGGTGTCCCAGTGACAATAACCTACTGCATGGTCCGGATGCATTTCTGCCAAAAGCTGCTGGATTTCAAGATTACTTTCTGAGTCTTTGGGTCATGACCTGACTGTCCAGTGGCCTCTGGAGGATGACGGCCACTGGGCCGCCAGGGGGAACAGGCCAAGGCACAAAACCTATTCCCACCTGGGGTGGCCCAGTGCCAGTAACCTACTGCAGGAACCGGATGAATTTCTGCCAAAAGCCATTGGGTTTCGAGATTTGTTTCTGAGTCTCTGGGGTCATGGCCATTAAGCAGTTGGATCAGGAACCAGAGAAGTCATGCCTCCAATTATATAGCTGAGCCAGAGGCGGTTTGTGGGTGTCTCCCACATACCTAAGTTTTGGCCGTTTACTTTCTTGGTAAATTGGTTCCAAGGTTTTGTGGTCTGGCCAAAGGCACAGCAGAAATTTTGGGGTATCTGGAAGTCTGAAGGTGCCATCAGGCTGCTGATGCACTCGCCTCACAGGTAAAGATTGACCTGCTGGCAGCATCATACCCCCCACCCCTGACCCTATTAAAATTCTAGAATTCCTAGAGTGCACGGCCATGAGATTATATTTTATCCATAATAAGTAATACAAAACAAATTGTCTAGCACTGACTTTTCAGCAAGTTTGAGTGGTGGTGAGATTGGTGTCGAAATATTGAATGTAACCAAAGTAGAGAGAGAGTATAGTGCAAACTGTTTGCCACACAGGCAAAGGAAGGTGTAGAACGGGGGCGGGGCAGATACTGGGAATTTTGGTGGTTGAAAATGTGCACTGGTGAAGGGATGGGTATTTGATGATTGTATGATCAAAGCTCAAACATGAAAGTTTTGTAACTGTATCTCACGGTGAATCATTAAAAAGGGGGGAGGGAGAGATCAACCAGTGCAAAACTTTCTTGGATCCCATTCCTGGCTGAAACCTCTGGGGCAATCTCAGGAGGGGGGCAGGCCAGCTCCTGCCCTACGAGTCCTGGGAGCCGCTGCCATGCCCCAAAGCCTCTGTCATACATCCAGCCTGACTTCCCGGTTAAATATTCTGGAGCTTCTGGAGCAATGTCTCCAAACTCTACAACACTGACATCCTAGTAGGAGTACACCAGATTAGATGGGAATGTAACAGAGAAGCCAACCAGTCTCAACTTAAAACTTAACACAGAAGGCTTAACTTGCAACAACAGCTCAGCAAACCCTCACACAAGGACTTCATGTCCCCAGGGGACTATACAACAATTTTCACAAATTTTCTTCAACAGAAATATTTTTTTAACATTCCATTAGCCATTTAGTGGTAACAAGCAATATTAAATCAATTGTTGTAGGCCTGCTATACAGAGGCAGGCTTGGAAAAATGGAGACAATGGTGGAGGGACGGTGATAGTTGGGGATGGGATTGGTGTACTGAATGCCTATAACAAATCATCATGAACAACTTTGTAAGCCAGGGTGTTTAAATAAAGTGGGGAAAAAAGAAAAAGTAAAATAAAAAGAAAAAAGTGGCAGAAAAAGAGAACTTGCTATATTATTTCTAAGAATTTCCTATTCTGTAATACTACAAGGGCTTTTTTTTTCCTGTAAAATTTAAAAAGGTATGTAATCAATGCAACAATGTAATCAAGTGAAATTCTTTTCTTTTCTTTTCTTTTCTTTTCTTTTTTTTTTTTTTTTTTTTTTTTTTGGCTCTCTTGGTCACATCTGGCAATGCTCAGGGGTTACTCCTGGCTTAGCACTCAGGAATCACTTGTGGCAGTGCTCGGGGGACCATACAGAATAGTAGGAATGGAACCCAGGTCGGCTGCATGCAAGGCAAATGTCCTCCCCGCTGCACTATTACTCCGGCCCAAGTAAAATTCTTCTATTTCTTTAAAACCAAGATTTAAAACCAGAGAGATAGAACAGGGTGTTAGGTTCTTGCTATGCATACAGTCAACCCTGGTTTAATTCTGGTAATACATATGGCCCAAACCTCCCTAAAACCACTTAAGGGTCATTCTTGAGCACTGCCAAGTATGGCCCCAAACCCTCCTACCTAAAATAAGTAAATAACTAAAATCAAGATGCTCAATACCTCAGGGTGCATAGTTCTTGCTCCCATTCCACTTTTTGATGTTCTAGCTGTGACTTGGTTTCTTTTGCTTCTGATAGCTTCTTTTGTAGACTACTAATCTTATTTCTCATTTTTTTATTTTTTCCTGTAAGTAGTTCACAGTAATTCTTTTTAAGTTCTATTAATCTTTCATATGAAAGAATTGCATCCTGGATTTTCAACAAGCTAACAGAATCTGCATCAGGGAGAAAACAAAAATAGAAATAAAATATGTAAGCATGTTTTTGTAAAAAAAAGACTGCATTTTCACATTTATTAATACACTGAATAAGCCTATACTGAATATCAACAAAGTACAAGACCATACAGTAAGCTTTACAGTAGTACAAAAAAGAAATTCCAACTTCTGTTACAAGTCTAGTGAAGGGGAGAGACAATGATGGTTAAGTCAGACAGACACTATACAGAAGTCTATGAACACGTACCAATACTAGATCTAAAGTGGGTCCAGGAAAGCTATCCCTGAGGAAGAGAGAGCTACCCTGGAAAACAGAGGATGGGCAGGAAGGTAAGATTAAAGAGTTCTTTGGACAGGCATCAACCAAATTTCTACTGGAATGTGCTTCTAGCCAATATGGGATAAGAGTTGCTGATTTGCTTTCCTACCAGAAACATGCAAAAGTTAAAAAGAGATGAAATACATTTCTACACAATTTTCAGAAATGCAAAAAGACTAATTTAAAAAAGGAATGCACAGCCACATTCACAATGGATGCAATGCTAGCTACAGCCTGTGCCTAACTCTGCCTAAAAACATCTGAAAGAATAAAAAAAGATACGATAAACATATTATACATACACACATATGCACGCACGCACACAATACAACTCGGCCATAATAAAGGATGAAATCTTGCATTTTACAAAAACACATATAGAATTGGAGTGAGTCATGTTATAATAAGTCCAAGGAAGAAAGATGATCACTCATATGCAGGATATATAGAAACAAAACACAGAAGAGATGAAATGAAAGGAAACCAACATAGGAACTCAGATCACAGAGCTATGGTGGGGGAGACATTTCCAACGGGTTGTGGTGGAAGGATGTTGGTGCCTTGGTGGTGGTTGGGGTGTGGTAACACACACCGTGAAGAGCTATAAAGCTGTACCCTTAAAACGCTTAGTGTTGTCAGGAATACTTGTTAGAAATGCATTAGAAAGAAACACACATAAAGTTGTGCAAATCAGCGTCATCTAGCTAAAACTAGACTAATCAGAATTACTAACATTCGAAAAACTGACAATGAAAGGGTTCAAGTTTTGGTTCTTAAAAGCTAGCACACAGATTGTAGAAATGTAGAATGGTATTATATATCTTAGCAAACAATCTAGGGGACCTGTAGGTGGCTCAATGGCAAAAGCACCTGCCTTATAGGTGTGAGGCCGTGAGTTCGATCCCCAGTGTTGTCCCACATGACGCTCTGCTATTTAGGATCCCCAGTGCCACAACAGAAAAAGTATACAGTCTCTCCAGAGCATCACAGCTAGTTGTATGTGAGCATCCCAAGTAAACTGTGCATCCCCAGCAAGCACTGCAAACAGAATGTGCATGACCAGCACAACTGCAGAATGTAAACGCTCCCCCTGCAAGCATGTGCCCAAGCACCAAAACTAAACAGTGTGACCTTTGGTGAACACCACAGCCTAATGGAAGACTGATACCGGAAACGTGTGTGTATGTGTGTGTGTGTGTGAGTGTGTTTGTGTGTGTGCACCCTCTCCCTACAGTGAAAGCAGCAACCACAGAACTGAAGAGCACAGGGCAGGGGAATTTAAACCTGGCAGCTTCTTAGTAAGGAAATATAATGAGGCACAAAAAAGACTTTTTGATGTGATAAATACATTAAATATCTTGACTGTGAAGGTTCTAGTGTAGAAGTTTGTCAAAACTATTAAATTACATACTTTATATATGTGGGATTTAACTGAAGCTGTTGGAAACAAAACTCTTATTGCAGAAAAAGACAACTCAGACAGGAGTTGAAACAAAGAGCGAGGAACTTCCTGAAATACTGCCAGTATAGTACTGCAGACTTCAACCTTAAAGCACAAGGAGTAACAAGTTAGTTTTAAGGGACTAAAATAGGATGAGATCAGAAGATTTTTTTCTAAGGTAATAACTATGGTTGCAGTAAGTCAAAGGTTTCAGGAGGTGGAATAGCAGGGGGGATATAGGGTTATCTCAGGTTTCCAGGGAGGAAGTAATGGTAAACCTGACCTTGGGGGAAGGTATAGGTAGAAGCAGAGCCAAACTGGGGACTGGAGTATAGTGCATATGGTCAACCTGAGTTTGATCCCCGGCATTCCATATGATCCCCTAAGCATTGCCAGGAGTGATTCCTGAGAGCAAAGCCAGGAGTAACCGCTAAGAATAGTTGGATATGGCTCAAAAACAAAATAAAACAAACAAAAAAAAAGCAGTGTCAACAGAAGTACTATGGGTTATCACAGACCTTGTGCTGGAAGTGTATATATAATATTTTCATATAAAACATTCTTTCAGAGATGAATAACATATCTGCATGAATATAGCAGAATAACATACTGCTATATGATGCAGTATTAAACAAAGTATTCATAATGTTATAGTATGCACTGAAAAGACCTTATATTTATATTATGGTCCTACCTTTACAATCCTTGCCAAGTTGTTCAATTAGCAACATAGAATTGTTATAATTAGAGTAAGGCATTTCACAATCCTCTGAAGTTGTTTCAGATGACTGAGTTATGTCATCAAGGATATCCACAGAATTAACTTGAAGTCTGACCTACAAATAAATAACACATCTTCAAAGTGTCTCCATAGTGTTTATAAACATACTAAGTGTTCAGAAGTGATAGTTTAATTTTTGTATAAAAAGAATCACAGAACTACATCTTCTAACAACAAATTTTTATCAAAAGGTTACTTATATTAATTTTGAGGGTTTTTTTAAAGTAAAACAGAAGAAACATTGCTTTTTTATTTGCACTCAATTCAGAAATATTGCAACTAAAGGAAAATATTTATTACCAAAAAATACCTGATCAGCTTCAATCTCTAACTATACATATTCTTCTACAATAACACTACTGTTCAAAGCAATACTTCAATTTTACACTAGATGGCAATCACAAGAGAATGACAAATCAATTTTGAGTTTTAAAATTCCTATCTTCTATCTCATAGTAAACATCTCTATAACAAAGGAAAACATTTTATATACCTTTTAAAATGCACCATTTTACTAAAAAATAATTATTTTTATACACTATTTTTTACAATACCTTATTCTTTTCATCAGATGCTTTTTTAACAGACCTGAAAGAACAAACAGTTGTTTAAGGCAAATATTAAATAACACAAAGACTATCTAAAACTATTATTTTAATATATAATAATATAAATATAGTATATATATCTATTAGTTAATGTATAATATCTGCATTTAGAATTGATTTTCTAAAGGTGAGCATTAGGAAATAAAGAGTAACATTAAAAAACAAAGAAAAATATGACTAATAAAGTAAGTAAGTAAAGGCCCTCCCGTTGATCATCGATTTGCTCGGGCGGGCCCAGTAACGTCACCATTGGAGACTTTGTTGTTACTGTGTTTGGCATATCGAATACGCCACGGGGAGCTTGCCAGGCTCTGCCGTGCGGGCGAGATACTCTCGGTAGCTTGACGGGCTCTCCGAGAGGGGCGGAGGAATCGAACTCGGGTCGGCCATGTTGGCTGCGTGTAAGGCAAATGCCCTACCGCTGTGCTATGACTAATAATAATTTAAAAATTAATTTTATTACATAATTTTAACTTCAGTGTGATAACACTTAAGTAATCACCTGCACATTTAATTATCCAAAAAAATTTCACTTCAGAACAAATTACGAATAAAAAAACTCTCCCCATAAAACTATTCATGAAGAGAGGGCCAGAGTGATAGTACAGCAAGATAGCAGGGCTCTTGCCTTGAAAACAAGTGACCCCAGTTTAGCATCCTATATGATCCGCAGAGCACCATCAGGAGTGACTCCTGAGCACAGAGACAGGAGTGAGCACAAAGCATCACCAGGTGTGGTCCAAAAAACAAAAACTATTCATGAATAGGGCTGGGGAGATGGTTCAACTGGTTGGAGCAAATGTTTTGCCTGTGGCGGTTCTGGATTTGATCCCCCAATACCACATGGTCCCCCAGCACTGCTGAGAACAACCCCAAGCACCATACCAGAAGGAGCCCAACATACTATCAGCTCTGGCACCCCAAAAATTACTATTCCTGGCCAGAGCAAATAGTAGAACGAGTAGGACGTTTGCCCTGCACACAGAAGACCCAAGTTCAATCCCCAGCATTCCATATAGTCCCCCAAGAACCACTAGGAGTAATCTGAGTGCTGAGTCAGGAGTAACACATGAACATCACTGGGTGTGATCCAAAAAGCCAAAAAAAAAAAAAAAAAGGAAACAAAACAAAACCAAAAAAACCCTGCTATACCTGAAGAGAAGAATTATGGACAATCAGTTCACTCTAATCTTTCAAGGATAGGTGCTATAATCAACAACTTCCTAAAAATTAGAAATGCTTTCCCCACACTATTGCAGCATTAAATGTACCCCAGGCCTCTGAGCACCAAGCGCCTCACACTATCAGAAGTAGTCCAAACACCGAATGATAATATGGAAGGAGGTGGAGATGAGGAGGGGAGTAGGAACACGGGGAGGAAGAGGAAGACTCTGACAGCTCACCTCTATTTCTTTTCCCAGTGTAGGGCATCAGACTCAGGATCTCACACACGCCAGGTGAACATACTAACTCACATCCCCAGCCTTAGAAGCTCCCATTTTAACACAAAAATAAGTAAGACTCACTTCATCTCTACATGCTTCCTAAGTCACCATGTCTCTATTGCCTCTCCTGGTAAATCCTCACCTCTAAAGGAGCTGGCTGCATTTATTCACGAATTACCGAAAGGCAACAATTTCTGGGAACAGCACTCTGCCCACATGACCTGTCAGCGCTGACCTGCAACATTTTTCTGATATGGCTGGGAATTGCCTTGGTCTGTATGTAACATTATAGCATTTTATTTCCATGAGGAGTCATCACTGATCCCAAGAATTCTTTTCCGAGAAAGAAAGAATTTGTAGGTTTTTACCTCTCATCCTTTTGATCTGCTTTACTTAAACTGCTGTCATCATTTACTTCACACAGTGACTCAGCACTGACTCGGGACTTGGGTCTCTCAAATACTGATGAAATCACAGATGCTTTGGGAGTCCAATTTTTTTCATTTTCTTTTTCTTTTACTTCCTTCATAGGCAAGCTCAAAACAATACTTTTTAAAAAATCATTAAAAAGTTAGTTTTCTAATTATTCTACTGATGAACAATTTTCATAAAATTCTAGCTTTCACCTCATTTATTCATTCACAAAACATACCCATCAGATACACAGAAATATACACTGCTTGCTTCAAAGACAATTATTACGATTTTGATAACTGTGCTATAGAAAGTAGATGGATGAAAAGTTGTAAGCACTGTAAGAAAGACTTCAGAGAAGAGACTAAAGAAAGAAAGGAGGTCAGCAGGAAATAAAATGGAAGGAAATCCTTCTACTTAGAGATTTCAATAAGAACACAAAAATTAGACATGTGATATCCAAATGTTTCCTAAGAACTTGAAAGGAAAAGTATGAAACACATGGAAGCAGCAGCAAGAAATGAGTCAGTAAAGAAATTGTGAAGGGGCTGGAGCAATAGTACAGCGGGTAGGGTGTTTGCCTTGCACGTAGCCGACTCAGGTTCGAGTCCCAACATCCCATATGGTCCCCCAAGCACCGCCAGGAGCAATTCCTGAGTGCATGAGCCAGGAGTAACCCCTGTGCATCGCCAGGTGTGACCCCAAAAAATAGCAAAAACAAAAACAAAAAAAATAGAAATTGTGAAGATCTTTGTCACACTAAAAAGCTGGAATTCCTAACTCAGGCAGGGAGGTAAAAATTCGATGTAAGCCATATATTTGTCTTGTTTTTTAAAATAACAGCACTGGGGCTGGAGAGATAGTACAGAGGTTAAAGCACTTGAATCGCATGGAGCTGAAGCCACAACAATACTAGCATCACAGGATGGTCCTCTGAGCACAGCCAGGTGTGACCCTTGAGCAGTCAGTCAGGAATACTACAGCTCAACCAAAGGTGTGACTCAAATCACGCTCCCCCCAAAAATTAAAAAAAAAAAACAAATAATTTTTTAAAACCCACAATACCTTGAGGGTAAGGCACAAGAAATCATCACAAAGCACAGAATAAAAAATTGGAACTAAAGCAATAGTATAGCCAGTAGGGTGTTTGCCTTGCACGTGATCCCTGGCATATCCATATGGTCCCCCAAGAAACACCAGGAGTGATTCCTGAGTGCAGAGCCAGGAGTAAGCCCAGAGCATTGCCAGCTGTGACTATCCCCCTCACCCCCCTCCCACATAAAGCCGAAAAATAAATAAAAATTTTAAAAAGAAAGATTTTGGGGGGTGGGAGGGATACTGGGATCAGTGGTGGTGGAGAATGGGCACTGGTGGAGGGATGGGTGTTCAATCATTGTATAACTGAAACCCAAGCACAAAAATTTGTAAGTCTACAGCTGTACCTCACGGTGTTCCACTAATAAAAATTTAAAAAAATAAAAAATAAATTGGCAAGCTGTAATAAAAGAAAATACTAAGCAAAAATATAAAAGACTTTTTGTTTTTTAACTATTTTTGGTTCGGGGGCCACACCTGGCAGTGCTCAGAGTTACTCCCAGCTCTGCACCTCAGGAATTATCCTGGCAGTGCCCACGTGATCATATGGGATGCCAGGGATCGAGTGCCAGTCAGCTGCATGAAAGGCAGTTGCTCTACCTGTTGTACTTTCACTCCAAACCCCAAAAGAAGATTTTTAAAAAAACATGAGTTTCATGGGACAGCATCATCATATGAGTTTCAGATGGAGAAGAAATGAAAAAGGGTAAGAATTATTGGTTGAAGAAATAATAGTCTCGATTCCTCCAGTCTAAAGGAAACATAAACCCAAATCAGGAAGCTCAAAGAGTTAAAAGTAAGTGAATAATAACAATAATCCCAAGTAGAAGAACTCTGAGACACATTGTAATTAAAATGCCAAAGGCCAACAATAACAGACTCTTAAAAGCATCGAGAAAAAGCAGGCTCACTTAACAGGGAACCCCTCAAAGACACGGAATGAAATGAAATTAATATGAATTAATCAATTCATATTAAATGAAATTCTGCAGACAAGAAGAGAATAGTATGGGGCCCAGAGCAACAATAATACAGTGGGAAGGGCACTTGTTCTACACACATCTGACCTGGGTTCGATTCCAGCATCTCCTATGGTCCCCTGAGCTCTGCCGGGAGTAATTCCTGAGTCCTGACCCAGAAGGAAACCCTGAACATTGGCAGGTCTGGCACCTCCCAAAATACCCAAAGATTTTGCTTTACAGGAAAAGAATACTTGTATACTATTAAATAGTGCTATGTAGAATATATATTTTAAATTCTACTATATAGGTTTACCTATCAGAATCTTCATTCTCCGAAATAGAAAATTGCTGGTTATCAGTTTTCCTGTTCTTTCTTTGCTGAATGAGTCCAGCACTAGCAGCTTCATGCATGTTTTCTGATGCTTTTATTTCACTGTTTTTGTGTTTCTTCTTTTCTTCTTCAACCTTTAATAAAAGTTTGTTACAAAGGACACTTTAAAAAAAATGTGTTTTCAATAAGTTTATCATTTAGTCTGTTCTTAATGTATAAAATTCTTTCTATGCTTACTTCAGTCTTCATTAGACTGGGAGAAACAGAAAAATAAAAGAACCAAGACACTAATAAAGACACTAACAGTTAACTGTGCAGAGGCAAGATCCTGGAGCATCCCTAACAAAATGCAGGCTGGGTGCGCTGTCTTTCACCTGTCACTTCTTACAATTCGTCTTTTCATTTCGATCTGAGGATACCAAAGAAAGTATCAATCTTCAACAAAGTTTACTATAATACAGGGAACAAAATGAAATTGATCTGTTACTAGTAGAATTCTGAAAACAAAAGTGCTTTGAAATTTCACATTCAACAAGCAGAAAATGAGATACCTAGATAGTACAAAAGTAATTATTGACAAGAGCAGACAGAGATATGTCCAAGGCTCCTACAGGGGCAATACTAAATATCCTGTGTTGCTGAAACAAATCTCCAGCATTGAATCGATAAATCACCCCCTATAATCACCACGTCAATCAGAGAAAGTGTGACTGTGGTAAAGGAATTTGCTGACTTAGTTGAGGAAGAAGGCTCAATTTAAAGATGTTATTACTAGATTTGGGCAATATTTCAAACTTAAGGTACTAGAAATAGTTTTTCTTTTCTTTGGTACTAAACATTAAAAGTTTTTGCTATATATGAGATAATATGTCAAGACTTACCATAATTAAACAATGTAATGAGAAAGTTTGATTTAACAGAATCACGTGAGAGTGGCGAAACAGAAAACAATAGACTTTATCTATTTGATATAAAAAAAATTCTCAAAGTAACCAAGCTGGAATTCTAAGTTCTAAGGGTTGATCTAAAAACAGATAAAAACTGTAAACTCTAAAGCACAATATAATCTTTTAACTAAGACTATTTGTTTACTGCTTCCTTCCCATTTTAGCTGGTACCCCAGTTCCTCCCCATTTGAAAAGAAATTTGACAAAAGAGTTAGGCTGATTCAGAACAAAAACGGTGAGAATGCTCCCTGAATATTCTTAGAATGTTCTTAGAATTCTTAGAATGGAGGAAATCCAGACACAATTACATACTCAAACAACCCCATTGTAGGTGTGAGTTGTTTTCATAAGTTGAAAATCAGAATGGATGAGACCACTGATAGAAGGGGGGAAAAAAAAACAGAGCAGCAGCAAGGGCACCTCTACCTCTTTTTGCAGTTGAACTTTCGCTTTTTCCAGAGCCAGGAATTTAACTTGCAAAATGCCTATCTCATTCTTAAACCTCTGTACGTCTTGCTGTAGTTCTTCATTTAGATATGGTTTTGATGTTCTGTGACTACATGGGAGAGAAGAACTCACATTTCCTAGTACCAGGTCCAGATCCATGCTTTTGAAATTATTAACATTGTAATTATCAGCACAGATTGGCATATGGAGCAAATCTTGCATTGGTTTTGTTTCTTTACAAATGTCTGTATCAGCAGAAATTTTGTGCTCTTTTATTTGAATCATGTTCGTTTCACTGGAGCGGGAGAGCCACAAATCAATAACGCTTTTTGGATCACTAGACTGCGGAAAACGGCGGTCTTCTCCTACCTCAAAAGGAACTAAGGGGTTCCTTATTTTTTTACCTCTTGTATCACTATAAAAGCTCTCCTTGGTTTTGTTAACATGATCAGTGTCTAGTCTGTTACCATTTTTACAGTCTAATTTGTTCTCATTTAAATAAAGAACAGAAGATGACTGGCCAGTAAATTCCAGGGGCGAGGAATATGAATGAGATGGAAAGATATTTTCCAGGCTGGGTTCTTTCTGTTCAGGAAATGCCTGATGCACCACAAGGACTGATACTCCAAATGCATCTTTTTCCTCACAAGCAAGTACATTATTTGTCATATCAGAAGATATTTCCTTCAAGTTTTCTCCTTCTTTGGAGTTACGTGGTTCTTCCTTACGACAAGCAGTGATTTCATGTTTTTCATGGTCAAACTGGTGCTTTAACCCGTTTGTGATGAGTTTTAATCGATTTTCCCACTCCAATTTGCTTTGTTTGGTCCACATTTCCTCATACTTTTGCACACTGGGAAGTTCTGAATACACAATCACAGACTCCCTACTGCAATCCTTACTTATTTCTGGCTCTTGAGACATCTTTTGCAGATATAAAAGTGGAATGCTAATTTGCTTGGTCTGATTTTCAGAAGTCTTTTCTCTCAGGGTGCATGTTTGTAAAATAACTTTAGCCTTAGGTTAATGAAGTACAGACAAAGAAAAATTAGAAAATAATCCAAATGTAACCATTAAAAGTTAAAATCTATATCTATAAATTTCCAATTCACTTGACTATAGAATTTTTTTTTTGTTTTTGTGCCATACAATGCTGTGCTCGGGGCTTACTCCTAACTTTGTGCTCATAGATCACTCTTGGTGGTGGCTGGGGACCATAGGAGAAGCCAGGGATTGAAGCCAGCATGGCTGTGTGGGAGGCAAATGGCCCACCCACTGTACTATCACTCTAGTCCATTGACTGTGGAATCTGTCATACCCTAAAACAGGACCAAAACCCCAGTAAACTGAACTCTGTCATTTTGGGGCTAAATTTAACATTTGATTATATAAAGGCAGCCAAGAATTAACTAGAGCATTTTTTATATTGCAAAATCTTTCTCCCGTAAAAAAATAAAAATACACCTCTCCTCAGGCCAAAAAGATAGCTCTAAGATCTGAGGCACACATTTTGCCTCCTGAGACCAATCTTAGCACGACATGGTCCCCTGAGCAGCAAAGCTACTCCCCTGAGTACCACCAGGGGTGTCCAAAAACAAACAAAAATCTCACTTCATCATACCTTAAATGCTTAACCCTTAAAGGTACATTTTAGGTACACTTAAGGTCAACAGGTGGAATGCAGTCATTTAGAAATTATTAGGACCCAGGATCAATTAAGATCAGAGAGAACAGCAAGTTCCTAAATTAGTTCAAGTTACATATTATGATAGTGTGGTGCATCAAAAGTTATCATTCTACAGAGTTTATGGGTGCTTCCCTTCAATGCAGCCAACCTCAGTTCAATTCTGACCCCACATATGACCTCCAAGCACTGCCACGAGAAATCTCTGAGCACAGATGCAAGAGTAAGGCCTACACATCACTGGATGTGGCCCACCTACCCTCCATGCTCCCCTGCAAAAAGAATCAAAAGTTAACTTCTTGCATCTAGTTCTAATATATTTTAATATACACTCACGAGAGTTGATTTGAAATTTTAAAAATATTCACTGATTTCCTACACTAAAATGAATTGTGATAAAACTATTCGTTTGTTTGTTATTTAATTTGGAGGGCATACCCAAGCTGTGCTCAGGCCTTATTCCTGGCTCTGCACTCAGGGATCACTCTTGGAGGGAGCTTGGGGGAACCACATGGGATGCTGGGATTGAAACACTTGCAAGGCAAAAGTCTTACCCACTATATAACTCTCCATCCCTAAAGTTATTCTTTTATATCCAAACAACAAAGGTGCTATAGTAGAAGATGTGATTGTTTTTGATAAGCAACTGAATATATTCATGAACAAATTATGTTCCCCAAATCGAGGACTCTACAGAGATCACAGACAGAATGGAGCTTTAATCCTGGCATTAGTGACTGTAATATTCACCTGCAAATGTGGAATCACTGGACATGATTACTCCACTCTAAAGGTCCAACTTAGTGTTCTCACTGTGTCATTAGTCAGAATTTCCACTGTTTAGTCAGATGGTTCCATATGTGATGCTACCTTCTTAATTGTGTATAGAATTATAAAAATAGAAGAAGCAAATAATATTCAAGAAAAAAATTTCTTTCAAGGATAATGTTTACCAAAAACTCACTATATATTCTAACAATATTCTGTGTTGGTTTTTGTGTTTCTATTTTTAGATTACACCTGGCTGTGCTCAGGGCCTTATGTGTACTCAAGAGATCACTTGCAAGGCAAGTACCCTACTTGCTGTGCTACTGTTCTACCCCAGATTCCATGTTTTAGATGAAATGAAATATTAAGAGGCCAGGGACAAGGGTTAGTGGTAGAATATCTGTCTTATATGTGAGAAGCCCTAGGTTTGATTCCTAGGTCCATAAAAATGAAAAGAAATTAAAAAGGGAGTATCACATCCAGCTGTGCTTAGGACTTACTCCTGGTTCTGTGCTCAGAGATCACTACTGCAGGGCTCAGAGGACCATATGGGGTGTTGAGATTGAATCCAGATTGGTCACATGCAAAGCAAACGCCCCGTCTGCTATACTATCACTACAGCCCCAATAAGAAACTAAAGATTAAATCACAATCAAATTTTAAAAGACTATCTCCAAACATAATTCCACTTCTACTATGCTACATTACTAAAGCATAGAAAACAATATAAAACCATAAAGGTAAGTCTAAAAATGTCATCATACCTGTGGGTGGTTATTTTCACTTCCACTGAGTCTTTCTTGAGTCTCTTCCGATGTCGTGTCTAAGTTTAGTTCAGGTGACAAATCTAAATATTTATTGAAATGAACTATTTAGATAAAAGCTATAGCTTTAATAAAAACAGACAATGACATTTTAACTATGCTTAATTTTAAATATAATATTTACTTCTTTAAGAACTATTTCTAACTGGGACCATAGAGACATCCCTTAGTCCATTATGCTCTTTCCAGCACCAAAACAGTTTAAAGTATATAAAGTCCCACAATAGTCTCTACTTCATAACAGCTCCATTTTAACAACACAGTAAGCTCCAACTACAATACCATTCACAATTCTGAAAATAATTTTTATGGGGGTGGGTGAGAAAAGACAGTGGGTAGGGAATTTAGTGACTGGCGATACACACATGGCCAACCCAGGTTTGATTCCGAGCATCCCATCTGGTTCCCTGAGCACTGCCAGGAGTAATTCCTGAGTGCAGAACCAGGAGTAACCCCTGAGCATTGCTGGGTGTGACCCCAAAAGCTAAACAAATAAATATATATTCCATGCTGTTATCTTTTCTTCAGTGCTATCTTAGCTCTTTATAGATTTTCCATGTGTATCTTCACTATCTAAAGATTTTTCTTTACAAGTGTGTCTCCTTTTCTCCTAGTCTATAGGGGACAGTGTCTTGAATCATCTCCAGATTCTGGGGAGATAATATTGGGGTGAAGGAGCTGGCCTTATATGTGGCTGACCCTGGTTCCATTTTCAGCATAGCACCTGGAATGACCCCTGAGCACAGAGCCAGAAATGAACACCACCAGGTGTGGTGTCCAACAAAAATAAGAACATTCATCTCCTCATAAACAGACTTTGTAAGCCATACTACTCAAAGGGGTAGAGGCTAGGAAAGGGGGAGAGAATGTGGGGTTAGGGTGTGAAAGGGAAAAGAACATCCAATAGGGTAAATATTTGCCTAAAACATATGGACCAATGAGGAAGGCATCAATCATCAGCTATTTGGAAGGCCAGAGAATAGAAAACGCTCTTTTGACTAACGGAAGGTGTTTTTGTTTTGTTTTGCTTTGTTTTGGGGCCAAAGCCAGCAGTGCTCAGGGCTTACTCCTGGCAAATATCCCACCTATGTACCCTCTGGCCCTGCTTTATTGAGTCTGGCTGAAGTCAGACTACAAAGCCTTATTTGTAATTATGAGACGCTGAATAATTAACATATTTTAACGTGTGGGTAGCTTAATTAACATATTGTAAGTGTAATTAATTAACATATGTTGAGGTAATATATAGATATGATTATAAATATAGATGCACAGTTAATTGTTGCTTTTTGCAGTGCCAGGGATCAGACCCAGGTAATGTACTTTACCACTGAGCCACAGCCCTGTCATGACCAACAGCTGTATTTTCATTTGAATTAGAAAATTCTAAACATAAAAAGGGATGAGTCTGAGAGGCATATAAATAAACAAAGGAAAACAAAATAAAATACAATCATTCAAAATAGTGAAAACTTAGCGGTCCTGAAATAGTAAAAATTCAGTAGGCCAGAAATCAGGGAATGATTCCAAAAGTGTTTAGAATATAAAGTTATCAGAGCCCAGTACAGAATATTTACCAAATGACAGGGGTATGGTGCCGCAAGCAGGTCAGTCTGTACCTGTGAGGCGAGTGCATCAGCAGCCTGATGGTACCTTCAGACTTCCAGATACCCCAAAATTGCTGCTGTGCCTTTGGCCAGACCCCAAAACCTTGGAGCAAAGATTACCAAGAAAATAAATGGCCAAAAATTAAGTATACGGGAGACACACCCACAAACCACCTCTGGCTCAGCTATATAATTGAAGGTATCGTCTCTTTGGTTCCTTATCGGACTGCTTAACGGCCATGATCCCAGAGACTCAGAAACAAATCTCAAAACCCAATGGCTTTTGGCAGAAATGCATCCGGTCCCTGCAGTAGGTTACCGGAGCCAGGACACCCCAGGTGGGAATAAGTTTTGTGCCTTGGCCTGTTCCACCTGGCGACCCGGTGGCCATCATCCTCCAGAGGCCACTGGACAGTCAGGTTTGAGCCCAGAGTGACGAAACATGCGGGGCTTCACGGGATGGGGTTGAGGCCGGCCCTTTCCTCCCCATCCCAACGAGACCCCGAGTCACTGCCCACAAACAGCCTCTCTGGCTCCTGATCAAGCTGCTTAACAGTCACGATTCCAGAGACTCAGAAACAAATCTCAAAACCCAGCGGATTTTGGAAGAAATGCGACCAGACCATGCAGTAGGTTACTGTCGCCGGGCCACCCCAGGGGGAAAGGGTGCTGTCCCTCCACCTGTTCCCCCTTGGCGGCTCGGTGGCTGCCATCCACCAGAGGTCATTGGACAGTCAGGTTTGGGCCCGCAGTGAGGAGACATGTGGGGCCTCATGTGGGCCACCAAAGAGACCATACCTTCAATTATATAGCTGAGCCAGAGGTGATTTGTGGGTGTGTTTCCCGCATACTTAATTTTTGGCCGTTTATTTTCTTGGTAATCATAGGATGGTATGGAGCCGGCCCTTTCTTCCCAATCCCAATGAGACCCGAGTTGCCGCCAATGAATGGCCTCTCTGGCTCCTGATCAAACTGCTTAATGGCCATGATCCCAGAGATTCAGAAATAAATCTCGAAACCCCGCAGCTTTTGGCAGAAATGCGTCTGGTCCCTGCAGTTGGTTACCAGTGCTGGGCCACCCCAGGTGGGAATAGGTTTCATGCCTTGGCCTGTTCCTCCTGGTGGCCTGGTGGACACCATCCTCCAGAGGCCACTGGACAGGTTTGGGCTCGCAGTGATGAGACACGGGGACCTCACGGTATGGGGGTGGAGCGGCCCTTTCCTCCCCACCCCAATGAGACCCTGAGCTGCTGCCCACAAACGGCCTCTCTGGCTCCTGATCAAGCTGCTTAACAGCCATGATCCCAGAGACTCAGGAACAAATCTTGGAACCCAGCAGGTTTGGGCAGAAATCCCTCCAGATTTAATTGTTAAAATTTCGGGATTTCAAAATTGCGCAGCCACTACTGCAGCTGCACGACATCATATGTTATTCATAACCAGCAATAGAAAACAAATTGTCTACGGTTGCCTCTTTGGCATATCCAAGTGTTGGGGTAAAATCCCAAATAATAATGGTGGGTCTGGTGTCAAAATACTGAATGTAATCAAAGTAGAGAGAGAGTAATGTGGACATCATCTGCCTCACAGGTAGGGGGAGGGTCTGGGGTGGGGGTATTCTGGGGTTTTTGATGGTGGAGAATGGGCACTGGTGAAGGTACGGGTGTTTCATTGTATGACTGAGACTTAAACCTGAAAGCTTTGTAACTGCTCTCACGGTTATTCAATAAATAAAATTATAAAAAAAATGAAAAAAAAAGTATGTTGGAGTTCATGCACAATTCAATCAGCCTAAATCAGTGGCTGAATAAATAGCAGTCCTCCTACATTAAAAAAAAATTATTTACCAAATAAAAACCCAAATTTTAGGTCCCTGATGAAATCATTAAAGTTAAAACACAACTGATATGCTAGTAAATGAAACTTTACTTTGAATAAGGCATTAAAAATATTGGAAAAAATCTTAGTATCTAATGAAAAACTTCTGAGACTTCCCTAAGAAGTAGTTTCCAATTGGCAGGTTGGGGGCAACAAACTGTAAAAGGGAAAATACCTGGGGCTAGAGAGATAAATCTCTCTACAGTGATACTACAGTGATAAATCAGTTGCCCTGCACATAGCTGATCCCAATTTGATCCCCAGCTCCAAATATGGGCCCCTGGGCGCTGCCAGAAGTGATCCCTGAGCACCAAGCTAGGTGTAAGCCCTTAGCACTGCCACTGGGTCTGGTCCCAAACCCCAAACCCCATCCTCCCAACCACCAAGTAGAAATATCTGAGTTAATGTTTGTATCCTTTTAAATCTCTCTTAAGGAGCCGAGAGATAGCATGGGGGGTAGGGCACCCACCTTGCATGTGGCCAACTCGAATTCAATCCCTGAGACTGCCAGGTATGGCCCCAAGACAAAAATAAAAACAAAAATTTCCCTTAAGGGGCTGGAGCAGTAGTACAGCCCTTGAGTTTTGCACGTGGCTGACCAGGATTCAATCCCCGGTACCAGATATGGTCCCCAGAGCCAGCCAAGTACGTTTCCTGAGAGCAGAGCCACAAGTAAGCCCTGAGCACCGCCAGTTGTGGCTCAAAAAATAAAAAAACAAAACAAAAAATGTTTTTCAACTTGCAAAAATATTTTATTTAAACATGGATACCAACAGACCAATCTTAATTACTTATGTCAAATCCTTCCAATAACTGAAAAAAAAGAATACTACAATCATTTCAAATATTTTAGTGTACCTCTTTGCAGAGTTAAATTTACCTGGTGGAGATGTTTCAGCATCCTTTATTTCTACTGCTTTATTAGGAATAGAATCTTTCAGTTCAATAGGAGGCTGAATGGATTTAAAACAAGATGATTAATAAATGATGCAAATCTGATAAAAATCTTTACTTAATAATTCAAGAGAAAAGTAAAAGGTATTACCTTCAAATGGCGGTATTTTTCAAATGAATCTAAAAAGCAAATGGGACACATAATCAATTGTACATAAATATGAATCCCGGTCATAGTGACATGCAGAGTAAGTATTGAGGTGAATCCTCATGCTTAGCTGCAGAAATGATTGCACTTGATTTCAGTGATTAGTTTAGAAAGAAATATGAATCCATTACAATACTGAAGAGATTAGAGGAATGCAGATCTCACAAAACATGCACTTAGGTTTCAAAGGGTCATGGGACAAATGACCAGAAATACAGAAATACTGAAATACAGAAATACGCATAGATGAATGTGAGCATGCTGATGGGAGAAAAATGATTATTAATCAGGACAAATGATGGCCCTGACAGGGGAAATGTGAAAGCTGATGGACAAATACAGCAGCATTATTTTTAATGCAGAACATAAGAATCATTTAAAGTATTATACTACAAGTATTTATCATGTCCTTCAATTTGTTCCGTAATGGAGCAAGTACATAATGGTGATGGCAGTCCGTTGAACATATAACTCACTTCTCTTCAGAAAGAGTGTTATGAATTGATCGGCTTGAACATATACTTGTAGAATAATAGTTAATAAAAGTATTCATTATTTTTTCATACCCAGGGGGGCTACTGGAATGCCTACATTTCTTGTATCCTCTACTTTAGACATCTTAAAGTTGCTTGATCCACTCATGCAAGAAGGAATATAAAACATATCTATGAAACAATATTATAGTAAGTTTTTAATAATTGAAATATCAAAAAGAAAAATATTAATTGCCAAGGAATATCTTTTTTTAATTTTATTTATTTATTTATTTATTTTAGCTTTTTGAGTCATACTTAGCGATGCTCAGCGGGTTACTCCTGGCTCTGAACTCAGAAATTACTCCTGGCAGTGCGCACGGGACCATGTGGGATGCCGAGAATCTAATCCAGGTCAGTCAAGTACAAGGCAAACACCCTATCTGCTCTACTTTCGCCCTGGCCATTCTTTTTTTATTTTGTTTTGTTTTGGTGGCAAATCAGTGATGCCCAGAGGTTATTCCTGACTCTACAATCAAAAATTATACCTGGAGATGTTCAGGGGACAATATGGAGTGCTGGGGATCGAACCCAGGTCAGCTGACTACCCACTCCGGCTAGTCTTTAGAGAAAATGTTTATGAAATAATTATCTTATCAAATATCAGCCATCATAGGAAAAAAGACCAGCCAGAACTTCTACACTCAATCTCTTCTGAACAACTAGCAATAAAACATCTGTCTTTCATACCTGCCTCATAGCTGAAGAGGAAAAATGAATGGCTTAAGTTTATTCAAATTCCAATACTCCATCCCACTTCCACTACATCCTGAAGCAGTGATATGTCCTATTTCTGTGCAAACTTATGGAAGTCATCTATAGTGAGTTTTCTGGGACGTCCTCATCAACTTCAAGATGACGTGGCAGGCCAGAGCTAAGTGCACATTCTGCATGCAGAGAGCCTGCATTCTGTCCACAGCACTCACAGACCCCTCAACGGCACTGCCCAGCAACTCAGCCAGGAACACACCCTGAACACTACCAGATATGGCCCAATAAATGCATGCTCCCCTCCAACCAGCACACATAAAAACATCACAGAATTAATACCTTTCTTTTCTCCTTTCTTTCACTATCCCTCTTCTTCTTCAAAAATAATTTCTGTGGTGCCAGAGATCAAACCTGGGTTGGGCTACGTGCAAGGCAAGTGTCTACCTGCTATGCTGTCCCTCCAGGTCCAATTCTTCTCCTTTTAAGTTCTTTGGTTTTTGTTTGTTTGTTTGTTTTTGGACTACATGGCTGGCAGTCAGGGTTTACTTCTACTCTGTGCTCAGGGATCACTCCTGGCAGTGATGGAGGGAATTTATGCGGTGCTGGGGAGGGACCCCAGGGGGGGTTCACATGTAAGGCAAAAGCCTAACCCCTGCACTATCTCACCAGTCCCCTTTTGTGCTCTTTATCTAGATCATCCCTACCCATTTATCTAGATCATCCCCATCCATTTATCTATATCATCCCTATCCATTTCACCTTTCCTTATTTTGTTTCACATTTCCCATCCATTTCACCTTTCCTTGATTAGCAGTAGGATCTAGCACCTATAATTTCAAACTCTTCATGGATTTGGTATCATCTGGCTATAACTATGCTCAAAATTAAAACCAAAGGATGCTTTTACTAGGGCTGGAGAGATAGGAGTTAAGGTGCTGGCCTTGCATGCAGTCGACCCTGGTTCCACTCCTGGCATCTCGCCACTGAGTGTGGCCCAAAATAAAAATGAAAAATATTTTTCCTTGACTTTGGTCTATCGTGAAATATCTGATGACTCTTCCTCCTCATCACCCTTGCTACTCAGCACAGCATCAATGCCTGAAGGCTGTTAGAGATGCAGAATCCTTTGGCGTGCAGAGAGATTAGATAGCAGGTAGGGTCTCTGCCCTGCATGTGGGCAACTCAACCCGGGTTCCATCACTGGCATCCCATATAGTCCCCAAGCACCACCACACCACCAGGAGTGATCCTTGAGCACTACCAGTTATGACAAAAAAAAAAAACAGAAAAAAAAATAGCAAAATCCCAAACCCACAGCTTAAAAGGTAAGTATTTTTAACAAGGCCCCTCAGATGATTCATTAAAATCTGAGAAACCAGTCTATCCTAAGTCTTTAGTCACATTCCTTTACCTCAATGAACAATTTTATAATCCAGCCTCAAATTTGTCTTTACCCCTTTCTCAGTAACTGAAACTACATCAGAAGTCATCAGCTTTTGTCATGATATTGTCTCTTTGTGGGGCTGGAGCTATAGCAGAGTGGGTAGAGCGTTTGCCTTGTGCGAGGCCAGCACGGCTGAGCCGGGTTCAATTCCTCCACCCCTCTCGAAGAGCCCGGCAAGCTACAGAGAGTATCTCGCCTGCACTGCAAAGCCCGGCAAGCTACCCAAGATGTATTCAATATGCCAAACACAGTAACAACAAGTCTCACAATGGAGACAATACTGGCCTGCTCAAGCAAATCGATGAACAATGGGAGGACAGTGCTACAGTGCTACATTGCTTTTTTAATCTCCCTTTAATTCTTCTCTTCAGGTCTCTCATTTTGATCAATATAATAATACCTTCTGAAGCAACAATCTTTCATGCAACATTAAAATCATGGGTCCGCCATCCCATATGGTCCCCTGAGCACCGCCAGGAGTGATTCCTGAGTGCAGAGCCAGGAATGACCCCTGAGCATCACTGGCTGTGACCCAAAAGAAGAAAAAAAAAATCATGGGACCGGAGTGACAGGACAGTGGGCAGGGCACTTGCCTTGCAGGTGGCCGACCCAGTTCAATCCCTGGCATCCCAGATGGTTCCCTGAGCCCCACCAGGAGAGATACCTGAGCACAAAGCTAGGACTCAACCCCGAGTATTTCTGGCCCCCAAACCAAAATGAATAAATAAAGAGAATATAATCAGTACAAGCCTTGCATGGCAAGGATCTGGGTTCTGTCTCTGGCAGAACATGCCACCTTCCCTGGCACTACTGACAGTGGTCCCAGGCTCCCAAACACTAGAGTATTGTCCCCCAAATACACAAAGACACACACATATACATATATATATATATATACATATATATTACTTATATGTATTTGTGGGCTGGAGCGATAGCACAGTGGGTAGGGCGTTTGCCTTGCACACAGCCAACATGGCCGACCCGAGTTCGATTCCTCCGCCCCTCTCAAAGAGCCCGGCAAGCTACCGAGAGTATCTCACCCGCACAGCAAAGCCTGGCAAGCTACCCATGATGTATTCGATACGCCAAACACAGTAACAACAAAGTCTCACAATGGAGACATTACTGAGCCCTCTTGAGAAAATCGATGAACAACGGGAGGATAGTGATGTATTTGTATGGGCTGGAGCAATAGCACAGTGGGTAGGGCGTTTGCCTTGCATGCAGCTGACCCGGGTTTGATTCTTCCATCTCTCTCGGAGAGCCCGGCAAGCTACCGAGAGTATCCCGCCCGCACGGTAGAGCCTGGCAAGCTCCCCGTGGTGTATTCGATATGCCAAAAACAGTAACAAGTCTCACAGTGGAGAGGTTACTGGTGCCTGCTCGAACAAATCGATGAACAACGTGCTACAGTGCTATATGTATTTGTACATTGATAGCTGACAAACATGCTTATGTTCATCTCTACTACAGAAAATATAGTTCTGCATGATGAGTAATCCTTAATTCCATCCCACCAAGAAGAAAAATAGTAGATGTGTAAATTTCACTTTGCTTCTCTGATAAAGTTTGGTACAGGAAGCTCAATTTTGTCCACCTTTCCCACAGAAATCATTTTATTTTACACCTTCCACTATATCAACTCCTGTTTCAGATTATGTATTTCACATCCTGTACACGCTGCTTTTCTCATTCTTTATTACCCCTTTTCCTCTCACTTCCGGACTGTCATTGGATTTTACAATATCCTGAAAAGCAGCAGCTGATGCCTGGGAAGAAAAACTAATTAGGTCTTTTGAATTTCTTTTTTCTTACTAAACATTTTCTTAGACCAGGAGAATACATCACATTCATGTTTTAAATCAACAGTCCATCAAATGACTTTTTTAATGAAATACAGGTCTTACCTTCTACTTGTCCATTTTTTTCTCTTTGATCTTCATTCCCAGATAAGTGATCTGCAAACTTCCGTGGGAGACTCTCAGAGATACTCTGTTAAAATGATCATCAGTAATGAGCTGCATGCAGATTTCCTAATTCCTTTCTAAGAGAATATCTGAATTTCCCATTGAATTCTAAATGCAATTAGACTTAAAATAAGAGGTACATGTTCTAAAAAAAAAAAAACATTTAAATAAAGACCTCACATATGCTCTCATGATCAAGTACCTTTAATCTTCTATTTGCCATTGCCTCTGTGAGTCAAGCACAGAAGGAAGACACACTTTCACAGACCAAACACTGACTGAGCACGCATCCTTCACTTGGCAGCTTTCATCACACACAGAGATCTTCTCTGACCACCTAACTTCTACTCCAACTCCTACCCCTGTCCTAATACAAACTTCCTAATATTCTCTATGGGGGCCAGAGTGACAGTACAGTGGGTAGGGTGCTTTCCTTGCACACAATCAACCCAGGTTCTATCCCTGGCATCCCATACGGTGCCCTAAGCCTACCAGGAATGATTCTTGAGTGCAGAGCCAGAAATAAGTCCTGAGCCCCACCAAGTGTGGCCCAAACACCAAAAGAAAAAAAAATTGCCCAGTATTCTCTAACCTAACATGACCCATTTTCTTTATATGAACCTTTTATGGTGACAAGAATGGATTCTTCACTTGCTATTATGCAACTACCGCTTGTACTCCTTGACATGTACATTCAGTATCCAACTGCCTGGCACATGGTTGCTATTCAATTACAGAACTTTACTTACATCGAAAAACATTTAAAATCTCATCAAGCAGGATCAATTACCCAATCACTCTACTCTATTGTGATAGAATATTCATACCTATGTTACAGGTACAGAAAATCTCTAATGGTCTCTGAAATGTAACCCAAAACAAAAAAAAAATCCATATGGCAATTCTAATAATACTCCCCCTTTCTTTTTTTTTTTTTCTTTTTTTTTTCCCCCTTTATTTTATTTTATTTTTTTTAAAGTTGTAGATTTACAATTTTTTGTGCTTTGGTTTCAATTATACAATGATCAGATACCCATCCCTCCACCAGTGCCCATTTTCCACCACCATGGATAATATCCCTCCCACCCCCATCCCCCCATCCCCCCGTCTCTGTGGCAGGGCAATCCCCTGTGTTCTCTCTCTCCTTTTGGGTGTTGTGGTCTGCAAAAGAGGCATTGAGTGGCAAACATGTTCAGTCCATAGTCTACTTTCGACATGCATCTCCCCTCCTGGGAGGATCCTCCAAACATCCTTTATTTGGTGCTCCCTTCTCTATCTGAATAGCCCTTTCCTCTAGGATACCCGGCTGGCCTCTAAGTTATGGAGTAATCCTCCTGGTGCTGATCTCAGCTATTCTTGGGTATTAATCTCATACTTTGTTACTTTATATCCCCCAGATGAATGCAATCTTTCTATGTCTATCCCTCTCTTTCTGACTCATTTCGCTTAGCATGATACTTTCCATATTGTACCACTTGTATGTAAATTTCATGACTTCATCTTTTCTAAGAGCTACATAGTACTCCATTGTGTAGATGTACCAAAGTTTCTTTAACCAGTCATCTGTTCTTGGGCATTCAGGTTTCTTCCAGTTTCTGGCTATTGTAAAGAGGGCTGCAATGAACAAACAAGTGCAGATGTCACTTCGACTATACATTTTTGCCTCTCTGGGATATATTCCCAGGAGTGGTATTGCTGGGTCAAATGAATACTCCCCCTTTCTTGACCTTGCTCCCATCTCATCCTTTTAAGAACTGGCCTTAAAATTCAGTAGGACTAATAATAACTGCAATCACTTTGCTTTACATTTTTATAGCACCCTTCAGAGTTTACAAAGCATTTTCAGATTTGTTACCATATTTGTTCATTACACATACTGAAGAGGTAGTATTAGTGACACTTTTATTAATATGGTCACTGATACTCAAATAGGTTAAACAAATTTTTCCAATACTCCATGGCTAGTAAGTGACACAACCAGGATGCTAATGTATCTTCTGATTTCAAACCCAGCACTCAGAGGATGATGTGGTAGCTGCCAACACTCTTCTTACCTCTATCCAGAGCTGGTACCTCGGGTCATCATTGCTTCATACTTGTATGGCTATCATAAAGATACTCAATGCACCCTATTTTTTGTTTTGTTTCTTTGTTTTGGGGGGGTTTTGGGGATCAAAGCCAGGGCCTCACACAGACAAACTGCATTCTCTATTATGAACTACATCCTCAATTCCAGTGTATTCTGTTGTAAATATTCAAAATGGTTTCTAATTATCAAATAACCACTAAGCCACACTATTTTATAATCCCAAATACTTAATACTTCCCCTAACTGTTTTTTCTCTTGAAATATTTTTTGCAGATCTACATGACAATCCAAATATAACAATACTTTCAAGACTCAGGCATAAATTTTTGAAGTAAATGACTACAACTTAGACTGTTCCTCACCACATCTCATTAAGAGTTTTATCACCCAAGCACAAAAATTTGTAAGTCTACAACTGTACCTCATGGTGTCTCACTAATAAAAATTAAAAAAAAAACTTAAAAAAAAGAGTTTTATCACTTCCTTTTATAGAACAGGATCATAAATTTGGCTACAGGATGACCTGAAATAATTCTTTAATTTTCAAAGAAGCTTTATTTCAAATACCAAACTGATTACACTGATTTCCTTATCTGCCCATAAGTAGAAGCACACTTTGTAGCATAAGTACATGGAGTACCTAATTTTATCAAGGGTCAAAAATATAAGAAACAATTTTATAGGTAAGTGTAAGATGAGAAAATGAATTCAAAGCATCTCTTTCGTGTTTTAATATCACTCAGGGCTTATAATTAAAAACAGAAATAACAAAACATGGTACCTCAGAATCCCAAGGTGATTCTACATCTTCCTCATCTCCTAATCCCAATGCTGACAGCATATCTGTCAAATGCAATCACAGATACATCAATGAAAATATCATTATGCATTATGTATTTTTAAAAACATTTAAATTTACCTCCATTCAAAAATGTTTCTAGACAGTGGTGGTGGGGGGTGGTGACAGGAGAGAAGCTGGCAAAAGTGGTGCTGGGAAATGTATACTGGTGGAGGGATGGGTGTTGGAATACTGTATGACTGAAACCTAATTATGAACACCTTTGTAAAGAGCTATGTCACAGGGATTCAATAATAAGATCTTTTAAAATAAATAAATAAATAAATATTTATAGGGGCTGGAGCAACAGTATATCAGGTAGAGCATTTGTCTTGCATGTGGCCGAACCAGCTTTGACCTGTGGCACCCCATATTGTCCTCCGAGGTCTCCAGGAATAATCCCTGAGCACAGAACCAGGAGTAAGCCTTGAGCATCACCAGGTTGGACCAAAAAAGTTTCTGTAAATTAAGTAGCACCATAGCACTGTCCTCCCATTGTTCATCAATTTGCTCGAGCAGGCACCAGTAACGTCTCCATTGTGAGACTTCTTGTTACTATCTTTGGCATATCAAATATGTCACAGGGAGCTTGCCAGGCTTTGCCGTGATGGGCAGAGGAATTGAACCCGGGTTGGCGGTGCGCAAGGCAAATGCTCTACCCATTGTGCTATTGCTCCAGCCCCTGTAAATTAAATAATAACAGATAAGTATTTCAGGAAAAGAGGGGCTGGAGAGAGAATACAGTGGTGAAGGTGCTTAATCCTTACATGTGGCCCATACTAGTTTGATGTCTAGCATGGCATGTGGTCTGCAGACACCACCAAAAATGATCCCTGAGCACAAAGCCAAGAGTAAGCCTTGAGCACTGCCAGTTATAGCCCCAAAACAATAAAAAAAGAAAAATAGAAAAGGAATTTCAGAAGCCAGAGGTGGTTCAGGAATGGTGCACATGTTTTGCAGGTGGGAGCGCTCAGCTCACCCCTACCCAAGCGTGCCCAGCTCACCCCTACCCAAGCGTGCCCTGCAGGAAGTAGCCCATAGAACTTCCAGATATGGGTCACACACACACACACACACACACACACACGCGCGCGCGCGCACATGGATTTGTATTTTGGATCCATACATTTCAACCTTTTTAAGTTTGAAATCCATATACGATTTAAGCATATGGTAAAAAAAATCTCACTAACTCACCATTTCTACTATTTTTGTGGGTTTCACCAATGTAAGGCAAACTGTCTTTATTTGTTCGCTCTTGTGGCGCACTTTCAATACTATCAATACCATTTTCTTCCTTTTCAATTTCTGGCCTTACTGCTCTTTCCTATAAACACAAAAGTCTACTTTTAGAAAAAAATAATGTTCATTTTTCAATTCTGTATTTCAACATTTGTTACAATAATATAAAATATACTCTTTCAATACATCTTCATAAGGGGTTGGAGCAATGGTACAGTGGATAGGGGGCTGCCTTGCGTGCCACATCTCTGGCATCCCATACGGTCCCTTTAGCACCGCCAGGAGAAATTTCTGAGTGCAGAACCAGGAATAACCCGAGAATCACTGGGTGTGACCCAAAAAAGCCAGAAAAATAAACCCACCCTCATAAATATATAAAATGTTCATGTCTGAAATATTATAGCAAATATATGTTATTTTAAATTTAATGAAAACATTTCATCATGGGGGTTGGAGTGATAGCACAGGGGGTAAGGTGTTTGCCTTGCACACAGCCGACCCAGGTTTGATTCCCAGCATCCCATATGGTCCCCTGAGCACCGCCAGGAGTAATTCCTGAGTGCAGAGCCAAGAGTAACCCCTGTGTGTTGCCGGGTGTGACCCAAAAAGCAAAAAAAAAAAAAAAGTCATCACATAACACTAGATCAAGAATATAATATAAATAATATATTTAGAGGCTGGAGCAATAGCACAGTGGGTAGGGCATTTGCCTGGCATGCGGCCAACCCAGGTTCAAACCTTAGCATCCCATATGGTCTACCTGTGTACCGCCAGGAGTAATTTCTGAATGCAGAGCCAGGAGTAACTCTGGAGTATTACCAGTGTGACCCCGAAGGAAGGAAGGAAGGAAGGAAGGAAGGAAGGAAGGAAGGAAGGAAGGAAGGGAGGGAGGGAGGGAGGGAGGGAGGGAGGAAGGAAGGAAGGAAGGGAGAAAGAAAGAAAGAAAGAAAGAAAGAAAGAAAGAAAGAAAGAAAGAAGAGAGAAAGAAAGGAGAAAAAAGAAAGAAAGAAAAAAGAAAGAAAAAGATGTTTAAAAAGAAGACTGGAGTGATAGGACATTAGCCACGTATGTGGCTGAACTAGGTTAGATCCCCAGCACCACACAGGGCCCCTCTCCCCACCCTCACTTTCTTTTGTTTACTTTTGGGGCCACACCCAGTGGTGCTCAGGAGTTACTCCTGGCTCTATGCTCACAAGTTACTCCTGGTGGTTCTCAGATATGTAATATCAGGGATCAAACCCAGATCCACCCAGCTTGGTAAATGAGAGATAAGTGCCTGTCTGCTGTATTATCTCTCCAGACTCTCATCACATTTTTTCTTCTTTTTGGGTCACACCTGGCGATGCACAGGGGCTACTCGTGGCTCTGCGCTCAGAAATTACCCCTGGCGGTGCTCAGGGACCATATGGGATGCTGGGAATTGAACCCGGGTTGGCCACGTGCAAGGCAAACACCCTACCCGCTGTGCTATTGCTCCAGCCCCCTCCCATCACATTTTATGACAAGAGTTCTTAACTCACTTAACCCTACCATTTCAGTTGTATTTTTATAAAATCTTTCATCTTGACTGATTTAGTCAAGCTTTGTTGTCTGTTATCACCATCTTGCCTTTTTTTTTTTTTTGGTTGGGAATCACATCCTAATGGTGCTGGGGACTAGTCGACATGGGTCTTCTTTATTTTTTCTCAACTGGATTTTCTTAAGTGAATTCTCCTGCCTTATTCTTCTCATCAACGTCATATTCACCTAGATATCCTTCCAGTTATTTTTCTAATTGCTTTCTTTCCATACTGGCATACTTAAAAAGAACTTATTCGCTTCCGTTTTCATAAATCTCAAACCTGTATCTTTATGTCTCTGTTATTATACTTATTGTCTACTATGAAGTATGATCATGCTGCTTCTTTCTTGGAACCTCTTCCTCTCTCTAAGGATTAAGAATCTGGTCCATAAAACCTCATGGGAAGAGGGGCGTTCTGGTCCGTCCTTCACGCCCTACCGAGGTCACCAGTTGCCCCCCACGAGCGGCTCCCCAGCACGGCCACAGTCCCAGAAGCACAAGGACTTAATGCAGAACCCGGCAGCTTGGAGCAGAAAAGTGAAAGGACTATGCGTTAATCCAGGCCATCAAGTCTGCCGGAGGGGAAAGGGTGTTGCCCCATTCGCCCTCTCTTCTCTGGAAAGAAGGATGGCGGCCGCATGGGAGCCTTGTGGACAGCAGGTATGAGCCGGGGGTGTGGGGGCGACTAAAACCTCATGGGAAGGGGGGCGTTCCAGTCCGTCCTTCACGCCCTACCGAGGTCACCAGTCACCCCTCACGAGCGGCTCTCCAGCACGGCCACGGCCCCAGAAGCACAAGGACTTAATGCAGAACCCAGCAGCTTGGAGCAGAAAAGTGAACCGACTATGCGTTGATCCAGCCCATCAAGTCTGCTGGAGGGGAAAGGGTGTTGCCCCATTCGCCCTCTCCTCTCTGGAAAGAAAGATGGCGGCCACATGGGAGCCTTGTGGACAGCAGGTATGAGCCGGGAGTGTGGGGGCGACTAAAACCTCATGGGAAGGGGGGCGTTCCGGTCCGTCCTTCACGCCCTACCGAGGTCACCAGTTGCCCCCCACGAACGGCTCTCCAGCACGGCCACAGCCCCAGAAGCACAAGGGCTTAATGCAGAACCCAGCAGCTTGGAGCAGAAAAGTGAAAGGACTATGCGTTAATCCAGGCAATCATTTCTGCCCAGAGGGGAAAGGGTGTTGCTCCCTTCCGCCCTCCTCCCTCTGGAAAGAAAGATGGCGGCCACATGGGAGCCTTGTGGACAGCAGGTATGAGCCGGGGGTGTGGGGGCGACTAAAACCTCATGGGAAGGGGGGCGTTCTGGTCCGTCCTTCACGCCCTACCGAGGTCACCAGTTGCCCCCCACGAGCGGCTCTCCAGCACGGCCACGGCCCCAGAAGCACAAGGACTTAATGCAGAACCCAGTAGCTTGGAGCAGAAAAGTGAACGGACTCTGCATTGATCCAGGCCATCAAGTCTGCCGGAGGGGAAAGGGTGTTGCCCCATTCGCCCTCTCCTCTCTGGAAAGAAAGATGGCGGCCACATGGGAGCCTTGTGGACAGCAGGTATGAGCCGGGAATGTGGGGGCGACTAAAACCTCATGGGAAGGGGGGCGTTTCGGTCCGCCCTTCACGCCCTACCGAGGCCACCGGTTGCCCCCCGCGAGCGGCTCTCCAGCACGGCCAGGACTCCAGAACACAGAAACCAATTTCTTAACTATCTGACTTTCAGTAGAAATACTTCCAGGGTCAATAGGTAAAAGAGCAGAAATCCAAAACCAACATTTAATTCTTGAACCCAGCCGTAGAAAGCAAATCACTTCACAATGCTTTTACAGCATGTCTGATTTGGGGGGGGGGGTAAACTCTAAATAATAGTGGTGAATCTTTTATTGAAACAATGAATCTAATCAAAGCAGATAGAGTGTTAACTAGAATTCATCTGCTTCACAGGGACGGGGAGGGGTGGGGGGTGGGGTTTTACTGGGGTTCTTCATGGTAAAAAATAAGTATTGGTAAAGGGAAATGTGTTTGATATTTGCATGACTGAGACATAAACCTGAAAACTTTGTAACCTTTCCCACTGTGATTCAATAAATAAATAAAAAAAAAAAAAAAAAAAAAAAGAATCTGGTCCATAAAACAGCATAGGGGGGAAAAAGCTGACATAAAATGACTTACAGTGGTAAGATGAAGGATCCCTAAAGAATTAAGAGGATTCAGAACAGTTTCAGGTGGTGTCAAGGCAGGATGAGAAAAGTCTTGCACTTGGATTGAAGGTTTGGGAAGAGGTTCAAGCACATCTTCGTTTTCAGTATCAGAATGATTATCTTCAAATAATACTCTGCTTTCTGGTCTCATAATGCCACATTTTGCTTCTACCATACAGAGAAACGAGAGTACATTCATTAGTGATCTATAATTTCAAATCAGTAAATAACAGAGAATGAATAAAATAAAAAGCTTACTGTCTCTCTTCGATTTCTCAGAAGCAGCCATTAGCTTTGTTAAGTTTGGTTTTGGGACAGTCTAAAAAAAATGAAAATAATGGCTTATTTTGAGGACAACAAGTATCAAATTTGGTTTTAAAAAAGTACTGTAATATTCACCATTACTCTATAACACAAACAGTATAGGTTTTGGAACTATTCAGATGAAATTTAAGTCTCACATTTGTCATTTACTAGACCATATGTATATGGATTTTGAGATATGATCCGACTGTTAATTGACAACCCAAAAGGATACTTCTTTTATCCTTAATAATTGTAATAAATACTGTCTTATTGTAGGTTTTCCTTACCAAAACACCTAAAACAATTATTCATTCCCCCTAAAACGGGAAAAACAATTATAATTAAATTAAATAACCTTAGGGGCCTGAGTAATAGTGCATCAAGTAGGATGTCTGCCTTGCACATGGACAAACTGGGTTCAATCCCTGCCACACCATCTGGTTCCTGAGCACCACCAGAAGTAATTCCTGAGTAATTTCCAAGTACCACCAGAAGTAATAACTCAGTAGTTCCTAAGTAATGCCAGGAGTAACACCTGAGCATCACTGGATATGGCCCCAAAACCCTGTCTCCCCCACAAAAAAATCTAAATTTAAGTGTGCATTTGCATGATTTACATTTGCCTGAACTATCTCTGATAGGAAAAGATGAGAGTTTACTTTTTAGTAGTATCTTATTTAGATGAATTGGAATTACAATAACATAAGCTAAATACAAATAATTGCTTAAACTCTATTCCCCACAGGAAGAGGAAAATAAACAGAATAGAACTGTGAAGCAGTGATTCCTGTGTGAAATCCACATACAGATACCGAACAGAAACTAAATTCAAAGCAGGAAAATTAATTTCCTGAGCAAATACTCTACCTTAGCTTCAAAATCAAAGTCATCATCAGATGTAGGCCATGAATCATCAATGCCAGGTTTGGCGGAAAATCTTGAGAGATAAAAGAAACAACAAAAATGAGTAACTTAATTTGTATATGAAAAACCTTGGGGCTGGAGTGATAGTACAGCAGGCAGGGCACTTGTCTTGCAAGTGGTCAACCTGGGTTTGATTCCTGGCACCATGTTGGTCCTCTGAGCCTAGCAGGAGTGATCCCTGAACACCACCAGGTGTGGCCCAAAACCCAAAATAATGATAATAATAATAATTATAATTTTAATTTTAAAAAATCAAGTGTTATGGCTGAAGGGACTCCCAGACATCCTCTGCAGTGCTCAGCAGTAGTCGCCAACCCTTAAATCTTCAGTCTGTGAAGATTTAGGTCTTGTCTGAGTAGGTCTTACTGTATGTCAAACGTAGTTCGGCGGCCATGACTGAGATCTGTCCTAAAACCTGACTGCAAAAACAAAACATCAGATAACAATGCAATTGCCAAATGTGTTAGGGCACGCACCAGGACTTAAACTCAGACTTGGCCTCAGAGGAAACCTCTGGAAGTTTTCACTAAATTTCACTTTCTGAGACCTGATTTGGAGCCACATCTCTGCCACAGCTGCAGATCCACCTACACCTGTCGCTCTGTGTGTAGGCACGAAGGAATGCATTCGGGAGGCATGCAGGTGGATGGTTAACTCACCGGTTAGGTACTTATTAACTATGGAATCGTGGGCCATTAATTTGACCCCGCTAAATCACAGTCCCCAAAGTAGTGAAAACAGGACACAACAGTGAGTAAACTAATGTTGCAAAGCATTGTAAGGACTATCTGAAATAACAAACACTAAGCACCCAAAAATATCTAATCAACAGTAAAATATTTAGAAAATGTTCATTTCTCCTCTCTGTATCTCTGTATTCCCTTAGTAAAAATACTTTTTTTTTCAGGAAGTAGAAGAGTTTATTGGAAAGTAAATAGAAGAGAAAGGAAAAGGAACTCCCCATGTGGGAGGAACTTAGTGTAAAACTAAGTTCTAAAATACAATTTTTAAAAACTGAGTCACCGTGAAATACCCAGTTACAAAGCTCTTCATGGTTGGGTTTCAGTCATACAATATTCCAACACCCATCCCTCCACCAGTGCACATTTCCCATCACCAATGTCCCCAGTTTCCTTCCTGCCACTCCACACACACACTTTCCTTCTTTCTCTACTATCTCCTCTCTCTCTTCTCTCTCTCTCTCTCTCTCTCTCTCTCTCTCTCCCTCTCTCCCTCCCTCCCTCCCTCCCTCTGCTTTTCAATTTTGGTTTTCGTTTTGGTTTTGATCTTGGCTGTGGTCAGGGCTGTGGTCAGGGCTCAGCGCTCAGGGACCATTCCTGGTAGGCCCTGGGGGACCTTATGTGATGCCAGAGATCAAACTGGATGCCAGCATCCAAGAGTCTCATCCACAGTACATATTTTTTAACCTGTAAAAGCCTACCTGCTTAGAGATCCTTCTTCAGAATTCTCATCCACCTCTAAAGGAAAAAAAAATTTCATTTTAAATAAACAGAAAATTATAGAATATTAAAAGTACAGTTAGGTTTTCCTAAGATGTATTTGTTTGGGATTATACCAGAAGACTATACTATACTGAATATTATACTATTGGTAGAAAATAAACACATTAAGAACCCTTATCTTTTTTCTTAAGCTTATTTGTTTTAGGCTGCACCCAAATGTGCTCAGGGATCACTCTGGTAGGACCTAGGTGACCATATGGAGTGCCAGAAACTAACCCCTGGTCAGCTGCATGCAAGGCAAGCGCCTCACCTGCAGTATTATCTCTCTGGCTCCATATTCAGAATTGTTAGATTTCCCCTCCTTTATCTTTACCAAATGCAAGAAAAGTTCAGCATCAAAGTCTGGTACCAAAAAGTAAACAGAGGTTTACAATAACCATAATCTAACTAAGCCCTGTGAGACTGAAAGAAAACAGTATCAGGAGCAGAAAAAGCACCACCCCCTGTCAATGTTCAACTTAAACAGGACAAGTAGATGACTGCCTGGGATGGACACCATTAGGAGCATCTAGGAAGGAGCACGATAATTTGTGCTGTGATGCAATATAGCATCAACATCTGTTTAGTTCGGACTGTTTGATTTAGGATGAAACATTCTGTCACAAGAAAGCTTGGGCTACAGACATTGAACTTCACAGCACGGCAAAACAGAAACCAGACTCTCTCCAGACTTACTCCCAACTAAAGGAGAAATATGAAAGACTTTGGAGCCAGGATATGGCTCAGTGCAGAGCACCTACCCTGTACATATAATTTGTAAGGACCTGGGTTCAATCCCTGGCACCACCAAAATTTTTTTACAAAGACTGTAATTGTAGTCTTATAAAATATAATTGTTAGAATTATATTTGTTAGGGAGGCTGGGAAGAGAGCTCAATGAGCTGGATTTACAAGTGGGAAACCCAGGTTCAATCCATCACAGGCCCACCCCGACCCCAAGCAAGGGCAAATCCCAAGCACAGAGCCAGGAGTAGCCTCTGAGCCCTGCCACGGGGTGCTCGTGCTCCTGAACCAAAATAATTAATTAAAATAAACTGGTTCAGGAATGAACCTCTGATGCAAGCCAAACCATAAAAGATTAGAAGTCAGAATTTTCCTCCTAGTTAAAAGATTTCCATGATGACCTACAACCCTTTTAGCTTTGGTAGATTGTCACATGAGATTGAATAATTGGATCTACCTGCTAATTAGGCCTAGGAAAGGTGACATAAACAAAGCACCGTGAACCTAACAACTCAGAGAGGCAACTGGGATCCTGATGAGGTCACTGAGCTACTAAAATAATCCTGGTTCTTACTTGCCTAATCCAGTTAGTTACGCCACCTATTAAGAGCAGCTCGGGCATCCTGACCAATTTCCCAAGGACTACAGGATGATGCTGAATCCCATCGAGAGGATCAGAAGGACTTACATTAACTTGCCTTCACAAGGTGTTCACCTCTTCCCATAATACACTTTTTATACCAGTGAAAGTGAACTGCTCAGAATTCCTGTGAAGTTTACTTACACACTGCTGCTTTTCCTGCCAAACACAGCCTACAGCCTCTTTACATGGAAAACTACTATTCATTCTGCAAGCTTACTTCAACCCTACCAGCTTTTTTTTTCTGAGCAGGGTGGATTTTGGGCCACTCTCAGCCCCACTCAAGGCTTGCCCCTGACTCTAGGACTCAGGGGTCACTCCTGGTAGCAGTGTTAGGGGACCACATGCAATGCCAGAGATTGAACCTGAGTCAGCCAACTGCAAGGCAAGCGCCTACCTGCTGGATTATCGCTCGGACCCAACTTTTTAAAAATTCTAACCGATGACCATGAACTCATCACACTGATGAAGTCAGCCATGCAATGTGTGTTAATCGAATCACACTCGAGTGTGAGCCACCAATGGTATGAGCAGAGCACTCCACGTTAAAATAGCTGGCACACACTAAACAGCAAGAAAAAAAAATAACAATTACTGGGCACTTTCTTATTCGGCTTCTGGTGCACAGTAACCACTGGCTCTAGTAGATAACTAAAAGGACAATAATTAGTAGTTTCTGAAATGCAGGGCTGTGTCTTGAGATGTTTGCCGTCTCCAGCATGCGACTAACAGTATCTAAAACACACTTGGATGGTCAATGTATAGTTGACAAGTCAATAAAAAATGTTTTCTTTGAAAATTCTGTTTGTAAAAACCACATTAGATGAACCAGAAGAGTTTTATAATAAGTACCTTAAAGGCCAAAACTTTCTCTATTCCATCATTTCTGTGGCTTCTATAACTTATAAAACCAACTTACACATAATCTTTAAAAATGTCAGCTGACTTAAAAATGTTTTTATACAGTTCAAATTATATTAGTTATCATATCCAGAAAACATAGTCCTCATATAGTTCAGATTAAACTATAAATGACACTTAAGGAATAGTTATGCTGTTATAAAACACTTTTATATTTTTATTATAATCTATTGCATGAAGAGTTTGCTTAAATATTATAATTTCTAACTAACAGAACATTTGATTCTAACAAAATTACAGTGACTATCAAAGTAATTATTCAACAAAAATATTTTGTCTAATTAAGTCAAAAATTCTTTCAGAGTTTTCTTTTTCCTTTGTTCAGAGAAATAATGTTGTTAAGAACAAGGTTGGTATCAATATGTAAGATAACTAGTACTTCCTATAAGGAATTTTTTTTTGAACTAGAAAAAAGCATTTTTCTTGGGGCTGGAGCAATAGCACAGTGGGTTAGACACTTGCCTTGCTAGTGACCGACCTAGTTCAATCCCCAGTACCCCATATAGTCCTCTGAGCCCCATCAGGAGTGATTCCCTGAGTAAATTCTGAGCAATAACAATTATATCTCCCCCTCCCCCAAAAAAGTTAACAAAAAAAATTGATGAGAGAAAGAATAATATGCACATATTTCCCCATTGTTCTCTCATTATCAAAATTCTGGATCTATTTTTTGGGAGAAGTGTGTCACATCAGCCATGTTTCAGGGCTAAACATGGTGATAAGAATTCAAACTAGGGGCTGGAACAATAGTTCAGCAGGCAGGGTGTTTGCCTTGCATATGGCCGTCCTGGGTTCAATCCCTGGCATCCCATATGGTCCCCCAAGCACCGCCAGGAGTGATTCTTGAGTGTAGAGCCAGAAGTAACATGGGATTCATGACACACATTCTATCTCCTAACATCTATCTACAGTCCTCAAATTCCTTATTCTTACTTGATTTATGGTCAGACAGAGTCACTGGACTGAAATCTTACCTGGACTGTTCTTTTGAAGAGGATTTTTAGGTCTGTTTTCCTGTGTATATTCAGAAATTACTTGGTGATTGCTATTACTGGAAAAGGAGAGGAGAAATAATATTAACCACTTTAATACTAATGAAAAACATTCAATTCTTAGAGAATTTCTCATTTAAAAAAATAATATCAAAACTTTAACCATTCCATAAGCTTCAACATTTTAAGTTCTATTAACCTTTAATTCGACGAGTAAGGAGAGGCTGCTAAAATCTCAGGGCTGGGATGAATGGAGACGTTACTGGTGCCCACTCGACAAACTGATGAACAACGAGATGACAGTGATACAGTGGTACAGTGAAACCTTTCATTAAATATGAAATTGTCTCATGGGGGGGGGGGGGGTCCTGTACACATGTTCAGGGAACCCAGAGGCCACTCCCTGTGATTTTCAGCACAGCTGTGTGTCGGACAGGTCAATGCTCAGGTCCACCAATGCAACAAAGAGACACACAGAGCTGGGCACCAAACTCAGGGTCTCTCAAAGGCGAGGCACTGCAGGCCTCTGAGCTATCTGCCAAGACCCTACATATGTAATTTAAAGACGACATGAATAAGTATAATGCTCATGAACTGAGAGTATCTGAGTATATTACTTAGCCCCAGCATAGCAAGAGTATTTTAAGCTCATTAAATTACATAACAGAATCATCCACTATTACTCAGGCCAATACACCAAGAGCAGAAAAAGAAGAGATTAAACCTGGCTTGAACTATTCTTTCCTACCTACTAAAACCCTGAACCAGCAGACGTTTAGTAGATGATGCTTAATCTCCAACTGACATATGTGGAAAACATAGCCCTACATTTATAACACACAGACACTGAGGAGATTTGCTTTCCTACCGGCAACTAACGTACTTTAGATGCAAAATTTTGGGAGCCAGAAAAGATAGTACAGGGGTGAGGCACGTGATTTGCATATGTCCAAGCCCAGTTCTTTTTCTTTTTCCTTTTTTTCTTTGTTATTTTGTTTTGGTTTTTTTTTTGGGGGGGGGGCCACTCTCAATGGTGTTCAGGGCTGACCCCTGGCTCTGCACTCAGGGGTTACTCCTGGCAGGCTTGGAGGATGATGTGCGAATGCTGGGGGATGAAACCTGGGTCAGTCAAGTGCAAGGCAAGCAAGTGCCCTACCCACTGTATTATCTTTCTGGCCTCAAAGCCCAGTTATATCCCTAATAGTAGATGGTCCCCCAAGCACTGCTGGCTGTAACCCTGGAAGCTCCAGGCACCATCAGATAAGGCCAGAACCACTGGGGTGGTTCAGGTGGATCCCCAGTATGCCAGGGATAGGAGTACATCCTCAGGCCCTCATATTAAACCTCTGGTTTGATATTGCCAGGAGGAGCCCTTGTGTCTCTTGAACACAACCTGGGAAACCTCCATGCTAGTTTTTAAAAAATAACTTATATTTTCAGAGAATTCTGCTGAATAGCTGATGTATGACACAGAATTTTAAAATATTTTAAAATATGGGGTAGGGCTGGAGAGATAGTACAGCAGGTAAGGCTATATCTACATGTAGCTGTATTTGCACATGGCCAACTGGGGTTTGATCCCTGGCACCATATATGGTCCCCTGAGCACTCCCAGGACTGATTCGTGAGCACAAAGCCAAGGGTAAGTGCTGAGCACCACTGGGTGTTGAGAAAGATAAACAACAACAACAAAACTTCTGGGGACCACAAGTGGTTATGCTCCAAGATTACTCCTAGCTCTGTGCCCAGGAATTACTCCTGGCAGGCTAGAGGTACCAAATGGAGTGCTGGAGATCAAAACTGAGTCAGCTACATGCAAAGCAAGCTCCCTACCCGCTGCACTATCTCTCCAGCTTCTAAAATTTAAAAATAAATAAATAAATAAATAAAAACTTAAGGTAGACCCAAATCACTTGGGAGATTTTCATTGGTAGGGAAAACAGAACACCTGACGGTTCAACCTTTACTATGGGATATCAGGCCAGATAGCACCTGATACTCTGGAAAGAATAATAAGGGATTTTTCGCAGCCTAAGAAAATGTGAAGCCCAGGATACAAAGGGTTGGGGTACAGATCTGGTAACAAGGGCTAAAGAAAAGCCTAATGTTTTCTGTAGCACTGTTTGAATCTCTCTTATTAGTTCCATATTCCTGCATTTAGGTGTTTTTATATTTTGGGGAGAGGGGAGTCGCCACACCCAGAGGTGCTCAAGGCTTACTCTTGGGTTTACTGTTATGCAGGGCACCAGTGTACTGTTAAACCAAGACCTTAATCCCAATTTAATCATTATGATCTGTGTGCCTGTTATTACTCTAGAATGATACTAAAGTGTTAAAAAAAATAGTACTGTACCTTTGCATTTTACCTAATGCATGTAAATTTGCTTCCTTTATTAAAAAATCTGCCATTTGCTGTTTATTTTCATTTACAGCAAGTAAAACGGGTGTCACGCCATCCTGCAAGATAGCAAAACCAACAAGCAATTTTTAAAATAACCAAACATTAACCTGAATTATACAACTTAGAAGGGAACCTCTGAAATTAAACATATAACAGAGAGAGCTAATGTAATAATAACACCTTCTTTATAGTAAGAAGAATTTCTTACTCTGGAATTTCCCATGTGCTGCTGCTTCTCAAAAATAACCACTGCACACCCAAAGCAGAAATCTTAACATGATTGCCAACCAACTTGCCTCAATATTAACAATAACAAAATTTAAAAAATAAAACGTCACTTCCTGCCAAGGCTTAGCTTAGTAGCAAGCAAGAGGCACACTTTGTATGTTAAGAGGCTCCAGAGAGCTTTGATCCCTGGAAAAATAAAACGTTAACAGAATATAAAAGGTAAAGGCCAGGTAAAGGCCCTCCCGTTGTTCATCGATTTGCTCGAGCGGGCCCAGTAACGTCTCCATTGGAGACTTTGTTGTTACTGTGTCTGGCATATGAATACTCTCGGTAGCTTGCCGGGCTCTCCGAGAGGGCGGAGGAATCGAACTCGGGTCAGCCATGTTGGCCACTTGTAAGGCAAATGCCCCACCACTGTGCTATCACTCAAATTTTTAAAAATACTCTGGGGCTGGAGCGATAGCACAGCGGGTAGGGCATTTGCCTTGCATGCGGCCAACCTGGGTTCAATTCCTAGCATCCCATATGGTCCCCCAGTACTGCCAGGAGTAATCCTGAGTGCAGAGCCAGGAGTAACCCCTGAGCATTGCTGAGTGTGACCCCAAAATAAATAAATAAATAAATTAATTAAATAAAATTAAAAAATACTCTGGGCTGTAGATATGGTACCGCAGGCAAGGCACTTGCCTTGCATACAAATGACGAAGGTTCAATTCTGGCATCCCACGTTGCCCCCGAGCACTGCTATGAGTGATCCCTGAGCTCAGACTGAGGAGTAAACCAAGTGAAAAATACCCTCCTTCCATTATTTCAGCAAAATAAGTTTGAAAATCTCACCTCAAATATTTAGTGGTACCAAGAATCTGCTTCCACCTCAACATTTATTGTGAAATAGTGTAGGTGCTTCATTGCTCTTGCCTAAACAAAGAGATTCTAGCGAGCATTGGCTATAGTGTTTTTTAAAATCTCTATCTCCAAACCTTAAAATAATAATTTTAGTTATTTTTAATCTAATTAATGATTTTAAATTATTTCCTTCAGAGTCATATTTACTTCTATAACATCTTAATATTGGGAGGGTCACACATAGTAGTGCTCGGGGGTGATTCTCTGCACAGTGCTCAGGGAACCATGTAGTGCTGGGTACAAAGTCAGGTCTCCCACATGCAAACCAGGAGCCCTAGTTTTTGGCCCATTTATTTTATTTTTTTTAATTAAACTTTCACTGAGATAACATAAGTTTCCAAAGGGCAAGTGTAGTAGGAGCACAATTATCACACCATGCAAACTACCAAATGCCCATATTCCTCCATCGGAGTCCACAGAATGCTGTTAGCCTTCACCCTTCCCCCACCTCTTGATAATAAAATGTTTTGAGTTGTAAGACTATTTCCATGGAAAGTTTTCTTTCCTGTGTTATTTGGCATTAATTACCAAAAGTCATGATCACATCATCACTTGACTTGATGTCCCATTACTCATAGATTTGCTCGAGCGGGCAACAATAACGTCTCTATTCGTCCCTGTCACGTGCTAGTGTAGCCCAATGGCGTCTGCTCATTCTAGGAACACGAAGAGCCTCAAACCAATCGTTCAGGGTCTTGACGAAGAAGTCTGACCATCTCGTAGGTGGGTGGCCATGCATTCTTTTGACATCCTGTGGAATCCAGTCGGTAATGGCTCTAGTCCAGCAGTCATCTCCAAATCTCATAACGTGTCCAGCCCATCTAATTTTCAATGCCTTAGCAAACCAGACAGCCTCCCTGATTCTTTATCGTTGACAGAGGTTGGAACTCCAGATTCTTTCTCTCATTTGAGTGAAGCATGATACTCCAAGCATAGCTCTTTCGATTCCTCTTTGGGAGACCCAAATAGCATTCTCATCCTGTTTTCGTAGGGACCAGGTCTCTGAGGTGTATGTTAGTGCAGGAATAACAGTGGAATCAAAGAGATGTGCCCAGAGCTGGAGGTTCTTCATCCTCTTAGCTATTTCTTTGATGTTCTTGAAGGCGTTTCAAGCCGCTTTCTTCCTCCTGAGCAACTCAGGTGCCGGGTCATTCATCATGTTGACTTCTCGACCTAGGTATACATAACTGTTTCATTTGGAGATGTTCATTCCATTGAGAGCGAATGGAACGTCAGGAACGAGGCTGTTTCTTATAAACATCGTCTTCGTGAGATTCAGCTGTAGTCCGATCTTTCCACACTCAGGGTTGAAGTTGGCTAGCATTTGTGTCACTTGGCTAATGTTTGGTGTTATTAGAACAATGTCATCAGCGAAGCGGAGGTGGTGTAGTTGCCGACCGTCTATCTTCACTCCCATTCCTTCCCATTCCAGTCATCGCGTGACATTCTCGAGGGTGGCACTGAAGTGTTTCGGTGAAATGGTATCACCCTGCTGAACCCCTCTCTTGACATGGATGATCATTTCCTTGTAGAATGGTGAGATCCTGGTAGTGAATCCATAATACAGGTTACGGAGGATCCTGATATATTGAGTTTGAACACCCTATTTGGCTAGGGCTTCTATGAATGCTTCAGTCAACAAAATCAAAGGCCTTTTTTAAAATCAATGAATGTTAGATAGAGCAGCATCTTGAACTCCTGAAAAACCTCAATGAGCTTGGCTATCGTGTGGATATGATTGATCGTGCGGAATCCTTTGTGGAAACTGGCTTGCTCGTATGGTTGTCCTTCATCTAGTGTTCTGCCAATCCTATTCAGGATGACTCTAGTGAACAGCTTGTAGATGACAGACAACAGGCAGATCGGGCGATAGTTGACAATGTTGTGGATGTCTTCCTTCTTCTACGGTAGTACAGTCCTGCTGGTTTTCCATTGGGACAAAACCTTGCATTCAGACAGGTAGCATGTGAAGAGCTGAGCCAGTGTACTGATGAGTACTGACGGCAGGTTCTTCAGGTGTTCGGGTCTGACTTTGTCTCGGCGGAGTGCTGTTCACTTCTTTACCGACGAAATGGTATGTCGGAATTCGGAAGGGAGAACGTTGGGAACGACATATCCATCCTGTGGAATTTGTTATGTGGGCAGGTGGACATGGCTATTGAAGAGATCCAAGTAGAAGTCATGAATAATCTCCATTGCCCTTCTGGAAGATGTGATAGATCCATCAGGAGGTCAGAGGGCAGTCATCTTGGTCTTATAGTTGGTGAAAGACAGGAGGGCACTGCGAATGCCTTTCCCTGCTTCTGCCACATCTGCCAGCACTCACTGCTGTTCTCTCTTTGAGGTCTTCCTTTATCGCTTTTCTGCACTGCTTTGAGAGCTTGGACATTCGCTTGTGGTTGCCTGAGGCTGGCGCCAAGCCATGTTGTGAATGAGCTCAAGAGTTTTCAAAGACAGGCATCTTTTTGTGGCTATCTCTCTCTTGGCGTTCCTCGCACAATCATGGAGGTGCTGAACCAGTCAATCATATTCCTCGTCAATATTATTGATGACGGAATCTTCCCATGTTGCTGCAAAAGTGCCAAAGAGCTCCCAGTTGGTGGTCGTTTGAGAGTTCTCTTAAACTTGGCAGCCCTTTCTCCCCGCTCTGTGAAATATAATTTTGCACAAAGGAGACGGTGGTCTGATCCCACTTGGAATTTTGGGCAACAGCGACATCAGTCAGGCAAGACTGTCAATTGAATATGATGTGGTCAATTTTGTTGTGGAACCATCCACCAGGAGACTCCCATGTCCAACGTTTAGATTCGGTCTTCTGGAATTGTGAGTTACCATGGATGGTCTTGGTCAACATGATGAACTCAGTCTATCACCCTATTCATTCCATTCTATACCATGGGTCCCGATGTGGCTCTTCGGCTGATGTTCTCGGTCCTATCTTGGCATTAAAATCACCCACAATGATCTTGTAGAAGGTGTGGTCTTCTTTAAACAACTTCTCCAGCTCCATGTAGAACTTTTCAATTTCTCCTTCATCATAATTGGATGTTGGTGTGTAGACAACAAAGATAGAAACTGCCAGCAGTAAGCCACATCTATTCAAGTATAGTCGTCTGATTCAGGTTGTTAGGCATTTGAATGAATCAATGCTCATGGCCAAGTTCGTGTTGACAAGGACACCGAAACCACCAATTCCTCTTTTGTTGCATGTTCTGAGGAACAGTTCTTCTCCAGTGTCAAAAATGGCGTGATGTGATTGATGCCTTTTCCTCTCGGTCACACCAATGATGACGTACTTGATCTTTCATACTTATACCATCAGGTTCTTGATGGATGCATCTGATGCCAGCATACGTGCATTGAAAGTACAATCATTTTTGTCCTTCTTCATTTTGGCAGCCTAGTTCGGCCTTGAGATTTTATCAGCCTCTCCTTACTCATTCTTCTTAATGCTGCTGTATTAGTGGCTCTTTCAGGGTCAGGGGAATGAGACCCATTGTATTTACTGGTTTTGGCATATAGAATATGCCACAGATAGCTTGCCAGGCTCTGCCATGCGGGCGGGATATTCTCGGTAGCTTGCTAGGCTCTCTGAGAGAGATAGAGGCTTTTAGGGCACCCTCTAATTGTCCTTGCAGGTGTTCAAACTATATCTGAACCCTATCAAATATGGTGCAGTAATCTTGAAAGAGGGGTATTAAGTATCTTATGATGTGCTGCGCATTCCGGAAAGCATCCTGGAGTGTGACAGCAGCTGGGTAGTGGAGGTAGTAGAGGTCTGCCGATGAGGTATTTATCTGGTAACAGTAGGGTGGGTCTTCTGTGTGTAATCCCTGGGTCGCCGGAGGTTGGTGGAAGCAGATAGGGTTTTCCTGTGTTGTTTGGCATTAATTACCAAAAGACATGGGGGTGGAAAAAATATTTGAGGGGCTAGGGATATGGCTTAGAGGGCTGGAGCACATGCATTGCGCACATAAGACCCGAAATTCAACCCCAGCACCACACAGTCCCTGAACACTTCCAGGTTAGCCCTTCTGGCTGAAGCACTGCCAATGCAGCTGGCCACAGCTGGTCACTAACCGTGGTCTCTGACCCCTGGGGCAATGCCTGGGACATACGGAAACATTAAATTGAATTTTAAAAACTACATCAATAATTTTAAAATTATAATTTTAAAAACTATGTCAATAACTGTGAAACAATTATTTCAGACTATTTCATTCAAGGAATGTTTGAGCTTCCAAGTACAAACACTGACCCTACCAACATCTGCAAGGAAAACCCTGCTGGAAGTTAATGCGCACAAATCTTTTCAAGGGAAAAAAAGCAATTGGACCAGTCTCACCCTCACCTGCCCCCAATGTACAGCTGGGAGCCCCGCCCCGAGGAGCTCTACAAGTCTGATCTACAAGTCTGAGGAAGACAATGCATGTGTGGGTCAGAGCTGGCAAAATGGCGAGCAGCAGTGGTGGATGGCTTCACTGATGTCAAGACACAACCCTGATGAAGGTGGGCAGGCAGATAGAGAAGGTCCCCTCCCAAGGCAATGGCAGAAAATTTCCTGGGAAGTAATAGCACTGAAGTTGCAAAAGCCGATCTTTTTTGCAGAAAACAGCAACTAAGGCCTGATAAAATCCCACCTGACGCCAGTCTGTACCAGACCCTGAGGAGGCTGGACCCCTACAGAGATGACAAACTTCAGCAGAGACAGACACACAATTAAGGACTTGAAAGAGATTCACCAGAAGCATCAAAGCTGTTCCTCTGATATAATACCTGATCAACCCCCATCCCTGTCAGGAAACTCCAGACATATATGCATGTAAAAGCCAGTCATAAAGGCCATTCAGGGTTTCTCCCTTGGGTGAGTCACTCTACCTTCTCCCACTTTCTCTTCCTCCTTTCCTTCAAAACCGCCAAATAAAATCTGTTTTACTTCATGGCTCATCTACTCCTGAAATTCTTTTCTGTGGGGTGAGACAAGAACCCAGTAACCCTGGGTCCCAGGTGGCAGAGGTGGATGGGGAGAAAATGACCGTCTTTCTTTCCCACTTCACATAAGTCACCCATGGGGCCCACTGACATCAATCCCACACTCTTGCCCTAGTCTTCAGAGCCTCTGGGGGGCGGGGGACCACGTCCCAGGCCTGCTGGCTGCTTCTCCCTCCCTGCTGCGGGCAGTCTCCATTCCTCCCTCTAGCCAGCTGCACGATTTCCTCAAGAAGAATGAACTCTCCACCATCCCCTGGCTCCCCACATACCTGCAGGGTCTCTAACTGATTGCCAACTGCCAAGTCCCAAGGGGAGGGGTAGACAAGACAGGACAGCAGGCAGGGTGCTCCTACATAATATAAATTTGTACCATTGAAACACACACAATTTTCTAGGCATGCAACTACCATGTGAATGGAAGGAAAATTATACCATATTTTGTTGAGAACATTATCGATGTTATTAGGCATTTTCCAGTTGGAAAAGCAAATCATTTCCTGTAAGATGGCCTAGAATTTGTGGATGTTACACACTCATGGTGATTTTTCATTATGTAGGAATACAACTATTTAGACTTCATTTAAAAAATGTTCTCCCCTCACAAGCAGCTGACCTGGGATTAATTCCCCCATGCCTCCTGTGGTTCAATCAATCAATCCCCATTAGGAATGATTCCTGAGAGCAGAGCCAGGAGTAGGCATAGAACACCACCATGTATGGCACCAAAACCAAAAGAAAAAAAATCCAGGCAACAAGGGGGATACTTCCTGCGGGAACAGAAGCTGGCTTAGGACACCCAGTACTGCTTTCTCCCTGTCACCTGACCTGACCCTGTCACACGGTAATGATGCCACCTGGGACAGATGCATACAAGGCAATCGATCAGCTTACCTGCTGTATAGGGGTTATTCCTGGCTTTGTACTCAGGAATTACTCCTGGCGGTGCTCAGGAGACCACATGTGATACTGGGAATCAAACCCAGGTCGGTGGCGTGTTAGGCAAATGCCCTACCGCTATGCTATAGCTCAGTAATACTGTTTTTAAGGCTTACAAGAAGCTGATAGGTACTTCAAGTATTTTGTAAAGTCCCCACATACCTTGTTTTTGGCTTCAATATCTGCGTCATGTGACAGCAGCTTTGCGGCTATTGATCGGTTCTGGCCCGAAGCGGCGTAGTGGAGAGCAGTGTTACCGATGATGTCCTGCAGATTTGGGTCGGCACCGTGTTCCAGCAGGATTGTGGCACAGTCCTCTCTCTGGCATTGGACTGCCTGCCAGTGTCGGCCAAGAAACAGCATGTAAATTCTAGAAATTCCAAAGAAACCTTCCCCGGCTTTTACCAGTTCATCATACTTAAAGGAGCTCCTCATTTGGCTCAGGATAAAGGACTCAAATCCGCTTCAGTCCCCTAATTTGGTGCCTACTATACCTTAATCAACGCTGTCCTGTTTTCGCTGTCACAGAGGTTAAGCTGGCATTTTCTCTCCACGAGGAGAGTGACCACTTCTCGATGGCCACTGGCACAGGCTAAATGTAGGGCAGTCCTGTGAAAGTGAAAGGACTTTTTTAGAAAATATAAGGTACGACCTGGAAATAGGATATTATCTATCTAGATGTAAACACCAAGAATAAGATTTTCCTCTATCTTCAAAAGAAATATTTCGTTTTCTTCTAGTAAAGTATAATACTAGTTATTACAACATGGGTGAAAGAAGAGCCTATTTTCATGCAAAAAGCATGATCTTTGGATTCAACTCAACTTGCTTTATTTCTGTTTCACAACCAGCAAGAGCTTTTCCTGGCTTTGTGTTCAGGAGAAATTCCCAGCAGTGCTCAGATGCATATGTGGTGTTGGGGACCCAAACACCTATACTATTTCTCCAGCCCCAAACTGTTTTTATTTTTTTAAGTATTTTAAATTTATAAAGAGGATATGGTTGAGTCATTTCCCAGCCCAGAAATCTTGTTGTCTATAGGAATGTTCAAGTCAGCACAAGAATATCTAATTAGGCATTTGTGTTTTCTTTGTAGTACCTTTCTCACACTGCATACTTAATTTTTAATCTACATTCCACCTGTAAATTTTGAGTTAAATTTTTCCTATGAGAACTTTTTAAAAAGTCCAAGTAGCTGTCTCTAAATAATTACCCGGAATTTCTCCATCATTTGTGAATTAATCCCAGTTCTTTGGGGGGTGGGGGCTTTTTGGGTCACACTCAGCAATGCTCAGGGTTTACTCCTGGGTCTGTACTTAGGAATTACTCCAGGTAGTGTTTGGGGGACCATATGGGACGCCAGGGATTGAACCCGGGTTCAATGTGCAAGGCAAAACGCCCTACCCACTGTACTATCATTTCGGCCCCTAATTCCATATTTTTTTTGTTACCAATATGAAATACTACAAATCAAGTTCTATCATGTTTTTAAAGTTTATGGGTTTTTCAATTCTGTATTGTTTATTTTAAAAATGTTCTGACATATTTTGATATATATGTCAAGTTTAGCAAAATATTTTTTAGCTTTATCACTGCAATAAAGGCATAAATGCACTGTAGCACTGTCCTTCCGTTGTTCATCGATTTTGCTCTGGGGGCACCAGTAACGTCTCCATCATGAGACTTCTTTTTACTACTTTTGGCATATCAAATACGCCACAGGGAGCTTGCCAGGCTCTGCCATGCGAGCAGATATATCATGAAATATCTGAAACCTTGATATTATTTGGCTTATGCAAAACTGATAAACCTAAGTACTCACATTTTGAGCCAATGAGTTTTTCTATTCCACAACACAGAACCACCTTCCCGCTTCAAAGTTCCCTTCTATGGTCCTTCAGAAAAGAACATACTCAGGTAGGTGTGTACACAGATAAAAAGTGGATATTGGTGGCTATCCCAAGAAATGTTAACCCAGAAGTCAATGAAATATAGAATGACCATTCTCATTATGCACATTATATTGCAATATATGATAGCATTTAAAAAATGTGCAAATCAAGGGCCTTAGAGACAGGAGTGGGACGGAGGAGGCGGCTTGGCTTGCAAGCAGCTGCAACTAGTTCAATCCACAGCACCCCACATGTTCCCCCCAGCACCGCCAGGAGTGATCCGAGTCCAACCGGGTGTGACCAATCACCCCCCCACCCCCCCAAGTATTGAACATCAAAAATAAAATGCTAGAAAGAATAATAAAAAATGCTGTGCATAATTGTGTTTCTGTGATTATTCCTTAATTTCGGTTTTCAACCGTCGGTCAATTGCTCTGGCCAGGTCTCTAAGTGGGTCCAGAAGCAGCTAACGTCTTTTATACTCTTGGTGCTCTGGGCGCTAGTCTGGGCACGCAGGGCAGCCAGGACAGGGACTGCCCGGCCTCTGCTGGGAAAGGCAAGGAGGAGTCCGGAGTGGACAACCGGGGCGGGGGCGGGGGGCCGGGCCGGGGCGCTGGACGCGGTCCGCCCGCCGCTTTCCTGCTAGCCACGCTGTCCTATTACCTGTTCATCTTGTCTCTATCATTCAAGCCACTTTTCCCGAGCAACAGGACCTGCTGCACTTTCGCCACATCGCCCGCGCTGGCCGCTTTGTGGATCTTCCCCAGATCTTTGTCTCGGACGTGGTACCCCGGCCCCGGGATGCCGCTGGTCCTCGCCCCGCGGCCAAAGCCCCCTCCGTCCAGCCGCGGGCTGGTGTTCCGCAAGCCAAAAAGGCTCTTCATCGCTGATCCTAAGCTGGGACGGGTGGCCCCGGCACTGCTCGGCTTCCCGCCGCAGCCTCCAGAGCCCGGCGCTACAGATAAACCATCAGGGGCTCGTCCCCCGCCAGCCTGGCTCGGATTCTTTCCGCCCAGATTAACAGCAAGCAACAGCCGCTGCTAAGCACGAGTGCGCGTGCGCGACTCCGCAAAAAAAATCGAAAACACAAACCGGTTCCCGCGCCTGCGCACGGCAGCCCGGCAGCCGAGGGTGCTCACGGCGCAAGTGCGAGGTGCGGATGTCGGGGTTGAGCGTGGGCAACGCTGTGATTCATTTCCAACGTCGCGGGGTGCGAATCTGCCCGGCGTTTCCGGACTTGGGGAGAAAGTTCAGCTCCCTCGTGTTAGAAGTCTTTGGCCGAGGGCTGGTGCAACTCCAGAAGCAGAAGGCTTCGTCCCTTAGAAAATTCCCCTCCAGCAACTTTTCTCACAATCTATTCACCCTTTCGTTTATGCCTTTTTACACACCCCGCTGAAGTCCCCACGAAATTCAGCGAAAGCAACAATAGAAAGTTGATTTCGTCTTTTTAGACAATGCGGCAATGTGTCATTAAATGAAAGTGTGGGAGAAACCAACGCACAATTTCCAGGGGAAATAATATATTCCCACCAGACCTGTGAACTCTCTCATTTCACTCAGCCCTACGTTTACATTTCCTTTTGTTTCTTGCTCTTATTCTCTTTCAGTCTTTTATCAATACTTGCTATATCTTGAAGCATTATGTGACAATTAAAAACTTTTTAAGAACTGCTAATAACTAATAGCTAATAATAAATCCCAAACAATCTATCTTGTCTCACGTAGTTTGTGTCTTTATATTACATGAAATGCTTAGGTGTTTTTCTGTTTTCTGTTCCATTGAATGGTCTGTTGCTTCTACCCTTATAAAAGGTATTTATTTTAATATTCATTATGGGTACAAAGTTTCCCTCACCCCCTTAGTTTTCCTTTCAGTAATTTCTTGGTAATGTTTACCTATACATGATTTGAATGAATTTTAATCACTATATCAAGTTATAAATAATTCTTACATTTTTAAATTGCTTTGAGAATTAAAAAAAATTAGTCACCACAACGTATTACAGTAATATTAATGCTTCAGGAACAGGCATAGTGCAGGCATAAGCGCTTGCCTTGCACACAGTCGAGCCCTTCTAGAAGCCCAACATTTCTGTATGGATCCCACCCACCCCCTTCACCCCCTAGCGCCTGCATGCAGCACACACAGCACACCCATGGTCTTCTTTCCTTGGCCATTGTTTATTCCATTCTGTGTTTCTATGGACTCCATATATTAGCTCATTACATGTGTTTTCCCTTTCGCTTTGACTCCCTTTGCTTAACATATTATCCTCTAGTAACCTCCAAGTTGCAAAAAGCTCCAATATTTCATCTTTATAAGAATTCCTTTTAGGAGAGCCAGAGGTATAACTCAGTATGCTGAGCACATGATTTGTATGCGAGAAGCTCAGGTTCCTAAATTACGTGATCAAAAAAAAAACTAGATAGGATAGTTGGGGCCCGGAACATCTAAGATTGGGTCATGATAGGATATAGATCTTTTCAATCAAGTCAAAAGCAAGTAAAATACTTTTTAATCAAAAGATAAAAGGGGGGGGGGCTGGAGAAATAGCACAGCGGGTAGGGCATTTGCCTTGCACGCAGGCGACCCGGGTTCGATTCCCAGCATCCCATATAGTCCCCTGAGCACCGCCAGGAGTAACCCCTGTGCATCGCCAGGTGTGACCCAAAAAGCAAAAAAAAAAAAAAAAAAAAAAGGTAAAATAGGGCCAGAAGGATAGTACAGAGGGTTAAGGTGCTTGCCTTGTGGACTGCAGACCCGGGTTTCATTCCAGTACTGAGGTCCCCTGGGGTGATTCCTAAGCAGAGTCAGAACTAAGCCCTGAGCACCGCCTCATGTGGCAATAAATAAATAAAATAGAGCTCTCTTCCCCCTCAAATCCTGTAAGTCAGAATTTTAGTTTAGGTAAGAGATATCTCCTTTTATGCTTCCTCATAACTTGTTACTCAGTGAGCGATAGCACAGTGGTAGGGCATTTGCCTTACAAGCGGCCAACATGGCTGACCCGAGTTCAATTCCTCCGCCCCTCTCGGAGAGCTTGGCAAGCTACGGAGAGTATTCGCCTGTGCGGCAGAGCCTGGCAAGCTACCAACGACGCATTCAAAATGCCAAACACAGTAACAACAAGACTCACGATGGAGACGTTACTGGGCCCGCTTGAGCAAATCGATGAACAACGGGAGGACGGTGACCGTGACCGGTGACCCACCTAAATCCACTCCTGACTCTGTATCTAATTACCATCACTGAACTTGCATCATCCTCTCATCTTGTCATAAACCCTTGGGTCCATATCCCTCAAGCTCTCATATTTAATATCTAAATACACTTTCTCTTGCTCTTTTGCTATCTGCAACTCTTGTGTTCCTATCTTTATTCCATTTCTTAGAAAGACAAAAGATGTTGGCTATATACTCTGTAGTAACTAGTTATGAACAGATCGAAGATAGAGATTCTTTTTAATGCAGCACTTAATCCAACTGGAACATATCTTGGTGGCAAAGTGGAATGGAACAAGAGTGGGGCCACACAGCTGCTAAAGATCAAACTAGCTAACCCCAAACTCCACATATTCCTAGTACATTTGTTAGTGATTTCAAGAGTAAAGAAATAAAAAAAGAAAAAAAGAAAGCCTTTTCTGCACAATACAGCAGCACTTTTTCAATGTTTGATGTGGTTACAAGACAAATGCATAGTATACTTTAAACCTGTATATTATAGCATACATGATACTTGACATGATTAAAACTATAATGTACTATAACTCTAGCCCGGCTATTAAGTAGTTTTGCAACTAAGTAACTGCAACTTTGACTTGTAACAGCAGATTTAGGCAACAAAGAACAGCAGCAAGTTATAGGTTCATGTTTGCTTAGGGCCAAGTGGTTGGAAGAAATCGGGAGTGACTGCTAAAGGGAATCTGAAGCTAGTTTTGCTTTTTGTTTGTTAGGAGCACACACCTGCCTTACTCCTGGCTCTGCATCACTCCTGGCCATGCTGACAGCACCATATTGGGTACCAGGGATTACTCTTCCATACAAAGCCTTTAAAATAAATATTCACACTAGCATTGTTCATAGTATGCCAGATCTAAAAAGAAATCATCAACTAGTATATAAACAAATGTGCTATGAATATCCTATGAAAATAATGTTGATCAAAAAGTAAAGATAATACAACAGACTAGCCTCAAAAACTTACACTACGAAGAGCAAACTGCAAAATAAAATATAGTAGACTACATAATTCCATTTATATAAAAAGCCCAGAGAAGGCACATTTATATACATGGAAAGTAGATTTATGCTACCCGGATTTGGAGTGGAAAAAGAGTATGCCTGCCAACTGGCCTGACAGAATTTTGGGGAATAATGGTCCTAAAATATATAAATTTATCTCTTTATACCTCAGTACATGTCAAAAAAATCTTAAATCAGATTAAAGACAGATAAGACTTTAATCAGGATTTTATGTAAAACCCGTGTGTGTGTGTGTGTTGTGTTGTGTACAAATACATACACCAAAACATACCTCTATGCAGAGAGGGAGAAAGAAGAGAAAGGAGTAGGAGGAGCAATAAACAGGGCTGAGGAGATGGCTCAGGAGGCGGGACTGCAGGCTTCATCTGCAGAAGCCCCAGATTGACTCCTGGAAAGGGCATAGTCCCCTGAGCAGATGAGAATGACCCCTGAGCAGTACCAGGTATGCCCCAAGAGCTACAAAACAGGGATAAAGACAAAGAATTGATAAACCTGGTAAACATGGACGATGGCTTCATATGTGGAAGCCCCATACATTATTCGATCAGTGTTTCTCCACAGCTTATGCAAAAAAAAAAAAAATTGCTCCTTGATCAACTTCTTCAATGAAGACCATATACAGCTTAACAGTTATTAGAAAACTATAGGTAATTTTAATAAAATCTCTTCAAGAATATAATTTTGTTGTAAAACCAATACAGTGTGCTCTAAAATAATTTTTCTATTGAGTTAAATAAATCCATCATAAATTCTGTAACGTTTAGATTCACAGCACTACACAAAAAGTAAACAATAGATTACATTACTAACACAGGGTAACGCAAAAGTTTACTTCGAAGGGGACTGAATTTTAGTTTAATTTTGCTTTCAATAACAAGCACAATTATACAGTTATTTGAAATTTGAGATGTTAATTAACAAAATACTGCTTCTCTGAAATAAATTTCACTATTTAGAATAATGTAAGACTCTATAAAGATCAAAGACCATGGAAATGATAGTTGCATTTTTTAAAGTTCTGATTATATCTGTACACTTACAATTTTCTACACTTAGACCTTTAAAAACCCCTTTATATATGGTGAATGTGTAGCATAACTCAAATGTATTTTAATGAAGTTTCCACTGATAAGAGTTGAAATGTTTTACTAACATAATATTCTTTATTAAAATAAATGGTATCTAGAAATAAAGACAATCCTTCAACAATTTTACTTTTCTAAGTAAAAATACTTCCCAGAAACTAAAGGCACAATTTTTATTCGCATCTAATAGAGTAACCAACCATAAAATTCTTTACTGATTTTCTATTTAATAACTGACGGACATTTCTCAAACAAGATGTTTTCAATCCTGATAGTTCTTTATTTTCTTTAACATATTTGCTATAGGTTACTATTTTGCAATAGGTGTGATCATAAGAATAACCAAAATTAGATAAATGTGATAAAGATTGACAATGTTTCACGCTTGAGTGATAGCGGTCAAAAATGGGGGGGGGGGGAGCGTTGCAAAAGAGTACTGCAATGCTACTTATATTCTTGCAATAAAACCAGCAATACATCCATCACAGGAGAGTTATCATCTCACTTCCAATTTCTTCCCCTCAAGAACTATTTGAATTTCTTTGGCATCCAAAGTCTCATAGGTCAATAAAGCTTCTGCTAGGTTCTTGTGCTCTTTTGCATGAGTCTTCAAGATATGTTTCGCCCTTTCATATGAATCCTAAAACAGAAAAACAGGCATGTAAAAGGAGGAAAGTGTTGGCAAACAAAGTTGTACCCAGGGATCCATATGTAGTGCTGGAGATTGAACCAAAGTCCACCAAATGCAAAGCAAGCATATTAGTCCTACTCTACCTCTACAGCCCTAAATAAATGTTATATTTTTAACCATAGACAACTGAGAACAATTCAAACAAAAAGCTACTTAAAATTATACAGTCTTGATACGCTTTTAAAGTTAGTTTTGTAAATAAATGTGTTTCTTAGGGTAAGGAGAGATAGTATAGCACGCAGTGTGGTGCTTACTTTGCATGCGGCCAACTTGGTCCAATTCTCAGCACCCCATATGGTCCCCTGAGTCCTATCAGAAGTGTTGCCCAGGAGACTGGGGAGGGGCAGCTGGAGCAATAGTAGAGAAGAGGGTGTTTGTCTTGCAAGCGGCCAACCAGGCAAGAGCCTGGATTAACCCCTGAGCACTACTGGGTATGGCCCAAATCCTCCTACCCCCACCTCTGTAAAGGAGTAATGATAGAGGGGAAACGAGGGGAGGAAAATCTATTTTTCTATTCAATATGCGTAACAAAGAATTACATTTCCTCCTTTTACCTCTTGAGATTTCACTGATTTATATTTTTAAAGTGGGGCAGGGGTATTTGAATTGGTAACACCAGTTATTATATATAATTCTTACTTTCATATATTTGATTTTTTTTTACAATTCACCTTAAATTTGTTTCAAAGATATATTCAATTCTTTCCAAAGATATTTTGATTACATTTACCAGTTCCTTACTATTTGACTGGAGTCCCACCCAGCAGCTTCACTGTGCAATCTACTGCCCTTGAACCAGTTTTCATTTACTAAAGACTCTTGGCACTCACCTCTGGCGTGTTCTCCTTTCGAAGACATGCGTTCCTGCCCAGCCTAACAGTAGAACACCCCAAACTGGTAACCTCTAGAAGCAGGTAATTCTCCATCTAAAATCCTCATTAAGATACCTCAAACACAACATGTACTGTATAAAACTAAATTCACGAAACTATTCTGTGATAGCTTAGCTCTGAGCTCTGAGGACTGAGCACAGGCTTCGTGCGAAGGCACGAGTTCAATCCCTGATGCATGAGCTCCCTAGCACCACAGGGAAAGACTCCTCAGCAGAACTGGTGGCAGTCCCCAAGCACTGCTAGGTGTGGTCGAAACACAACACACAAATATATAAAATGGAGTTCAGTATTACTTTCCAATCAGTCTGTACTTTCCAACCACTCTTTCTTCGGCCAATATATTAACTATCCAATTACAGGAGGGAGAAATCTAAACACAGCTTTCTCTATTAGCTGCTATCTCACCCAAACATTACAGGGCCTGTAAATTCTCCTATGCCAGTATCTCTTAAATGCACCTACATTTCACTTTTTCTCTATTCACTAACCTATCCTAAGTATCCATTATGCTGTGACTAGATACCTACAGTATGAAGTGACCTTACTGGGTATAATTATACATTTTTTTTACCGGCATCTGTACTAGACTCTGCACTCAAAAAGAAATTTTTTTAGGGCGTTTGCCTTACAAGACCCAAGTTCTATTCCTCCGCCCCTCTCGGAGAGCCCGGCAAGCTACCGAGAGCATCTCGCCCGCACGGCAGAGCCTGGCAAGCTCCCCGTGACGTATTCGATATGCCAAACACAGTAACAACAAAGGCTCCAATGGAGACGTTACTGGGCCCGCTGGAGCAAATTGATGAACAACGGGAGGACCGTGCTTATATTCTATGTTACCTGGACATGTACACTACGAAACACAAAATAATATTTGTTGAATGTGTCAAAGTGAATAAATGTATGTCAAAGGATAAAATATTCCCAATAACAAGTGTTTTCCCATTCTAATACTAATATTACTTCTTGGATTTTGTAACTAGGTAAAATTAATTATTTACAATCAATGATATACACCGTTCTTAACCTGCAACCAAAATACAATAAAGATTCAGGGGCCGAAGTGAACCCGGATTCAATCCCCAGCATTCCAACTAGTCCCCTGAGCAGTCAGAAATAATTCTTGAGTGCAGAGCCAGGACATCACCAGGTGGGTGACCCCAAAACAAAAACAAAACAGAGAAAAAGAAAAAAGAAAAAGACTCAGAAGATGTCCAGGGGATTCCCAAATAATCAACTAAATCATGGATGGCAATAGTGTCCACGCTTTTATATCTATCTATCTATCTATCTATCTATCTATCTATCTATCTATACACTTACACTGGAGCACAGTGGGCAGGGCATTTGCCTTGCACACAGCCAACATGGCCGACCCGAGTTTGATTCCTCCGCCCCTCTCAGAAAGCCCGGCAAGCTACTGAGAGTATCATGCCCACACGGCAAAGCCTGGCAAGCTACCTGTGATGTATTTGATATGCCAAACACAGTAACAACAAGTCTCACAATGGAGATATTACTGGGCCCCCTGGAGCAAATCGATGCACAACGGGAGGACAGTGACAGTAACAGTGACCTCCTTCATTAATACCCACTTACATTTCTAAATAATAAAAGTCCTTCTGTTACCACCTTGCTATAAGCATTTAACCACTTTGTCCACTTTGACTAAAATAAATATGCATAAAAATGATCATTACCCTTAGAAGGATCCTTATTTCTTGTTCAATAGCAGACTGAGTTTCTGGGCTCAGTTTTCCTGTATCACTGTAGGTCATAACTCCAAGCTAAAATAAGCAGGAACAAAGAAATTGAAAAGAAACCTCCACAACTAAATGTAACCGAGAAAGCAGTACAAATACCATGGGGACAAGGAACAAATACAATACAAAAATGCCCTACAGGTTAAAAATTTCATCACTCATCTGAAAGCATAAGACTAAAATAAAAAGTGTAAATAATGAGAAAATTGTAAACGATATATACGGTTTTGAGTAGCTCTTTTTCTCTTTTTTCATTGCAGAGCTTGCTGGGGGCCAAACCCTTGTGCTTTCATGCAACTGGCGGTGGGGAATTGTGACACCAGTGGATAACAGACAGAAGAGCAGCCAGGCTCAAATAACTGAACTGCCAGGACTGCAAATCAATGCATGTGGATCACCAGGGATTTGAACTTATGACCACACACTTGGAAGCCAGGCGCTCCAAAATACTGCATTAATCCTGTGGGTCCTCTGAGTACCTTCTTTTTCTATCTTTCTTTTTTTTTTTATCTCTCTCTCTCTTTTTAAAAAAATTTTGTTATTGTCTTCTGAGCACCTTCTTAAGAAAACCTTGGCAGCTATTGTAAGTTCAGAAATCTACAATTCACAGAGCATTAGAATTGCTTCCTCAAGTCACAGAGTCAGAAATAAATGTAGGAACATGACTATGGGAAAAGGGCAAAGTTAAGCAAGCTCAGCAAGTCTTCTAAACAAAAAATGCTAAAGAAATTGTTTTATCATTTAATTTTTAAGGTCATTAGAACCCTTTCTTCACAATGACATCTGGCAGATGATCAATAGATACATAAAGAAGGATTTAACATTTACCATTACCTTTTCACTCATTCCAAATTTGGTAACCATCCGCTTTGCTATTTTAGTTGCATTATCAAAATCACTAGAAGCACCTGAAATTTAAAAAATAGCTCACTTTTACAAAATTCTTTGAATCAATAAGCAGTTTGGACTCAGTCCATTCTAAAAAGCCAACCTGTGGTAATATGATCACTTCCAAATATGAGTTCCTCGGCCACTCTCCCGCCCATGCTGACATCCATCTGGGCAAGAAGCTGAGCTCTCGTTTCATTCCACCTGTCATTCTCAGGCAGCAGAGAAACCTAGGCAATTGAAAAGCAAAACAATAGAATTGGAATCCAATGATGAAACATTTCATAATCATAAGCATAAATTTTCTTTATAACGTTTAATTGTTTTGGTTTGGGGCCACACTAGGCATTGCCCAGGGGTTACTAATAGCTCTGCACTCAGGAATTACTCCTGATTGTGCTTGGGGGACCATATGGGGTGTTGGGGATTGAACCCAAGTCAGCTGCGTGCAAGGCAAATGCCCAATGCCCTATATGCTATACTATCTTTCCAGCCCAGATGTTCATGACATTTAAAGGAGATAACTGTCAAGTGATTGATGAAAAGTAACAAAGGCCCAATTTAGGAAACAAAATTGAACACTGCATTATAATGGTATAGAAGATTCAAAAAGAGTAAGTTTTAAGTTTGCACTGAAAGTACTGTACAATTCTATCCTTCAACATGGCTCTTCCCTCTATCCTACCTCACCCACCTCCCCTAACTCTTTCCCGCTGTTAACTGGTCTTATAGACCACAAATTTAAGCTCGTCTGTTTGTTTTCTCCATATGCTACAAATAAAAATATACCATGTTTGCCTTTCTCCATCTAGCTTCTTTCACTAAGCACACTATCCCCTGGGTTTATCAATACTGTTTTAAATTGCAGGATTTCAACTGCAAAGTGATTAGCAGTCCAGAAAATATGTATTCCATGTCTTACTAATTCATTTGTCAGTCTGTGAACATGTAGGAGTGCATATATCTATCACTTCAAATTGATACTTTTTTAATCTGGGGAGAGGAGAGCTAACACAGAAGAGGAATAGATTGTATTAAACTTCTACTTTAAAAAAAATATATTTTTTTTTTGAAGGGGAAGTTAACAGGTTGGACCACATTTGGAGATACTCAGGTGTTACTCTTGGAAGTGCTCATGGTACCATGGGTATGTGGGTACCAAGGATAAAACTCAAGCTTCCAACATCAAAGCATGCACTCCACCCTATTGGGCTATTGCTCTGATACAACCATCTTGCATTTCTGTTTTTTTTTTTCTTTTGCTTTACTGGACCATATTCAGAGATGCTCACGGACCACTGCTGCCAAGGCTCAGAAAACTATATTCAAGTGCCAGCAATTAAATGGTGTTCAGTTGCATGTAAGGCAAAAAACCCACCTGTGGTACTACCACTTCAGCCCTCAATTTTTAATTTGGGGGGAGGGAGAAGTTTTATATGTATTTTCTACATATTTCTAGGGGGAAGCTACGTAAAGAAAAACACTACAGGGGTCTCAGCAATAGTATAGCAGGTAGGGCATTTGCCTTGTAAGCAGCTGACCGGGGTTCAATCCATAGTACCCCATATAGTCCCTGAACACTGCGAGGAGTGATCCTGGAGTGCCAAGCCAGGAGTAAGCCCTGAGAACTCCCAGGTGTAACCCCCAAACAAACAAAATACAAAAAAATCGAACAACAAAAACGAAGCTCCAGGATACTTACATGTCCGAGCGTTGGCCCTCGTGGCATGATTGTGGCTTTGTTGATAGGCATTGCATCTTTAGTGTAATAGGCAATAATGGCATGACCAGACTCATGATACGCAGTAATGGTTTTGTTTTTGTTATCAATCTCCACACTTCTACGTTCAGGCCCTACAGATAAAAATTTCAGTATGAGAAATAATACATTAGGATAGTATATTTAAACAAAACCGAATTGTCCCGAAGTGACTGTTTTCTGGTTTTGCTCTGGGGTCACTTCTAGCAGTGCACAGGTGCCAAGCACATGCTGCAGGGCTGGGAGCTACCTTTAAAATAACAATTTAATCTCATGAACTGTTTTCTGAGAAAGCATTCTATTAAAAGAAAAGAAAATGTATTGTTTCTTTGGGGGATTTTTGAGCCATAGCCAGAAGTGCTCGGGGAACTGTGTGGTGCCAGGGTCAAATCGGGTCAGCAGCCTGCAAGGCAGGTGCCTTAACCCATCTTCTCTGCTTTCATTAATAAATGTTTTAAATAGTTTAAAAAAAAAGTTAAGAGTAGAATGCATTCTATGACACAAGTAAATCACATCTGGTCAACCTAAAAATAAAAATTATACAATCATCTAAATCCTTTTATCCAAAGGGAAAGTGTGAATATTGCATTGAGTGTGTTTTTGAGTCATACCTGATGTGCTCAGGGCTTACTCCTGGCTGTGCACTCAAACATCACACCTGGCAAGGGTTAAGAGACCATACGGGGTGCTGGGGATCAAACCCAGGTCGGCAATGTACAAGGCATGACCAGATTCATGACATGCAGTAATGGTTTATACTCTGTGCCATCTTTCCAAGCCCCAGTGAGTTTAACAAAATGCCATAAACTAACCTATTTTGAAGCCAATTCAAAACTAAATACAGGAAGTAAGCAATTCCAACTATTCTTTTTCTCTTTTTATAGGTGTCACAGCTGGCAATCATCGAGGGTGACAGGAGTCCCAGCCAGTGGAGCTCAGAGGGCCACATATGCTGGGAATCAAACGCTGAGCCTTGCATGTGCGCATGTGCCTGCCACTTCAGCACTCCATCCAGATCAAATCCAGCTAGCCTTATTAGCAATACTGAACAAAAGTAAAGACTTGAGCCACCCCATTTCCAGAGTGTAATTTTTTTCCTCCAAGGAGCCAAATTTTGGTATATATATATCTATATATATATAATGTGTGTATATATGTAATGTGTATATATATGTGTATGTGTGTATACAAGTATTTGAGCATATATATATATACACACACTCAAATATATATCTATATATGATATAGCATTTTTTTATATATTTGTGTTTTTTCACTCAAAGTAATATTTGTTCTGTAACACAATTGTATAAAATGGAGGAGAAACCTACCCATTAAAATTTTATCTTTGGAAAATTCTAGTTCCTTCATGGTAACCATTTCTTTCCCATCAACAGCTGCCTTCAATGCTGCTTGGTTCACAAGATTCTCCAACTCTGCTCCGGAAAAGCCAACCGTACCACGAGCGATGATTTCTGGGTCAACAGCTATGCACATACACACAAAATTAAAACCTTCAAACAAACTCTTGACAAAACAAAAAAAGTTACCCTGGACAACGATGAAACTTGAAATAAACTCATTGTTCTAAATACTCAAGAAGAAAAGCCAAAATTACCATTATCAGTGAGACAAAAAATCCTACAGTTCATAAAATTAAATAGTTTTATGGAAAAAAAAATGTAGGATTGGCAGTCATGACAATAAACCTTCAACTGTACTGCTAACAGCCTAATCACACAATGAAAAAGCATAGTCATAGACATTTTCTTTTCTCTCATTTCAAAATAATTTGAACATAAAGGTTTCCTCCTCATTCATTAAAGTTTAACTTCTTTCATTGTTGATTCTTTGTAAAGTATTTATCTGAATGTTTAAAAATTTAAATGCCTGACTTTTGGTGACCGTGAAGTTTTGTGGAAATCTCACCATTCTCAGCCCTTCTACGCTGCCCTGAAGCCCCTCTATAAAATAGTGTGATCCCAAAATAAGGAAGGAAAGACTCCTTGTAATTGGAAACATATGTGGCTTGATGAACATACCCAACTCTTTAAAAAATGATAGATTTATCATTTTCTTTGTGGGGGTCACATCTGGTGATGGGCAGGAGGAGAGAGGCTCTCTAGGTCACACATAACAGTGCCACTGTGGGGAAGAGGGGATAATGTCACCCTCTGCATGGGACTGAACCCTTAGTCTCTTGACCACTTGAGACATCCTCTACTCTCTAAAATGCACAGTTCTATTACTCAAGTGGGTCCAGTATTTTTCATGTATTTTTAGTTTGCTTTCACTGACCTTTGGCCCCACCGTGATTATTTATCATATGTTACTATGTTTATATTACAGATGTTTTTCCTCTTATTTTATAATTTACATTCACCTTAAATATCACTTATACATACACTCTCTTTAAAATTATCCATTAAATATTCTAAAGTATGCCTTTTTTTTAGAATCAAGATACAAAAATGATAGAATCTCCTGCATACACACTGAAAAGTGGACTTTCAAAAAAGAAAATATAAGTGGAAGAGGGAAAGGAACTCTAAAGGAAATGACCTTGAAGATGTGTCTTTAAGACAACCAAGTGAATTAGTGCTGCTCAAACACAGATGATGTTTGTATTATGGATGAAACTTACACTGATCATACTTTATTTTATTGAGATACCATTTCAAAATTTCTGTTCGACCTTTCACATCGGGCCTTGGAACAGTAACTTGCATGTCAAAACGACCAGGACGTATTAAGGCACTAAAAGGAAAAAAATAAAACACATAAAATGATAACCCGGAAGGTTATATAGGACTGATAATCTAAGGAGAAAATAGTCAAGAAACTAGATGGCATTTTAGACAAGCAGACAATGTTTCTTGTAAAACCTGTCAAAATAAGTTTCAATAGGTAAATAAGCAAAAATAGAATAAAATCTCCTTAAACATATAAAAATCAGTGATCTACATAGTAAGCAACCCTCAGAAACATATACAGGCAAGTCAGTCATCAAGAACAAATACTTCTATAGCAAATTATTATGTGACTTATTTATCCATCTTGACTACTCTGTATAGAAAGTTGGACTAGAGACTTACAAAAAGACAAATTAATTGAACTAAAAATCCAAATTCATAATAAAAACCAGCAAAACTATGCTACTAGGGGTTGGAAAGATAGCTCAATGGGCTGAGCGCATGTTCTGCATGAAGGGACCCAGGTTCAATCTCTAACACATGGTCCTGCAGTCTACCACCAGGAGCAAGCCCCAAAGCACTAAGCCAAAGTAGTCTCCTAAGCACCCCAGGTGGGGCATGAAAACAGAAGGAAAACTCTGAGTGTGTGTGTGTACAGAAAATATTGCAGTGAATTTTATAAATAATCTCCAACCTCCAAACCTGTTATATGTAATAGTTTTAAAGTTTTAATGTCAATTCATTCATGTATCTTAGAATTTAAAGTGAGTAACTCATTTATTTGGCGGTTTTGTTGTTGTTGTTCTGTTGTGTTTGGGGGCTACACAGCTGGCAGTGCTCAGGGTTTACTCTCTGGGCTTTGCAAGGTCTGCAAACAGGGGTCACTCCTGGTGGTGCCAAGTAAAGACCATTTGGTGCCAGGAATTGAAGCCAGGCCTCCTGCAAACAATTTAGGCCTCCTGCAAACAAAAGTATATGATCCAGCTCATTGAATCAGCTCTCTGGTCCAATTCAGTCACTAAAACCTAGAATCAAATAGAAATATTTTCCACCACCCAGAATGAAACACCAAAACCACTGGCAGTGACTCCCCACTGGTCCCAGCCTCTGGAAACCACTTTTGACAATGTTTATCATCAGATTTTTTATATAAGTGAAATCCTATGTTTTATGACGGGCTCTCTTAGGGGGTGGAGAGAGAAGGGGGAGAGGTGTAGAGGAGTGTTCCCAAGCAGTTGGGGGTGGGGGCAATTCTACAAATCTATGCCCAAATTGGGCCTGGTTCTGTGGGTTGCACAATTCAATCCTCAGGCCCAATCACACAATGCTCAGTTCCAGCAATGCTTGAGCCACCCCAAACTCCCATGCCAGGCATGTGCTCCAGTCCTGAGTTTTCCTCCCAGCATTAATGTCATGAGTTCCTTTAGTGAAACGTTTTTACAGTTCAACCATGTTCTGGGATGTTTCAGTATTTCATGAAACCTCTCTTCTAATACTTACTTATCTAAAGCCTCTGGAAAGTTTGTAGCTCCAATGATGATTACTCCTTCATTGGGTTTAAAACTAATTAAAAACAAACAAACAAAGGCATTTTTCACTGACAATAGCATTCAGAAACAGTTTATCAACAATTTTAGCAATAAGTAGCTAATCTTTCTTAAGCCAAATTGCTAAATACATCTCAATGGCTTTTTAAAAGAACAAGTTTCAGGCCTGTACATATCCATAAAACCACTAAAAAGAAATTGCCGAATCATCTGTGACCAGATACCTTCCCAATATTTGTTCTACATACAAAATGGCATAATACAAAAAGGTGGAATATCCAGCTGTAAAAAATTATTTTGGGGGCTGAAGCAATAGCACAGCGGGTAGGGCATTTGCCTTGCATGCGGCCAACCCGTGTTCAACTCCCAGCACCCATATGGTCCCCCAAGCACCACCAGGAGTTCCTGGGTGCAGAGCCAAGAGTAACCCCTGTGCATCACCAGGTCTGACCGAAAAAGCAAAATAAAAATAAGTATTCTGAAGTTCACCAATTTATATTATTTACCCCCAGTCTTCCTATTTGGTTCCAAAAAGTCCTATGACTTGAGGAAATTTTTGATTCCATTCATAGTATATCCTGTTGCTTTTTAGATTTGCAAATTACTGCTAACCTTTCATCTACTGCAACAAAGTTAGCCACAAATCTGTGTCATACTCTCTTCCCTCTACTGAATAAATAACCAAACTACTAGTCCAAACTATAATCATTGCTTTCCTGTCATAAACACAGTAAGTAAAAAAATATCTAAAGATCAACAACTGATGACACAGGACCTACTGTGCTATCAACAGAAAAATTTTCATATTTCTAGAATGTTACCAAAATTAACACCATATTGCAGAAAGGAAGAAGACTGAATTACCCATCCATTTCAGCAAGAAGTTGATTTATAGTCTGCCTTGAATACGGATGCATTGGAGATTCAATTCGCTTCCCACCAACAGAATCTAATTCATCAATAAATATAACACAAGGAGCATTTGCTTTTGCTTCCCCTAAAAAACCAAAAGGATATAGGTAAGTTTCATAAATATTTTTTTAGAATTATATGATTACTGAATATTTAAAATCTGTACAAATGTCAAAAGTTGGGGGCCACAGAAACAGCAAAAGGTAAGGTGCTTGCCTTGCACACAGGTGACCCAGATTCAATCCCCAGCCTCTATATGGTCCCGAAAAGGCCAACAGAAGCAGTCCCAGGGCTCAGAGCCAAGAATAAGTCCTGAGCACCGCCAGGTGGGGCCCAAAATAGATAAATAAATCAAAAGCTATTCATTTTGAAAAGAAAATCTTTCTTTTTAAATTCTAATTTAAGTCTCAAAACTATATGTACCACGTGGAATGATTTAAATACAAATGAGCATATATTCATTATTTCTAGCTGAACAAATGACATATACACTCAGATTTAAGGCTAATTATTCGCTGTAACACTGAGATAAACATAATTAAAAAGACAATTATAACTTAACCTTATTTAATGCTTACACTAGTTTTTCTTCCCCAAAGGTTAGAATCGCACACTACAATGACTACACTAACTACAGTTCGTACTGCACAAGACACCAACTACACTAACTACAGTGAGGATTGCACATGACACTGAGTACACTAACTACAGTTAGATCGCACACTACACTGACTAAACTACAGTAGGCTCGCACACTAAAATCGCCTGGCACCAAAACTCCACAGTGGCTACTTCAACCATCAATCAAAATCAACTAGGACAGAAATCTCTCTGCCCTGAAATTAAGAAAAAATTAAGAAAACATAGTACAATACATGTAAGATACATGAAAACTTACTAAAAAGATTTCTTATACGGCTGGCTCCCACACCCACAAACATCTCATCAAATTCTGACCCAGATGCATAATAAAAAGGAACATCAGCTTCTCCAGCCACAGCTCTAGCCAGAAGTGTCTTTCCAGTCCCTGGTGGTCCAACTAAAAGAATTCCTTAAGAAAAAATAAACAGGAATGAGTCAGACAAAAGAAAACTTGCCTTTAAATCTATAAAGGAAACTATACAATTCTGAGTTTGAAGGTGTATCAAAAATCAATACTTTGAAACATCAAAATATATCTAGTTTCTTTCAAATATGCACTTCAGGACCAAGGAAATAGCTAACTGGGCTGAGTTCTACATGACTTGGTCCCATCTAAGCTCTGCTGGTATGGCCCAAATCACTGCCACCCACACCATCCCGTCTCCCAGGCTCTGCCCTGCCAAAGGTTCACTTCAGGGTTTATCTTCTGTAAAGAATTTTCCAGTGATTTTTAAAAACTATGTATCACAGATAATACAAAATTTGGAGGAAAGGAATATAAACACATTGAAAACTAAACAAGATAAAATTCATATAAAAGGGGCCGGAGTAGTAAGTGGGTTAAGTCGGTAAGGGCTTTTATTTAGCCTACCAGGGTTGATTCTCAAGCTTGCCAGTAGTAAGCTCTGAGCACTACCAGGTGTGGCCCAAAAACAAACAAACAAAATTCCCCTAAAAAGACAGAAACAAAACATATGCACTGCAAAAACCTTGACTTGATACTCTTCCTTTAAAATGTAAGTTTACAAAAATAATCAAAGAAAATCTGGTAAAATTTTGAAGACTGGAAAATATGTGATATTAAGAAAGACAGAATTTAAGTTTATTTGTTACAACAAATTATTACAATGACTTAGGACAATGTCTCTAACCTTAGATGGCGTTTAAAAACATAATCAGACCTAAAATACTTAATGCCTACAACTTTCAAACTTTCTCATAATTTTGAATATCCTCATAATATTCTCCTTTTTAGTAGAGTCAGAGGAGTAAACCAGGTGCATCATTCCTCGCCTCCCCCCGAACGCCCACTGCACTGCATTCTCTATCCCTCAAAATACTGTATCCTAAGTTAGAATAATAGAATTTCCTGCTTTACATAGACCATCCTTTATCAGAGATTTTAAAAACTAACAAAGGTCAGGAGAAGGCAATCTCTGCTTCAGTAAGAAGTAAATGTAATTAAAAGCCTTTAGTGAGTTAAGGTTGTGGCAGAGTACATGCCTTGCCTATGTGAGGCCCTGGTTTTGAACACTGGCACTAAAGGGTCCCTAATCGCCACCAGGCGTGAACCTTGCCTGACATAATAAATAAATAGGTAAAGGTAAAGGCCCTCCCGTTGATTGTCGATTTGCTCGAGCGGGCCCAGTAACGTCTCCATTGGAGACTTTGTTGTTACTGTGTCTGGCATATCCAATACTCTCGGTAGCTTGCCGGGCTCTCCGAGAGGGGCGGAGGAATCGAACTCGGGTCGGCCATGTTGGCCGCGTGTAAGGTGAACGCCCTACCCGCGATAGCACAGCGGTAGGGCATTTGCCTTGCACGCAGCCAAGATGGCCGACCCGAGTTCGATTCCTCCACCCCTCTCGGAGAGCCTGGCAAGCTACCGAGAGTATCTTGCTCGCACGGTAGAGCCTGGCAAGCTCCCCGTGATGTATTCGGTATGTCAGACACAGTAACAACAAAGTCTCCAATGGAGATGTTACTGGGCCAGCTCGAGCAAATAAATAAATAAATAAATAAATAAATAAATCTAAATGGGGCCAGAAAGATAGCACAGTGGGTAAAGTGTTTGCCTTGAACACAGCCAACCTGGGTTTGGTCCCCAGCATCGTATATGGTCCCTTGAGCACCACCAGGAGTAATTCCTGAGTGTAGAGCCAAGAACAACCCGAGTATTGCCAGGTATGGGCCAAAAACAAAAGCAAAACAAACAAAAAATACCGAAAGCAAAACAAAAAACCATAAATATTCTATGAACCTACATTGGGTTCTGAACCACAGGTGGGGTGGGCGATGGATGAGGACAAACCTGCAACTCAGGATATTAAGACAAACAGCTAAAACCTGAATATGACCATACATTTGAAAGTTTTATATCCATATTGAATTTTCTGTTTTTAATAACTATTATAGCTATATAAAGAGACTATCCTTTCACTTTAGAAAAGACACAATGAGATTCCTAGGAGTAATGGAGTATGTCTATAATTCATTCTCAAAAGGCTAAAAAATTGTTGCGTTTAAGAGTATGGAGTCATCTTTATTGGAAAGCATTCTCTATTTTAAGATCAACTTTGTAAGTTTGAAGTTATAACCAAAACTTAAATAAAAATCAACTTACCTTTTGGGAGTTTACCTCCAAGTACAGTAAATTTTTGTGGATTTTTCAAGAATTCAACAACTTCCTGTAATTCTTGTTTGGCTTCCTCCACCTAGAGTAAAAATACTTAGCAAATAACTTGAAGTAAATGTGAAATTATCAAGGCAACCTCTTAGGAGGGTAGGGGAGATGCCTAGATCACCCATGACCCCAGAGTTAGGGAAGAGAAGGACAGGAAGGGAATGAAAGTGAGGAAGGAAGAGGCAGACAGGAAGTAATGGGGAAGGGGTAGGGGGGCAGGGGTTAAAAGTCTTGGGTACATCACCCCCCCAAGCACCATCAGAAGTGATCCCTGAGCCAGAATAAGTGATCCCTGAGGACTACCAGCTGTAGTCCAAACACAGAGACTCTGAACCCCCCGAAAGAGTGCACCCCCAAACAGGCTAGGGGTGGGGAGTAGGGGTGAGAGGGAACCTAGGGACACTAGCGAAGTTGACACTGGTGGCGGTGATGGTACTGGAACATTGTATGCCTGAAACTAAACCATGAATAACTTTGTAAACTCTGGTGTCTTAACAAAAGAAGAAAATTAAAACAAACAAAAAACCCTCAATGGGTGACACTGTCAGGCACGCTGAAGTAAATTCAGCAGTCCATGGGACTAACCAGTCTCCCCCCACCTCCCAACTCAGAACTTGAAATAAAACCTGTTTTTACTTCAAAACACATTAAGTATGTTTATTATCTACAATAAGCCCTTGAAATGATTAAGACTAGGGGTCTATGTGAATACATAGTTGTAGAGATTTGTGGAATTTTTACCTATAACTGAGTAGGGGCTGGAGTGATAGCACAGCAGGTTGGGCATTTGCCTTGCACCTGGCTGACCCGGGTTCAATTCCTCCATCCCTCTCGGAGAGTCCAGCAAGCTACCGAGAGTATCCCGCCCACACAGCAGAGCCTGGCAAGCTCCGAGTGGCGTATTTCATAGGCCAAAAACAGTAACAAGTCTCACAAAGGAGACATTACTGGTGCCCGCTCGAGCAAATTGATGAATAGGAGGACAGTGCTACAGGGCAACTAAGAAGAAAGCTTCACTTTTTACCCATTTTTAAGTTTATGTAAGTACTGAAAACTCCATAGGGACTCACTCAATATTTCAATAGGAAACAGCAGAGAAGGCATTATGAAATGTAGCAAACTGGCTTCCTTCCTCAAGAAAAACTATACTAGACTTAATACGTTGGGTATTGCTACAGTGCAAGACTACTCTGAAATCCTTTAACCCAGAGATTGTCTTAGAACACCTCATTCTCAGGGCTATTATTTATGTACATAATTAAATATCTAAGTTAGAAAGAATACAATTTTCCTACTTCGCATACAATTCGAAGTGCAATTAGCCTAATGTAAAACTACAATCATCTGCAACCTCATGTCAGATTGTATTAGGTAATTCTCAGTGGGAAAAAAAAAAACTACATTAGGTGGGGTTAAAAAGAACTACCCAGGAAGAAGCATTAAAAAAAAAAATCAAACTGAAACATGAAATGGGACAGAAGAGTACACTGTGAATGGCATTTGCTTCGCATCTAGCCAGCCCCAGTTCCATCCCCAGCACCAGACAAGCGTCCCTGAATACCGCCAGGATGACCCCTGGTAGAGAGCCAAGAGCGAGCCCTAAGCACTGTCCGGTGTGGTCAAAAAAAACAAACATAAAATAATTTCTCAAAAAAATTTTTGAAATAAATATTAAATGCATGACTTAAATTTCTAAAAATATTTCCCAATGATTTTCATGGTCATACAATGAGCAAAGAGGCCTGGAATGCTATTAGAAAGTTATTAAGTTGTAGAAGTTCCCTAAACTGTTTATCAAATTAATAATTCAAAGTTCATATACACTAAGAGACATAAAGCGCAAAAGGCTCAAGCACCTGCTTTGAATGTATTAAATCAGGGTCTGGCCTGTTTCCCTAAGCACAGACAGAGCACTGCCCGTGTGGCCCCCAAATAAATAAAGTGTTTAGTAAGGGCCAGAGATACAGTTCACGAAGTAGAAGCACATGTCTTGCTCATGCCTAAGTCCTGGGACCATAAGAAAGCCTGGCCTGTCACTCTGAGCAATACCTAGTGTGGCCCACATAGGCAATAAAAGTTTTTCTAAAGGAGCCGGGGGGCTGGTGAGACGCTCAAAGGGCTGGAGTGACTGAGTACATGATTCCCAATCACCACCAAGCAGAGTGCCAGGAGTAACTCCTAAATCACCACTGGTTTTGACCCCAAAACAAATAAAAAATGAGGGTCCGGGAAGAAAGTTTAAGTGACAGAGCACATATAAGCATATATGTGAGGCCCCAAGTTTTATTCCCAGCATTATATGAGTTCCAGAACACCACCAAGTATGGCTCTGGTGAGAATGTCTCCGAGGCTGGTCCCTGTGTTTTTAAAAAAGAATAATTTAGGCACTTCTCTGTGCTCTCCTCCCTAGCCAGTTAATCACCTTTTCTCCCTAATCAGATTCTGTTAGCTTGTAAGATCAGATCCTTCTAAGGACACTGAACTTGGGGCTGGAGCAATAGCACAGCGGGTAGGGCGTTCGCCTTACAAGCGGCCAACATGGCCGACCCGAGTTCGATTCCTCCGCCCCTCTCGGAGAGCCCGGCAAGCTACCGAGAGTATTCGATATGCCAGACACAGTAACAACAAAGTCTCCAATGGAGACATTACTGGGCCCGCTCGAGCAAATCGACGATCAACGGGAGGGCCTTTACCTTTACCTTACCTTAAAGCAATGTCTTTTCTGTATGGACACAGGAAGACAGTTAATATTATGCTTTGTAATTTGGGAGTTGATTGACTCCAAATAATATTTACTCCTGGGCATCTGCTTTCTTGACTCAGTTGCCCTTAGTTCCTAGCACTCCAAAAGCAGGGTCCCGACGAGGGACTGAATGGAACCAAGGGCAAGCTGTGAACTACCCTGGGCCAGGCCAAAGTGCCACGATACTCAACTATAAGTTGAGAGCATGATCATGGACAAATGCTGTCATGATCCAAAAGTAAGTAACGACAAGACTAGGACTCTGCTGGGGCTAGGAATACTAACCTGGCCTGAGGACTGTGGAATATATAGTGAGATGTCCTCAGGAAGAACCAAACTGTAAGTTTATATCTCTTACTGTGCTCATACAAAATGACATTGCTAGAAATATTGGAAGTAGATTTACTACAACTATTTAAGTAGATTACCAGCTGAGGAAAGAACACAATCTTGTTGGGATCCCACCCTTGATTGGGATCTCCTAGTAATCTGGAACAATCTCTTTAGATGAGATTTTCTCCTTGAGTTAATCTCCTGGAGGAGTGGTCTTATCTCTCTTTGCTGATTTGTTAATGTTCAACCCACCTTTGTGTCACCACCCTACGTGATTGCTATATAAACTAAGACTGTAAGCTCGGAGGGAGCTTGGGCTCGAAAGAGCAACAAGGCTCAGTCTGAGCAGGAGGCTGAGGCTGAGGCTGAGGCTCAGGTTCGGGCTCAGGCTTGGGACTCAAGAGGGCAGAGTCAGAGGTGCGAGTGAAGATTGGAATAAACTACAATTGATACCGACCAGCCTGACCCTCGTTCATTCCTTCGCCTGCCCATCGCCATCGACCTCCCTGGGGTGGGGGAAACGGCTCGAGACTACCAAACGTGGGCGGCGGGAGAGAACGCCACTGGAGCTTTTGAAAACACACAGCCAGGTATGGCCCCAAACCAAAAACAAAACGAAACAAAACAATCCAAAAACTCAAAGCAGGCTAAGTTGGTATATGTGACAAGACAGGATAATAGTTACTTGGGATGAGAAGGTATAATAACTTGAAAGAAATGCTAGGCTCCGATAATGGTTGTTTTTTTTTTTTTGGTGGGGGGGGCAAAGGCTTTGTAAGGAGCATACCTCACTGAGTGATATAAGCTGAAGATCGTCAGAACCCTTTCTTACTTCACTGAACTTGCTAAGCTGGATTATTAATCTAAATAGTTGAAAAACAGCCAAAGTAAAGAGATGCATAGGTTGGGTGGGAAAGCACAGGGACTTTCCAAACTTTTCATTGTTTACCAACTCAGGAGTTCCCTAAACCTTACACTGCGGAATATTTACGGGGGTTTCCATTAGATACATACAATGAATTAATTAATTCCAATTCCAGCGTGTCTCCTCTCGTCAGAGAAAATTCTATGCTTCTAATTGCGGTATGATATTCCTGGTGACCAGTTCCTATCCTGAAGCTGTCCAGAAGCCCACCCAGTGTGCCCTCATTAGACAAAAGCACTATCACCAAGAAAATCCCAAAGGACTGAGGAACTCTTGTGACAGAAATCTGGGTCAAAGAGCAAACGGCTGATTAAAATGTGCTAATGAGCTCATCACTGAGGATACCACAGGGGTTTTAGCTCTGTATAAGAAACGGGAGTGAGGAACAGGATGTGAGACCAACATACACATTTTCTATTATTTCACACAGTTATCTTCTACAAATAGGTATGTTAGGGTGAATGTCTAAACTCACTCCTTTAACATGTTCGAAGGTGACATTTTTCATCTGGACAGGATCAACTGCAGAATCCAACCCCGTTGTTGTCCGGAATCGAACTAACAGGAAGAAAACAAACAAACAATATACATAATTTCCTCTAGCGGGCCCAGTAACGTCTCCATTGTTACTGTGTTTGGCATATCGAATATGTCACGGGTAGCTTGCCAGGCTTTGCTGTGTGGGCAAGATACTCTCAGTAGCTTGCCGGCTCTCTAAGAGGGGCGGAGAAATTGAACCCAGGTCGGCTAGGTTGGCTGCATACAAGGCAAACGCCCTACCACTGTGCTATTACTCCAGCCATGATAAAAAACACCAAATTTCAATTACCTTTTGTTTAAAAGGCATTAAGAAATCAAATATCTCTACTCATATACATATACATTAAGTCAAAGTGAGTAGCAGAAACAAGGTCTTCTGAATTTCAAATCAAGCTCAAGGAACATTATACTCTATATTAACATTAAAAAGTTTGTGCGTTTCTTTTAAAACAATAAGTCTCCTGGCCCCGCACCTGGCTGTCCTCGCCGGGCCCCCTTGGAGGGGAGCGGGTTGAGTTTCCCTCCCCGCCCCAACCAGGGCTCCGGCAGCCGAAGACCTCCAGAACCAGCCACCACCACGCTGAGACCACTCTCCACACGCATGAAGGTACCAGCAGAGGAACAAAGGCATGCAGGTCCCGGGGCTGAGATCTCCAAGCCTGCTTGGATCGGGGCTGAGCATCCTCCACCCAGATCCTCCATATTCCAGGAGGCAGGGGTTACACCCACCAACTGGCCCCCTGACGCTGTGTAATCCCATCAACATCTTATCATCTCATTCCTACTTTGGACAAACTGGCAGGCTACCGAATGTAACCTGTCCACACGGCAGAGTCTGGCAAACTCCCCGTGGTGTACCCAATATGCCAAATAACATTAACAATGATGGGTCTCATTCTTCTACCCCTGAAAGAGCCTTGAATATGGCACTTTTAAAAAAATCTCAGGGCTAGGATGAAGGAGACGTTACTGGGGCCTGCTCGAAGCAATCGACGAACAACAGGATGGTCGTGATCGTGATCGTGATTAAAACGATTATTTTCCTCTTTACAATCTGATGATAGAAATCTTAAACCAACAGTTCTGAAGGCCAGTGAAAATAAAAATCAATTAAGAAATGGATTACAGGGCCGGACAGTATAACAGGTAAAAGGTTCTTGCCTTCTCAGGCATCTGTCTTGAGTGGCTTGCCTGAAAATGACTCCTTTGGGGCTGGGTGAGGCACACCCAGCCATGCTCAGGGCTTATACCTGGCTCTGTGCTCAGTGATCACTCCTGTTGAGATCAGGGGACCAAATGGGATATTGGAGATCAAACCTGGGTCAGCTGCGTGAAAGATAAATGTTCTACCCACTGCATTATCATACCTCCACCCCCAAACTCATGTTCCTAATTGTACATCTATTTTTCTCTCTCAAATTAACCAATCATAAAAAAGAGTAAACATGACCAAAACTTATGGTGGGTGAAAAACTATTGGAAGCACTTAAACATGATATTATCACTTCATTTTTTTAATGGAATAATATTTAGAAAATATGATAAGCGAGTGAGTCCCACAAAGGAAATTATGCTCACAGCTGTGATGTGGACAACTCTAGAATGAAATCTGCTAACTTGATTTTTAAAATTAATTCTGGAGGCTGGGCAGATAATACAGCAAGTGATCCTGGGTTTGATCCCTGCACCACGTATGGTACCCAAGCCCCACCAGGAGTATCCCTGACCACAGGCCTACTGTAAATCATAAGTGCCTCTAGGTGTGGCCCCAGGCCCCAATACAAAAAAAAAAAAGAGCCAGAGAGATAATACAAAGGGTAAGGCTATTGCCTTGCACACAACAGACCTGGGTTCAATCCCCAGTAATTCTTATGGTCTCCCAAGTCCACCAGGAGTGATCCCTGAACTCAGAGGTAGGAAAAAGCCCTGAGTATTATGAGGTATGGCCCCAAAGTTCCCCCCTCCAAATAAATAAAAATTACCCCAGTAAAATACCCCCAGCAGTACCCAGGACTCCCAGCACAGTGCTCTTAGGTAACTCACAACAATGCTCAGGGAACTACAAGGCGCCAGATAGCAAAGCTCCCACATGCAATGCAAGTGCTCAAGACTCTGAGCTACCTGCCTGGTTACTTAATTTTCAGTCTGACAAACTGAAAAAATACAGAACTTATTCGAGGTAAATTTAAAAGTAAATTTAAATTTTATATTTTTTGAATACTGCCCTTATAAAATTCTTCTACAGTCTTTTAATTAGGTTTCTGAATTAAATGGGTAACATTTTATAAAAATCTGTGAAAGCATTATCAGGATATAAATTAACATTTTCAACCTAACAAATTCACTAGAGCTTTAACAGGATGTTATTTTCGCAAACTAAGAAAAGCTCTGAGGTTAGAGCGACAGCCCAGAGGCTAAGCATGCAAGAGACCTGGGTACAATGCCCAGCACCTACACTATCTCTGGCACTTCCCAGAATCAACCCTGCCTGCCCCAAGTGCCACTGGATTTATTCCCAAAAACAAAAGATAAAAATACAATGTTCTTTTCTAGCATTAAAACTTTTGAACAATGTAAACATAAGCCCTCTGACTTATGCAAATAGCATAAAGTTAACAACAGGAAAATGTATAAAACCTCAAACTGAACCATTTGAGAAGTCTTGATTTAATAAAAGATCTAGATCCTAGAATGAAATTAATGCCTTATTCTATTTTAAACAGACGATAAAAGATGCAAGTTTTTTTTTAAAGTAACGAAATAAGTAAAACGATTCCTTACCAGATAAAAATGGGTTTTTTAGGAGTCCATATATGCCAAGTAGAAGCAGAACAAAAAGAATCATCCGAGTCCGCCTTAGAGAGTCTGTAGGAAAAGGAAATAATCTTAAGTCAATGACATCAATGAGAACGGGCAACTCAATGAACTGCAGTATTGGGTGACTGGGAATAATCGTGCTTCATCATATGCTATTTTGAAAGCAGGCATCACTTTGTTAGATAAAACTAGCTTCTTTCCAAAGAGTCTCTTCAAAATTGGAGGGAGTCTGGGGCCAGAACAATAGCACAGCGGGTAGTGCATTTGCCTTGCACGCAGCAGACCCAGGTTCGATTCCCAGCATCCCATATGGTCCTCCGAGCACCACCAGGAGAGATTCCTGAGTGCATGAACCAGGAGTAACTCCTGTGCATCTCTGGGTGTTATCCAAAAAAAAAAAGAGCAAAAAAAAAAATTGGAGGGAGTCAAATCAACTTACCATTGGTTTTTTGTGTTAGTGCTTGAGCTTTCAGAAAACCCTCTGCAAAACCAGTTTTAAATGCATCTTGATGAGCTTCAGGTATATTTTTGGTTTTCATAAGTTTGTCCAAATTTTCAACATCTGATCCTCTGTCCCTTAAGAGAAATCCCTATATATACAAACACAACAGTACTGATGACTATATAACTTTTAACACAAGAAAACTACTCACAAAAAAAGTTATTAAAATTCTAAGATTAAGTTTTTTTGATCAATATAAAGATTAGACACCTCAACAAAAGATCATTTAATCAATGCCCTGGAAATGATCCCTGGCCCTTGTATCTGATTCAATCAACATAAGCTCCATAAGAGCACTACTTCCAGTGCTAGGAATTTATGTAGGTAGTTCAACTGGTAATGTGTATGCCTCACATGTATGAAGTCCTAGGCGTATTCTCCCACCACCCACACCACCCACACAGAAAAACAAAAGTGAACACTGCTCTGAATATAGGTGACAGGTTGACTCTGAAAAACTTGATGGTCATATTATCTATCTCTGCTAGAGGTAAAATATAGCATTTATTAAGTTTATTCATATAGTCCAGCCTACAGAAATTCTGAAAATCTGAAGATAGTCAGGAATCTAAAAGACTTTAGTCTATCTGGGGGTGATAGATAAAATATAATGAATGCTCCTGATATCATCTTGATATTGTGTTAAAAGTACTAGGTATGGTGACAAGTACTACCTAAGAAAAAATGGACAACTAAACCATAGAAAAAAACAGAATGAACCTGTCAGAAGCATAAAATAACTTTTAGTGTTCAAGAAGTGCAAGCAGTGTGTGTGTGTGTGTGTGTGTGTGTGTGTGTGTGTGTGTGTACAGTGTGGTACTGGGATTTAAAGTGAGGGTCCCACATATGCAAGGCAGATGCTCTACCACTGATCTACATTTGTGGACCAAGCAATCTTAAAACATCACTTCACTATGGGGAGAAATATAGGGGGTGCAAAGTGAGTGACACGCTGGGAGATGAGAACAGAAAAATGGTAGGTACAGGTCAAATGATAAAATGTCCTATGCAGCATGGCAGAATACAACAAACCAGAGGAATCAAATTATTACTTTCATATATTTTAGACAGACTGGCAGGTGGCAGTCTGAAGAAAAGAAAAGGAAACTAAGATTTAGGCAAGAAATGGCTAAAGTCTGCTGAAAGTAGACTCAGGACCAAACATGATGGCCTCTAAGTATCTATCTGTATTGCAAATTATAAAGCCCCAAATAAGAGAGTAAGGATTGTACTGTCACAGAGGCAGGGAATGGGATAGGGTGGGGGTGGCAGGAGGGACTCAGGGAACAATGGTGGTGGAAAATGTGCACTCACGGTGGAGGATGGGTGCTCGAACACTGTGTGACTGAAACCTGTCACTGTCACTGTCCTCCTGTTGTTCATCGATCTGCTTGGGCGGGCCCAGTATCCTCTCCATTGTGACAACTGTTACTGTGTTTGGCATATTGAATATGTCATGGGTAGCTTGCCAGGCTTTGCCGTGCAGGCGAGATACTCTCTGTAGCTTGCCGGGTTCTCCAAGGGGACGGAGGAATCGAACTCGGGTCAGCCATGTTGGCTGCGTGCAAGGCAAATGCCCTACCCACTGTGCTACTGCTCCAGCCTGACTGAAATCTAATCATGAAAGTTTGTAATGTTTCTTGTTTCTTAAGAAAGAAAAAAAGAAAGAAAGAAAGAAAGAAAGAAAGAAAGAAAGAAAGAAAGAAAGAGAGAGAGAGAGAGAAGGAGTGGGAGGGAGGGAGGGAGGGAGGGAGGGAGGGAGGGAGGGAGGAAGGAAGGAAGGAAGGAAGGAAGGAAGGAAGGAAGGAAGGAAGGAAGGGCTATAGTCTATCTACACAGTGGGATCTGGACTGAAGAGATTTCAGAAATATTTCCAAAGGACGGGGGATAGCTCAGAAGGCTGGAATGCAAGTCTAGCGTGCAGCACCCTTGGGAGGCCCTAAGGCCCTAAACAAACAACAACAAAGAACTACAGAATTTTAGTGATGAATGTGGCAGGAAAGATGAACAAATCTAGGGTGACTTAGATTTCTAGCCAGGGCCAATGTTGCCTATGAACATGAAGAATACATAAGCAGGAGTACACTGGTAGGGGGAAAGAAATCAGAGGGAAATGTCTAAAAGGTGAGTAGAGAGACGAATTTGGTGCCAAGAATTGTAAAAAATTACACATAAATAGAAAACGAAGGAGGAAATCAGACAACAAAAAAAGTCAGGTACTAGGGCTGGAGAGGTAGTACAATGGATAGGGCACTTGCCTTACACTCAACTGACCCAAGTTCGATCCCCAGCATTCCGTATTGTTCCCTGAGCAACCCCAGGAATAATTCCTGAGTGCTGAGCCAGGAGTAACCCCTGAGTACCACTGGATGTGACCCAAAACAAACACAAACAAAAAAGTCAGATCCTAAAGAGACTAAATTATTTTAATAAGCTGACAACTGCTTCTTTGCTTGGGTTTTTTGGGCCACACCCAGCTGTCTCTGCACTGTTTCCCCGCTTGGAGAACAGGGCTTTGCTGCCAGGACAGCCCAGAGCACTTGCGGGACGAGAGAAGGAAGCTTGCTCCCCGTGTGTCTGCTCTCCATTGGGAAGCTGCTTTTCTGAGAAGAGGTTTCATTACCTTGACAAAAGATGGAGTTATGTGCTGGGCTTCTGCTAGTCTTTCAGAGGTGGACTGCAGGCGTCGCGTCCTGGATTTCAAAGTTTTAAAGCCCCGGGACTGTATGAAAACTTAATAAAATAATATCACATTAACTTCTTTTTGTATGTTTTTCTAAGAAAACTACCTAAAATATTCTAACACCATACCTATATATTCCTGTGGATCTTAGTTCTTTGCTCCCCGTACTTCAATACTGTTTCATCCATAAAAACTTCTCATTCTTTTTTCTTCTTTTTGTTTTTTTTTTTGGCTACATGCGCTGTATTCAGGGCCTACTTCTCACTGTGTACTAAGGGGTCACTCCTGGTGGTACTCAGGAGACCATACGGGAAGCTAGGGGCTAAATCTAGGTGGGCTGCGTGCTATATTCTACCCGCTGTACTATCTCTCCAGCCCCAACATCTCATTCTTTTAAAATTTTCTTCAATATTAATGCTTAATTATTTTATTTCCTACCTCACTTTCTAACAAACTATAAAATGTCCTTAACATCAGCCTGTCTTTAACCCCAAAATTTTTATATGCAGATTTTCACTGTGGTTCATCTCTAATGTAATTGTAATTCTGGCTTTTATTTTTTTTTGTTTCATGGGTCAGACCCAGCTGAGTACAGGGGGCTGCTCTTAGCAAGGCTCAGAGTACCTATATGCTCAGGGATGAAACCAGGCTGGCACATACAGGCATGCACCTTAACCCCTGTACTATTGCTCCAGCCCCCGAATCATGTTCTAATAAAATATTAAGACATTCTTAGCATCTTAATATACGGTGCATTTCAGTCTTACACAAATATTTAAAAACGCATTACTTTTAAATAGTCTGTCCTCTAATCACTTCTTCTGGGTATTATAAAACTATTCCATCTGAAAGAATTACCAGTCTCAACCTCTGCTCAACCTGGTGCTATGAGTTTTCCTTAAATATATGGAGAATCTTGCTAATTCATTTATTTGTAAGAACAAACACAGTGACCACTATTGACAAGAGAAAGGCTTCCTTACAACTACCAGGGTGTTTATTTACACTAAGACTAGTTAATGTGTACTTAAGGTGAGTAAGCAAAATACCTTCAGTTTATGACATAAGATCAAAGTAATCTAGGGCAATGTCTTATTTCTTTCTTTGACTGTCAATGCTCAAACTAACAGTCTTCAGAGGCAGACTATCAATACACAAACATCTCCCTTTATTACTAAGATGTCTTATCAACTAGTCTGAAAGTCAATCTCTTGGAAATCTTTTGTTAACCAACCCAGAGTCGACTGTTATTGACTTGGAACTAGGACTTTTCTTATGTTGTACTGGAACTACTTAATAATTCTATTGTAAGTTCCATAAAGAAACTGGTATCTTTTTTATTTATAATGATCACTAATACCTATTTAGTGTTTCATAATAATTTATCGAATAAATAACAAGTGAAGACACTTTATTTTGCTATCATACTGATATCAGGTATTTATGACAGTTCTCAAAATTCTTGGCAGTAATGAAACCTGTTACCATAAGTTTTTGCACAATTATACTTTTACAACAGGATTTTGAAAATGACGAGCTATAAATATATGTGCCCAATTTTTTAAAAAGGAGAATAAATGGTTCCCTAATATAAATAGTATTCTATTTTTGGTGGTACTTCAGCACATTCAAAATAAGCTATTTTATACTTGCCACTTAATTAGACACTCCAAAAAAATCAATTAATAGAACTTGAAGTTCTACTGAGCTACAAATTAATGTTGATAATCATTAACAGAATTAATAAAAACAAATTACATTATAGAAGGTTTTTTTCACCAAAATAAAGTTGTTGCTTTATACCTGGCCAGTACTGAAGATCTGAACAGATACTTTTCAGAGTTCTTGAGTGCTGTTTGTACAAGCAAGAGGAACGAAGAGTACCAAACATATCTAGGTAACCTGGAAGAAAATTAAAAAAAAAAAAAGTATATATTGTAATTGCAAGCATAAAAAAACTACAAGAAATCAAATTTTACTAAATATTAGAAAAAACAAAATATACCCTTTGCCTTCTATCTACATATGTCTGCTTTTATAAATGATTTAAATCACTGCTAAATACATACATTAGTTTCTTACATTATCTTTTTTATCTGCATTTAACTGCCAATTAAATTCAACTCAAAGAAATACAAAACATATATACTCAATTTAAGTTAGTTTAAAACATAAAAAGATAGAGAGCCACCATTCCTTAGAGAATTATAAAAATGTGCTAAGAAACATAAAAAGCAGAGTTACTACGGACTTTTTAAAGATCTGCAGGTGGGTCACTGAGATAGTACAGTGGGTAGGTCACTTGCTTTGCATCCAACCAGGATTTCATACCCAGGATCCCATATGGTTCCCTGAGCCCACCAGGAGTGATCTCTGAGTGGAAAGCCAGGGTAAACCCTAAGCATTTCAGGTATGGTCCCCAAACAAACCTCCAAACATTTATTATAACAAAGGTAATAAGAGAAGTTTTACTCTGATTCTTCATTTAACTTATTTTATCTGATCCTTCAAAATGACAGAGGAGTTACTCTTCAAACTTTATGGGGGAAAAAAAGATGATTTGCAGAAACAATCACCATAGTCACTCACGGAGAGAATTACGTTTCATGATTTTAATCACCATGGCGCACCCTTTTCTTCTCAAGTCACTTATTTTGGAGGGGGGGAGGGGTAGTGTATGGCTGCAGAGGGCACTTTGCAGGTACAGCCCAGGAGGTCCAGGGCCAGTCTCAGGGCTAACTCAGCCCAGCACTGTGGGTCGACAATGAAGTGCTCCTCGGTGCCCAGGGGTGCTGGGGCCACCAGGGCCACAACCTATGATGCTGAGAAGTCATGCAGTGCCGGGGATCAAACTGGGGACCCAAGCATGCCGGACATATCTAGTCATCTCACTCTCCCAGCCCTGAGCCTCACTCCTTGCTGCTATACTTCGTAGCTGCTCTCAGGAAGAGAGCAGTAGAGCACAAAAAAGGAATACAACCAAAGGAGACTATCAGTCCTTATCTTCAATCTCAAAAGCTTTTTTCTCACTCTGGTGCTCAAATGAGTTTTAGGATGAGGCCTTTATCATACGTCCTTATATGAAATAAAGAAAAAAGAATGCAGGATGAGTAAATGAATTATGTTTATGTCACAGAAAGCTTCAGATCAAACGTTCACAAAACAATTCAAAGCTGCCCATTTGTTTCTAGACTTTCATACTTCTTTCATTTTATTCTTATTATCTGTTTTTAAAATCTGTCCTACCATCAGTATAAAACAGACTAAACACTTTGTAAGTACCATCCAAAATGAAAGTCAAGTTGACATTCTTTTCAACAAACTGCTCACCAGATAGTTATGATTCAAATAAAAATATATGTAGACATTCTGCAAAAGAAGGAACCATGATTATTATTTCATTGTATTCTCAGAGATTTATATATTGCCTTGAAATCCATTCAGATTTATTATGTTTAAAACAACATTCCACTATTCTATATGCTATGTATTAAACCATATCTCAAAATCTTTTTATTTTTCTCACTCTAGAACTCAAGTGAGGTCCAGAGTGAGGTCTTTATCATATTGCCCTTATATGAAAAAAAGAATGAATATAAGTGAATGAATTATGTTTATATAAAGTAGGCAAAATTATAGTTTATATTAGATACTAAAACAAAACAGACATTAGTGGGAAAACTAGTGAATAGATTTTACTTTGGAAAAATCAAAATAAAGTGTTTAGTTGAAAGTATTCTGGTTAAAAAAAAAAAGAAAGTATTTTGGGGCTGACGATATAGCTCAAAGGACTACTGTTCAAACTCTGCATGCAGGAAGCCCAGGTTTAATGCCCAAAGCATCATCAGGAGTGACCACTAAACAATGTGCCAGGCTAGCTATAGCCCCCATAAGAAAAAAATTAACAAAAAAGCACACTACTTCTTAATGTCCCATGACTATGTAAGTCAGATCTTCTTAAATTTTTTCCATTCATAGTTCCTTTTACATGAGAAATTTTTATGCCTTATGGTTTGTAGGTATGTAAAAGAGGTATACAATTCAAACATTTATTCAATAAATGAATAAGCCATACAGAAATTAAAATTTAAAAACTGTTTCTAAACGCTCCACCCACTCAGTTATTTGAGCTCAGGTGCAACTACAATTGCTCCCCAGTTCAAGAAGCTAGAATGGTAGTACAATGTTGAAGCTAGTGGAACTTAAGTATTTCTGCAACTTTTCTATAAATTTGAAATCAATTCCATTATAAAAAGTTATCAAGGTGGGAGAAAGGGGAAGCAGAAACAACAGGAAAAAACTTAGTACATACTAAGTATTAGTAAACTGCATTCACTGTAATTATCAATAGTATAAAAACGGCTAGTTTTACAAAAAAATATTAACTTACCATATTTATTTTCAAAGAAGGATTGTGCAGAGACGTGTGATGTATGCCAATGGGAAGAGGCATTTTTGCTTTTACAAAATCCAGGAAGTAGACTGTCTACCAGTTGATCAATTTGCCCAATTTTTAATTCAGATAATCCTAGGTCCCTTAAGTTAAGTACAGACTGAAAAAGATTAATTAACAATATAAACATTAATGCTACCAAGTTACTAAAATTCAATAGTATTTTATCAGTTAAAATCACAGATAAAAAAATTCTAACAGAGAAATAGTAAAATGGGTATGGCACTTGTCCTGCCCATGGCTGACTTGGGTTCGATTCCCAGCATCACCCTGAGTCTCCTCAGGAGTGATCCCTGAGCAGAGGTAGTAGCAAGCCCTGAGCACTGCTAGGTATGGTCCTCAAAGAAAATAAAGCATCAAAAATCGAATGGGCCAGAGAGGTAGTTCAGGATTATGGCTCTTGCCTTCCATGCAGTCAACCCTGGTTCAAACGTTGGCACCAGGTTCATACAATTCACCAAATGCCACTAGGAGTGATTCCTAAGCACAAAGCCACGGTAAGCCCTGAACACAGCCCGGTGTGACCCAAAATCAAAACAAATCTAACAAATGCTATTGTGTTGTTGTTGGTTTTGGGTTTGTTTTTAAGGCGGGACACTCCTCTAAGCAGCACTCAGAATCCAGGAGCCTCTCACAGTGATTTGGCTCTATATACCAAGACTTCAAAATGGAAATGCAAATCCTTAGCAAAGAGAATAATCTCCTTACTTATAGGGTGTTAGGTCCTAGGAACACAGAAATAAGGTACACATAGACATGATCATTGTCACTCAACATGGAAACTGCCACAACAGAGATAACACAGAAATACAAAAACTGGTAGGAGAATACAGAACAGAAAGCAAAAAATTCCCTGGTTTACGTAAAGCTTCACTAAAGTGACAATACTCAAAATGATGGGAAGGAAGACTTAAGAAAAGGGAGGAAGTCATCAAAGGGTCAGAGCAATGTTCAAACTATAATAAAAGGACAGCGAACGTAGGCAAAGTTAGAATCTTGTTTGATTTCAATTCTGGAATAGTTTTATAGGAAGAACACAGAAAAACGAGATGAGAGAAGACTGGTGGGTAACAGGAAAATGATGAATCTAACCTACATCATGACCAAAAGAAGATGCAAATAACAAATCCTAGACAATAGCTATTCTACAAAACCAAAATAGAGACTGAGAGGGCAAGATTCCAGATGGATGTGCCAGTTATCAATCTGTTTCCTCTGAACTATTCTCGCCTCTTGTTCACATCATGCATGTGGGTATGTGCCCTTTGAATTGTGTATGCTTTGCCAGCTGGCACAACACTCAGCTTTGTCAGGAGGGGGCCAGGGAGGGAGACAGAGTGTGTGTGTTGGGGGGGGGGGGGGGAGGAGAACACAAGGGTTTCAGTTCCTGGTTCTAGTGCCTTCAAGCAGCAGGCTTCTTGTGGTAGAGTGAGTGTTGGGACAAACAAGCCTCCATGTGGATAGAGTTACACAGAGCCAGGGAGGAAGAGCAGAACAACTGAGGGGGCAGAGAGATCACTCAACACACAAGCATCCTTTGCAGATGGGAGGCTCCAGTTTGATCCCCAGAACCAAATTGTTCCCAACACAACACCAGGAATGAACCCCCATACAAGGTGTGGCCCAAATACAAAAAAGACAAAAAAAAAAAAATAGTAGGGACAACACGTTTAAGGACAATGAAAACTTTTTTTGAGTGAAGCAAGGGCAAGCTCCCCGTGACGTATTGGATATGCCAAACACAGTAACAACAAGTCTCACAATGGAGACATTACTGGGCCCGCTCGAGCAAATTGATGAACAACGGGAGGACAGTGCAGTGCTACTAAGGACAAATAATAGAACCAACAATGGTTTGTTAGAGGTTGAGAGCATCAGCTCTGTATTTGCAGTATTTCTTCTATTTATCGTGTTTTTGGGGGGGTATACCAGTGGTGCTCGGAGGCTGCTCTGGGCTCTGGGCTCAGGAGTCTATAAGTGTGCCAGGAAATCAACCTTGGCTCAGCCAAACACAAAGTAACCACCTATCTCTCCAGTCGGAGACCTTAGTCATAACCTCTATACTGGTTCACTGGATTCAGCTATTTTCCAAGACTGAAAAATACCTTACTACTGTCCAGTAATTTCAATGATGAACAGATAAAAAAACCGAGAGTAAAAACGGCTATTTATAGTAATCAAACAGTGCAAACAGGACTAAGAAGGGTTGGAGAGATAATACAATGGGAAGGGCACTTGCCTTGCACACAAACTACATGGGTTCAATTTTCAGATCCCACATGGTCCCCTAAGTCCCACTAGGAGTGACCTTGGACACAGATCCAGGAACAAGCCCTGAGTACTGCCAGGTGTGGCCCCAAAACAAAACAAAACAAGCAAACAAAATATCCAGGAGACCCAAGAATATAGCTCATACATTTATGCCTCATGTATACCTGGGTCTGATTCCTGACATCACCATACAAAACAATCACACTAATCCCTGGAGCCTCCCTCCAACTCCCTGAATATATACACAACATATATACATATACATATGTTGTGTGTGTGTGTGTGTGCGTTCAGTAAATATCCAGCATGGGACATCGTACAATTAACTGTAAAGCCACTGAAAATACAGAAAATATATAGATTAAGAAATTCAAAAAAACATTGAATAAAGAGATATTAAGGGGCAGTGAGATAGTACTGGTGTTGAGGTGCTTGCCTTACATGGGCCCAATCCAATTCAATGCTTCCCCTACCCACTTTTGAAGCTCTCATAAAAACCTAAGGTGGAATTGAAACCAGCACGTATAATATAGTCCATTATAAAAGTAAAAGACGATGGATGGCTGGAGCAATAGTACAGAGGGGAGAGTGCTTGCCTTGCATGCAGCTGACCCAGGTTCGATCCCTGGCATCCCATATAAAGTAAAGTAAAGTAAAGGCCCTCCCGTTGTTCATCGATTTGCTCGAGCGGGCCCAGTAACGTCTCCATTGGAGATTTTGCTGTTACTGTGTTTGGCATATCGAATACATCACGGGTGGCTTGCCAGGCTCTGCCGTGTGGGCGAGATACTCTCGGTAGCTTGCCGGGTTCTCCAAGAGGGGCGGAGGATATGGTTCCCTGAAAACATCAAGAGTGCTTCCTGAGTACAGAGCCAGGAGTAACACTGAGCATTGCTAGGTTTGCCCCCAAAATAAAATGTACAAGAAGCAAAGTTAGACATAAATATAGAGACAAAGCGTTAATACTGTTATCCCACTAGAATTGGTTTACTGGTGAATTTTAATTCTTTCACCTTTGTCTTTTCCAAAATTCCTAAATAAATGTAATTTTGGTGTATGTGACAGTTTTGTATTTTCTTTTTTTTTTTTTGAAATAAATAGTTTTATTTAGAGGGTTTTTAAGGTGTGTATGGGGGGAAGAGTGAAAGAGTAACGTATTCAAGAGAGAACACGGGCTTCTCCAAGGGTGGAGAGAGCCCCTGCATACATCCTTGCATTAGACAAGAAAGCATGAAAGTACACATCTCAAGAGGGGAGATGCGGGCAACACATGTGCTTGGGCACCACATGTACTCGGCCACGTGGGCCCAAGCAGCACACGGGCTCAGGCAGCATATGCGCCAGTTTTGTATTTTCAATAGGTAAATTCTCTCAAACCATCATTTGGAAGAATGTCACACTAGAAAGAATATGGATTATCCATACAAAAAGGCAAGAGGAACCAGGTGAACAATATAAAAAGAATGACAATTTTTCATTTAACTAAAACTTCAACTATAAAACTAATTGCACAACTCCTGAAGTAAACGTCTTAAATAATAGGGGTTCCACCCAGCAGTTCTGTGGGGGCGTTGGGGGGGTGGTCAAAGGTATTAGTGACAAGGGTTAGGAAGAATAGAACTCAGGGCCTCATACATTCTAGGCTTGTGTTCTACCATTATCTCCCCCATCAGCAAATTTTCTGTATTTTTTCATGGTTTAGGGCCATACTCAGTGAGTACTCATGAGCATATGGAAGGCAAGGACCTTACCACTTCCTGGCCCTAACTCATTTTCAACTACTCCTCTATTGCCACTGTGTTCTGCCTTAACCTCTTATGGCAGCACTAAGAACATACACTATTTGTGGGTTTAAAAAGCTTGGGAAAACAACTACAGATCTTATTCTCTACAAAAGAAAGCATTCTAAGATATATATCTTTTAAAAATAAACTTGTGCAGAGATTCCTATATAGGGAATTCCCCAAAGCCTAGGCCACACTTAGAATTCTGAGAACAGAAAAACTACAGTTTATAGCTTATACATTTCCCGTTCATTTCATGTTAGAGTTAAAGTTCCTATAGGCAGCAGACTATCATTGCTTAGTATTTTCCCTAAGAAATGGGAGGAGGCTGCTATCTAACACTTGTGGGTTTACTGCTACTATTGACAGAAAAGACTAAATAGTATCAGATAATCCAAGACATGAGTACCAAACAGACTCACATCTATTAAATTAAAGAGGCCAGAGAGCCAGAAAAGCAAAGGAGGCTCCTGCCTTGTATGTGGCTGATGATCTGGGTTCCACTTGGGCCCCAGAGCAACAAGAGTGATCCCTGAGCATAGTAAAGAGAAGGCCCGAAGCACAGATAGGCATGAGTCAAAAATAAAAATTGAATTAAATATAACATGATAATGTTAATAAAAGAAAGTAAATTTTCTGTATGTACAAGAAAAGCCAAATCACACAACTGGTGTGCAAATTATTACCTCACTGCTGCAGGCCTCATGTTCAGGGGCTACATCGCGATGCTGGTTTTGAGAAACGGATGTACTGATAGAAACAGATGTGTTTTTGGGTGAGTGAAAGGCATTGATGAGATGGCTTAGAGGAACTGTAACCTGGAAGATAAGGAAAGTTAAAATTAAGCAGTGTATAAAGAAAAAAATCATTTTAGGTTGAGATTTAAAGTTTATAAACAATGTTAAACACACTGGGTCAGAGATATTGCTCAAAGGGCCAGGAGTGTTCTGGAGCAGGGATGTTTTATTTCCAGACACTGACGGTCTCCAGAGCATCCGGGACTAAGCCTCCTTCCCAGTAGAGGCAAGAGCAGCACATCCCCTGCACACCCTCTCCCCTTCCCCCCAGCATTACCAGGTATAGTTGGAACCAAAAGACGTTAAAACATGCTGCATATCTAAACTATACCTTAGAATTTTAAACACTTAGGTTGATTGCCGGTAGGAAAAAAAACTAGTGTGTTATTTTAGGATAGTGAATCAAAATATTATAAACAATATATATTACATAGTCTCAGCAATATAACTTGTAGGAGTTATTCTAAGGAAATAATCTAACATTTGCTTACATATGATTAAATGACAATTTTCATCAAAAGGAAATTAGTGGAAAGCTTAATATCCTCCCACTAGGTGAGTGACTAAACAATAACGCTATAAGACACTCCAGACACTTTAAAAAGGAAAGCACAAAAAAAAAAAACTAAAATGAAAAAAATATTTGAAAAGGAAGCACACCCCCCCTCCAAATTTATAGTTCTAAATCTCCCTACCAAACAATCCAATTTTAAAAGTCAATGTAGGGGCCAGAGAGATAGTACAGCTGGTAAGGTACTTGCCCTGCATGCAGCCAACCCAGGTTTGATCCCCAATATCATGCAGAGGTAGGAGTAACTCCTGAGCACTGTGGATGTGGTCCCCAAACCAAAATAATGTAAGTCAATGTAATCTAAAAGTTTTTTCCAATAGCTTCCTACTCTCCACATCACTGCTCCTAAGACCAAAGCAGATCATGGCCCTTCTCTCGAGACCTTCTACAGCTTTTCTTCCTTATAATAAAAGCCGAAGTCCTATCATTGAACAGAGAAAGTCACCAGGCCATGGTTGTTAATTAGCTCTCTGAACAGTCCCATGTCTGTCGCCTTTACTCTCAGAGTTCCTTTACGAAAGTGAGAGTCGTTTTAGGGCTCACTAGGGCTTCTCTGTGACCAACTTCATCTAGAGGCCAATCCCTCAAGACAATCCGCCCCCATGGCATCCTAAATCACCTCCTTAACACAAAGTTAGTTAAGAGCCAAAGCAGTTCCTTGTGCCTAACAAAACACAAGACACTCCCATTAAAGAATTCGAAGGATTGGACTGGAGAGATAGGACATGCACTTGCCTTGCATATGCCCAACCCACTTAGATCCCCAGCATCCCATATGGTCTCCCTAACACCCCAGGAGAAATTCCTCAGTACAAAGCCAGGAGTAACCCTTGAGCACCGCTGGGTGTGACCCCAAAACTAAACAACAAGAAAAACTTCCAGGAGTTTTAGAAGCGTGCCAAGAAATGGACACAGATCAAATAGTTTTCATCATAGTTTCTCACTAAAATTCCAGCAAGGGATTTTCCCATTTATTTTATTCATTTATTTTATTCAGTCCTTAATATTTAAATTCTCATCTGATATAAAATCCCGTTACTAATTCAAAACCTTACGTATTTTTCCTATTTTGTTCAATTCTGTATCAATGCACTAACACACCTTAGATTATGTAATTTACCTAAAATAAAATGTTTTTACTCATTCAAAATGTTTTTCTCTATTTCATTCAATTCTATATACCAACTCCAAAAATTAAAAAAAAAAGCGTTTGGTAGATACTAAATCTTTGTTGGGTAAAAAGAATAGACGAAATTGCTAAATTGACTCTTACAAGATGCCAGATCTCGGACCATAAGCTTTACCTATCTCTTTTTTACCTACCGACCGAAATCGGAAGGATCAGTCACTATTTTCATTTAATACCAATCATGAATTTATTTCTATATTACTAACTGGTAGCTAGTATTGAAGCGGAATCTGGGATCAGATTACTCCGTTTAGAATCCTTGCTTCTTTACGTGGTAAACAGTGATTTGGACCATGCCACCAAGCGTTACAAGCGTTGGCAGTGCTCATCACGGAAATAGGTAGTACAGGGCGGCCAGGGAGAAGGGTTTTTCAAAACTAGAGGAGACGGGTGATTGGGGAAAAAAAAATTTTTTTTTCAAGCCTCTGGCGGAGGAAAGGTGCAAAGAACCGCCCGGGCTCCCCTCGGGCTGCTCCAGAGGCGTTCCCCACCCCCACTGCCGGCCCCGAACGCCCGCGCCGAACAATGCCTGCCGGATTCCCCCGCAGAGATTCCACGCGAGGTCTCTGCATCGCGCTTCGCATCGCGCCTCGGCTGCCTCGTCAGCCCGGGATGACAAGCCCAGGCCCGGATACGCAGCGCCCTCCGTCCACTCCGGGCTTCCTGGGTCTAGCGGGGGCTGTTTCCTTTGTTTTCGACTCGCAGACTCCCCTTCCGTGAATAATTCCAGCCAGTCTCAGATCTCCGACGAGAACCCCCTCCCACCCCACGCAGGAGGCGACAACCCGCCAGCAGGGCGGGGGGATGGGGAGGGGAAACGGGCAGGATCGGATGGCAGACTCACCTGGGGCTGCACCGTGCTGGACAGGGAAAACATCTCCTTGGGGCCCTCGGCGACCTCGCCCGCCTGCCGAAAACGCCTTTCTGGGGACGGCCCGGCGGGGAGGCGCCGAGCCCTTTTCCACCCCTTCCTCTTCCCCCTGCCCTGCCCCTCACTCTTCCTAGAAACGGAAAATGGCCTCCCCTTCCTCCAGCTGCTGCAACGACAGACATCTGGCCCGGAAGGCCAGCGCAAGCGCCACAGTACTTCCGGGGCAGGGGAGCTCAGCCACCTGGGACGTGCGTCCGCGCTATCTTCCGGCCGGGCGCGGATGCTCGTGTTGCTGCGGTCCGCGGTGCCCCAAAGGGCTCCGGAGTTCTGGTCAATAGTAGACGCTCAGGATACCCATTGTTCTCTAGCAGTGGATTTCTTTTCTAAAGGGTGATCGCCGTCAACCTATCTTTCTTTTTAATTGAACCACCGTGAGATAGAGCATTACAAAACCGTTCATGATTGCCTTTCGAGTCACATAGTGTTCCAACACCCATCCCTCCACCCGTGTAATTTCCAAGTACCAGCGTCCCTAGGTTCCCTCTCACCCCTTCAAGCCACCCCACCCCCACCCCAGTCTGCCTCTATGGCAGGTACCTTTCTTCTCTTTCTCGCTCTCATTTTACTCTTTATGGTTTGTGATACAGATGCTGAAAGGTTATCAAGTTACCCTTTACCTGCTTCAACACTCAGTTCTTGTTCAGAGTGATCAGCATCGACCTATTATTAAACCTGGCTCTCAACAGGTCCCTTATCGATTCTCCCAAAATTTTGGTTCTTTTGCTTTTTTTATCCTGAGCCTTAAGCCCTTTCAATACAACTTAGTGCTCTTCAACTTTCCCGAGATAGATCTAACATTCTTCTTGTGGGCACTAATCGGTTTCAGATATGTAAGTGACATCCTGTTAAAATGTCAAATTTCAGGGCCAGACCCCACTTCCTGCTCTTCCAGTTTGTTCACATTGTCTGATTTTACTAGTCCTCGCTTCACTATAGACAGATCCAACTGGTTTACATTTCGTTGGGACCGGGAGATCCGCAAGGAGTTCAAATAATAATAATAACAGAGTGCGATGAAAGCATTGGCCTTCTTAGGAGATCCGGTGAAACTTTCAAATTCATGATTCAGATGCTCGTCACCGTTGCCCCATTTCCAGTTCGCCAAGGTTTGTTTGCAATTACAAACAAGATAAATGGGCCTCGCTCCCTGCCCTCGCGAGTTTGACTGGCTCGAGACCGCCCCCGCCCTCACGCCCATTGGCTCCTTCGGCGTACACGAAGGAAAGAGGCGTGGCCAGCGCGGGGCGGGGCGCGGCTGGGCGGCGACGCGGTGACGACAGACGAGCGCGCGCGCGTGGGCGTGGTCTCACTTTGAACCAGGTTGGCGGGGAAGCATTTTGGCGTCCGCTGCAGGCTTCCAGCTCGGTCCTCCTGGGATGGAACCCGCCGTGGGAGGCGAGGAAGACAGCCGGGGGGGCCCGGCGACGGGAGAGTGCGTGGATAGGGTTCTGGTGCCTAGAGCTCCTTCCATTGAGGAATTCAGTATAGTGAAGCCCATTAGCCGTGGCGCCTTCGGGAAGGTGTATCTGGGGCAGAAAGGAGACAAGTTGTATGCTGTGAAGGTAAGAAGTCCAGTGGTAGACGGAAGGGGCCCGACCCTGGCGCTTTCCTCCCTGCCCCCTGAGTCGGCCTGGCCCCAGTGGCCGCTGAGTTCCCTGGCTTGCTGAGCCTCTCAATCCCATCTAACTCATGCCTCTCATGGGGTGACATAGGCAGGCAAGTACCAACTCGCTCTATCCCGCCCTTTTCCCTCATCCCAGTGCTTTTGCAAGCTTTTTTCTTCCTTTACCGGGTTATATTTGAAACTTTAAAATTGCAAACAATTTTTTTACAGTTATTTTTGTTATTTTAGTTCTACCAGGTGCTATAGACTGATTTCAGACCTGTATAACGGAAGGATATCATTGAACAAATCTCATTTCTTTTCTCCAGCCTTTACATTATTCACTGGAATGTCCTCTAAAGACTAAAATGAAGTTTACTTCATTTTACTAAACACTAGACTCAGGCTAGTCTTTGATCCTTTCAGCAGTATATGTATTGTTTCAAAAGCACTCAGGAATTTTTTCAAGGTGCTTGAAGCTGAACTGACCGCTCTTGGTTCCCTTTCACTGCCAGTTTCAGATCACTCACACTTCAGAAGAGTGAATCTGATAAAGGAGGAAGCACGCAATCCCAGTGCCAGGAAGTGATTTCCACTTCCTCTTTGGCATTGCTGTGAAGGCAGATACCCCCAAATCATATTAGCCTGACCTTCAACAATTCTTTCCACCTGAAGTAACCTTAACACTTAAGTTCCCTGTATTCCCTCTCCATATAATACCACCATCATCTCTGTAATTCACTCTAGACTTCTGAGTCCTTTTAACTATATTCAGTCTATATATAAGTTTAGTACTAAGCTAATACTGTCAGCATGGCATTCATTCTTTTTGTTTTGTTTTGTACTTGTTTTGCTTTGGCTCAGGAAATCATATCATGCCAGGGATCGAAACCTGGTCAGCTGCTTGCAAACACCTTACCTGCTGTACTGTATCTCAGACAACTGTGTTCATTCTTATTTTTCATTATGTTCCATTTCCTAGTGTCTCAAGTACAGCCCTTCATTTTTGTCTCCCGCCTAATTTAGCTCTCACTGTTTTTTCCCAAGAAGTACGATTCCGTTTATGCTAAATTGAAGATTGGTTACCAGGCCGGAGCCATAGTACAGCCAGTAGGGTGTTTGCCTTGCACAGGGCAGACCTGGGTTCTATCCCGAGCATCCCATATGGTTTCCCAGGAGTTAATTCCTGAGTGCAGAGCCAGGAGTAACCCCTGAGCATCGCTGGGTGTTACCCAAAAAAAAAAAATTGGGTTACCACCATCATCACAATCCAAATCAAGAATGTTCCCCTACCACTGTGCCATTGGTTTAAGATGTGCCATTTGGTACTAGAGAGATTCCAGAAACCTCTCTTACTCTTCTGCCGAGCTCCCCCACTTTATGCCTCCATAGTTCACGTATTCTAAACATTTCATGTAAGTGTAATTAATTATGCACTATTTGATCTTTTGCATCTATCTTTATTTCATTTGTCTGTTTTTAAATTTTTTTATTTGAAGAGGGTGGGGTTTGGGGTCATACCCCTTGGAACTCAGAGGACTATATGTAGTGCCTGGGATCAAACTGGACTTGGCCTCCTAGAAAGCAAGACCCTTATCCTTTGTACTATCTCAGCAGTCTTCAATTTTTTTTTTCCTAAACAAATAAGCTCCCTCCATTGTACTTCTTTAATCTATTTGCATCATAAAAGAATCAAACATTTAAAAAACTTATTAGCTATTATTTTCTGTGTTTGGCTATCTGGTGGCAATTATTGCTAATAATAATTTGATTTTGTTAAAATGTTAGCGGAACAGAATTTTTTTACTCATCTGAGACAGCGAGTATTTGTTTACCTTTTTTTCTTTATAAAAAGAGAGAGATGGTACTCGGATGCCATGATATCAAGGGCATCAGAAAAGATATTATAATTCCCTTGATATCAAGGTAAGTAGTTGTACATTTTTGGGTTTTGAGGGCCATACTTTGCCATGCACAGGGCTTACTCCTGGCACAGTGATCAGATAGCCATATGCAGTACCAGGGATCAAACTCAGGTTGATCACATGCAAAGCAAGTACCATACCTGCTGTACCCTCTGTGTAGCCCAAGGTAAATAGTTTTGTGTTCGAGTTTTGTTTTTTCTTTGCTATGTTGGCTGTTTTTCTAGTAGTTTTTTTTTGTTTGTTTGTGTTTGTTTTTTTTTTTTAAGGGAAATGACATCCACATTTTATCTCACCTGTTTGTTTTCATGATGGAAGCTTTGAAGCCTGAGAACAGTTTGTAATAAATTCCCACGCTCTTCTTACCTGTTGTAATCTAGGTTGTCAAAAAAGCTGACATGATCAACAAGAACATGACTCACCAGGTCCGAGCTGAGAGGGATGCACTGGCTCTAAGCAAAAGTCCTTTCATTGTCCATTTGTACTATTCACTGCAGTCAGCAAACAACGTCTATTTGGTGAGGAAATCATTTTACTTATGTTTCACTGAGCTGTCACTGAACCAAGTAACTTAAGAAAAAAATCTCTAGCTTTGCTCTTCAAGCCCATGTTTTCCCTTGAACACATTTTTTAAAATTTTTTTGCTTTTTGGGTAACACCCAGCGATGCACAGGGGTTACTCCTGGCTCAAGCACTCAGGAATTACTCCTTGCAGTGCTCGGGGAACCATATGGGATGCTGGGAATCGAACCCGGGTCGGCTGCGTGCAGGGTAAACGCCCTACCCGCTGTGCTATCACTCCAGCCCCAAACACTCTGTTTCTTTGCTTTGTTTATTTCCACTCCAGAGAAGCCTATGTTCTCCCACCCACATATTCCCCTTCCTCTCCTCGCAAATCTTTCTAAGCAAGTTTCATTCAATAAAAGCCATAATACTTCACAAAAATTTTAAAAAATTAAAAAATAAAGCTGTTGGATGCACAGTACCTACTTTTGAATTTCAGCTCTTTCAGCTCTTCAGCTTACTAGCTTTATTGCCCTTGATTTAAATAGCAAATGCAGTGTGTTGCCAGGTAATTTAATTAAATTGTTTGGTCTGGACAAAAATATATGTGTATATAAGATAAATATGTCAATGATATTAATAATTATATTGTTTGTATTTACTAGTTGTATTAACTAGTAAGAGTATTTTATATTTATGTATGTGGAGAGAAAGAAATCTGATGTAATAAATTCAAAGAATGGGTGGATCTAGATGAAGAGTATATGGGAAATCATTCTATTATACCTGAATATTTTTTCAGACTAAACAGTTTTGTTTCTTTTCTTGTGTAACTGAGGATCAAACTCAGGACTTTATATTTGGAGAGAATGTGTTTTGTCACTGAGCCACATTTCCAGCCCTAAAATTTGATATGGCAAATCTATTCACGATCACGACCATCCTGTTATTCGTCGTTTGCCTCGAGCAGGCCCCAGTAACGTCTCCTTCGTCCTAGCCCTGAGATTTTTAAAAGAGTGCCATAATCAAGGCTCTTTCAGAGTTAGGAGAATGAGACCCTTCATTGTTACTGGTATTTAGCATATTGGGTACGCCACGGGGAGTTTGCCAGACTCTGCCGTGTGGGCAGGTTACAATCGGTAGCTTGCCAGTTTGTCCAAAGTAGGAATGAGATGATAAGATGTCCATTTCTTATGGGATAAGATGCCCGCATTTGCGGCTGCACGCTTCCGGGAGCTGGGTTTTATAGTCTCTAAGTCTTGGCCGTTGATGGGATTACACGCGCCAGGCGGCCAGTTGGTGGGTGTGACCCCCACCTACTGGAATTTGGAGGATCTGGGTGGAGGATGCTCAGCCCCGATCCGAGTAGGCTTGGAGATCTCAGCCCCGGGACCCACGTGCCTTCATTCCCCTGCCAGTACCTTCAGGTGTGCGGAGAGTGGTCTCAGCATGGTGGTGGCTGGTTCTGGAGGTCTTCGGCTGCCGGAGCTCTGGTCGGGGTGGGGAGGAAAACTCAACCCGCTCCCCTCCAAGGGGCCCCAGCGAGGACAGCCAGGCGTGGGGACAGGGGACTCTGCAAATCTATATGACATGGCAAATCTGCTATGAATCTACATTGAGTCTAACCAAGAAAATGTTTTTGCAGGAAACATACAAAAATATATTGTCATTTTTAGTGTAACTGTATTGGCCTTGTAACTTTTATGTATATTTTTGACAGATAATGGAGTATCTTATTGGTGGAGATGTCAAGTCTCTCCTACATATCTATGGTTACTTTGATGAGGAGATGGCTGTGAAATACATTTGTGAAGTTGCACTGGCTCTCGACTACCTGCATAGGCATGGAATTGTCCACAGGTACTAAGACTGATATTTCTCCATAGTTACTAAAAACACAAGAACACAGATATATATTAAGTATTTGTCTAACTACTTGTCCATGTTATCTCAGATTATCACTCTAACCTGTGTGAGTTAAGAAATCAACTCTATTTTCCCTGTATGTGTGTTTTGTTTGTTTCTTAATATGTTGCTTTGATTGACCATGAATATTTCTTTTTGTAAAGAAGAATGGTGAATGTACATAACCAACCCAGGTTTGATCCCAAGCACCCACGTGTACTTTCTATAAACCAAAATATATACACATGTGTCATTTCTTTTTCACCACCATACACAAATGCAATATATGTTTTTGAGGGGCAAGGGGGGGCCTTTAGGGTCACACCTGGTGATGCTCAGGGGTTTCTCCTAGCTCTTCACTCAGGAATCAATTCTGGTGGTGCTCAGGGGACTATATGGGATGCCAGGGATCATACCCAGGTTGACTGTGTCCAAGGCAAATATCCTCCCTTCTGTACTCTCACTCTAGTCCCACAAATGCTGTATTTCATAATCCCATTTGATATCTATGTTCTGCTCTTTGTAAAGAAAGTCAGATTAAGTGGTTCTACTGTGTGAAGACTTGATTTCATGGCTCTTAAAAGAGATAAATGTATTTTTGACCCCCTTTGCTCTTTGTCTAATATGTCTTATTTATTTCATATACTAATGAGTAGCATGATTTTTTGCTTTGTTCTTGGGCTAAGGGATTACTCCTGGCTTTTTGCTCAGGAACCACTCCTGACAGACTCAGGGAATCGTGGGGGATGCCAGGAATCGAATCTGGGTTAGCCACATGCAAGGCAAGCACCCTATCCACTGTACTATTTCCCTGACTCAATAATATGATTTTTTTAAAACAAAATTTGGGCCACACCCATCTTGGGCTACTTCCAGCTTTGTGCTTAGGGGAGCTATGTGGTGTCAGGGATGGAATCTGGGCTCCCTGTGTGCAAAACAAGTGATCCCATTCATAGAATGCTCTCTCTGATACCTATGATTAAATCAGTTAACTTTCATGAAAGGTGAGTAATTTGAGATTTCTTTTCTGCGGTTTGGCTTATTTTGGAGTGTAATTCTTTAAATTTCCTGTTTTTCCCAAATAAATCTGATATCAACACTAATGTGGTTCATTTTCAGTTATCTGCTTTGTCTTTTTTTTCTTTTGGTGCAGGGATTTGAAACCTGACAATATGCTTATTTCTAATGAAGGTCATATTAAACTAACAGATTTTGGCCTTTCCAGAGTTACTTTAAATAGAGGTAAGATTGATAGCAGGTAAGTATCTTTTTTTTTTTTTTTTTTTCAAGTTCAACACTTTAATTTTTTTTTTTTTATTTATTTATTGAATCACTGTGGGAAAGGTTACAAAGCTTTCAGGTTTATGTCTCAGTCATGCAAATATCAAACACATTTCCCTTTACCAATACTTATTTTTTCCCATGAAGAACCCCAATAAAACCCCACCCCCCACCCCTCCCCGTCCCTGTGAGGCAGATGAATTCTAGTTAACACTCTATCCGCTTTGATTAGATTGTTTCAATAAAAGATTCACCACTATTATTTAGAGTTTACCCCCCCCCCCCCCCCAAATCAGACATGCTGAAAAAGCATTGTGAAGTGATTTGCTTTCTCCAGCTGGGTTCAAGAATTAAATGTTGGTTTTGGATTTCTGCTATTTTACTTATTGACCCTGGAAGTATTTCTACTGAAAGTCAGATAGTTAAGAAATTGGTTTCTGTGTTCTGGAGTCGTGGCCGTGCTGGAGAGCCGCTCGTGGGGGGCAACTGGTGGCCTCGGTAGGGCATGAAGGGCGGAGCGAAACGCCCCCCTTCCCATGAGGTTTTAGTCGCCCCCACACTCCCGGCTCATACCTGCTGTCCACAAGGCTCCCATGTGGCCGCCATCTTTCTTTCCAGAGAGGAGAGGGCGAATGGGGCAACACCCTTTCCCCTCCGGCAGACTTGATGGGCTGGATCAACGCATAGTCCATTCACTTTTCTGCTCCAAGCTGCTGGGTTCTGCATTAAGTCCTTGTGCTTCTGGGGCCATGGCCGTGCTGGAGAGCCGCTCGTGGGGGGCAACTGGTGACCTCGGTAGGGCGTGAAGGACGGACCGGAACGCCCCCCGACCCATGAGGTTTTAGTCGCCCCCACTCCCCCGGCTCATACCTGCTGTCCACAAGGCTCCCATGTGGCCGCCATCTTTCTTTCCAGAGAGGAGAGGGCGGCAGGTAAGTATCTTTTAAAAAATCTTAACATTTCAATTTTTTTTTTAAGAATTTGTTTTCAGGGACTGGAGCAATACTACAGTGGGTAGGTCGTTCGCCTTGCACGTGGCCGACCCAGGTTCGATCACCGGCATCCCATATAGTCCCCCAAGCACTGCCAGGAGTAATTCCTGAGTGCAGAGCCAGGAGTAACCCCTGAGCATTGTTGGATGTGACCCAAAAGGCAAAAAAAAAAAAAAAAAAGAATTTGTTTTCAGCGTGGTGTCTGGAGATTGGTTGAAACCAGCTGCTTATATCCCTTGTCCAGAAAATGCACATTTCAGTCTCTACTTGTCATGGACTCCAGCCGTTTTCTTTGTTAATTTATAGTTAGTAAAATATGATGATTTTTTGCTCCAAAATAGAATAGAAATCTATAAAGCTTTTTCCTTTGAATTCAAAAAGAAAAAAAATGGGAATACTTCCTCTAGAGCAGTGGTTTTCAACCTTTTTTGCACCCCTGCCTCCACAGTCCATACACAGGTCAGATGACCTGGAGTTAATAACCACAGAGCTAGATGTGGGAAACACGATCTTTTCACTAGTAATGAAGGAAAACCTCATTTAAAAGATAAGAAATAGGGCCCAGAATGACAATACCGTAGGAAAGGCATTTGCTTACACATGATTGACCTGGGTTCAATCCCTGGCATCCCATATGGTCCCCAGAGCTTTTCCAAAAGGGATCCCTGAGCTCAGAGTAAGCCCTAAGCACCACCAGGTGTGGTCTCAAAAACAAAACAAAAAAATTAATAAAATTTGAAAATTTTGAAAAAGAAAACAAAAAAATCAACAAGAGAAAAGGATTGTAAAAGGCAGTTTTCAGGCTGGAGTGACAGTACACTGGGTAGAGCATTTGCCTTATATGCAGCTTACCTGGGTTTGATTCCCCAGCACCCCAGTTGGTCCCCCAAGCACTACAGAAGTGATCATTGAACACAGAGGCAGGAGTCATCCCTGAGCACTGCTTCATGTGGCCCCAAAATACACAAAAACAAATGAAAACATAATTTTATTTGTGATAAAATTTAGTTTAGATCACCCATGTATCCACAGCATTTTATAAATCGTTAAATATATTGGAAATCTACCTTGTCATTTTTCTTTTCTTTTTTTTTTTAGCTTTTTTTAAGATAGGCTCTGGTCCTTTATCTTGTTATTTTTCATTGTTGTCTTGATTAAAGAGATGACCATTTAAAAATAAATTAAAGTGCAGGAAGTTTTCCTGCAAAAATAAAATAAATAAAAATTAGGTCAGGAAGAGAATACAAGGATGCTCCCAGCCCAAGTTCAATCCCTGTCCCCACTTGTCCTCCTGATCACCTACATGTGTAACCGTAGAATCTCCCAAGCATCATCAGGTGCAGACCTGGAGACCCCAAGCATAACCAGGGTGACCCTGTGGTCCGGTACATGCTCAAGCAGCACAACATACTCAGATTCTAGCACTGAACTGCCCGCCTAGGTAGTCAGGTGTCACCAGAGTGGTGCCTGGCCCTCTGACTGTTTAGGAAGCCCGCCCAGGAAAAATAAAAATGGTTTTAGCAAGTAGGACAAGAATGTAGCTCAGTGATAGAATGTTTGCTTCCAATGTATGTGGCTCTGGGCGTGGTTGCCAGTAGCACACACGCATACATGCACAATAATAAAATCAAATAAATTAGGGGCCGGAGCCATAGTACAGTGGGTCAGGTGCTTGCCTTATACATGGTTTCACCCTGGTTTGATCTTTGGTACCACTATAATCCCCTGGCCCCTGCCAGGAGTAATTCCTAATCATAGAACTATAAATAAGCCCTGGGCACTACTGGGCATGGCCCCCCAAAAGAAAAGACCAAAGAACAAAAATTATCTTACTTCTTTTACCATTTCATCTGTAAAGAAGTCCTGTAGTATTCTGTATGAATACATTTTAAATGTAATGCCCTGAAATCAAATCAGTTTGGGCCACACTTGGCTCAGGGTTTATTCGTGGCCCTCTTCAGGGATCACTCAGGGGACCATGTGGAATACTGGGGATCGAACCCATTCAGCTATGTGTAAGGTAAATGTCCTACCCACTGTGCTGTTTTCAGTCGTCAGTTTCTGTCACAAATATACTTGTTAGTTAACATGAGCCCTTATGCTTTTATTAATTCTGAAATAGATTGAAGTACTGGTCTGAGTTTATATTCCTAATGTCTTGATCCCTGTGCAAGTTTTTCTTACACCTCTTTTTTTTAAATTTAACTTACCAAAAATTATTTTGTTGCCTATGGGGTAATATTTGTTTAGTGAATAAACGCTCCCTAAAAATAAGACTGGCTCATTATAGGATTTTCTATTCGCAAGTAAGACTGTTCTATGAAACTTGTATTCAATTAGTTGCTCAGTTGATGTGTTTACTCTGTGGCAATGTGGCTTCCCTTGGTATATTTGTCTTCACAAGTTAATCTTGTAGCTACTGTTAATAATATAGAAAAAGGGACAAAGTTCAGGCAGATTATTATCTAGTCAATGACAGTTGAAGTTTATAAGAATTTCACCTACTTTTCTTTCTACATGTAGATATTAATATGATGGATATTCTTACAACACCATCAATGGCTAAACCTAGAAAAGATTATTCAAGAACCCCAGGACAATTGTTATCTCTTATCAGCTCTCTGGGATTTGTAAGTACTTAAAGAATACCCAACATGCCCTTTCACAATTGCCCTTTAAATTCTTTAATCTATTTTTTAACTAAATGATAAAAATAAATTTTAAAGATCAAGTATGTTGGGTTACTTTAACAGTTTTTCTAGTTAGGAATTATTTTGTGACGGTAAATCTTAGTGTTTATTTTTATCTCTATTCTTTTAATAGTTCACACCAGTGACCCAAAGCAATCAACACTCTGCAGATATTCTTTCAACTCATATGTCTGAAACATCACAGCTTTCTGAAGGAATAACTTGTCCTATGTCTATAGATGATTCTAACAGAATGTTTCAATCAGGTGAGTATAAATGAAAAGGAAATTCATTCCAATAAGTATGTCCTTTGAGAACCAAGCTTTTCAATTTGTTATTATTTGGTTTGGGACCATGTCCAGCAGCCTTATATGGGACTGACCCTTAGTTTGAACTCCTAGCACCTCAAAAGTTCTTTTTTGTTTTGTTTTTGGGCTACGCCTGGCAATGCTCAGGGGTTACTCCTGGTCTCTGCACTTAGGAATCACTCCTGGAGGTTCTAGGGGGACCAAATGGGATGCCAGGGCTGGCACCTCGGTCAGCCATGTGCAACCTACCTGCTGTGCTGTCTTCAAGTGAACCTCATATGTTCTGTCAAACATTTCCGAGAGCAATTCCAAGCACAAAGTGAGGATTATTCCCTGGGCACTGCTGGACATGGGCCCAAGCCTCCCTAATTAAAACCCTCTTTGAACGTGCATAGTGAGCCTCAACATTAAAATAAAACAACTTGTGGAGCGGAGATTTAGTACAGGGGCTAGCGTGTGCCGATACTGGCCAGCACCACAGGCCTCCCAGGCATCAGGGGGTGAAGCCCTTGAGACCCCGAGTGCTGGCATGGGAGGCCCCGGAGGACCCTTGCTCTGCGGATCTGGAGTACTGAGCCGCTGGCCCAACTGACTGCGAGTGGCTGCCAGAAAGCCCCTAAACAAAAATATTTTACAGTCATTCTGATATTAGCATTTTAGACATACCATTGGAGACCAAGTTCATTGTCCCTCTTCCACAGTCCCCAGGCGCTTCTCAACCCCCACCCTCCCATTTTTCTGAGGCGGAATCTCAGAGTTTGTTTCTGTTTGCTATTGTCTATTCCCTTGCTTTTATTTACTTATTTTTCAGGGCCTGCTCCTGGCTCTGAGCTCAGGAATTACTTCTGGTGGTGCTCAGGGGACCATATGGGATGGTGGGGATTGGCAGTATGCAAGGCAAATGCTGTACCCACTGGACTGTCGCTCTGGCCCCATTCCCTTTCATTTTATTTATTTATTTTTTATTTATTTTTTGCTTTTTGGTTCACACCTGATGATGCTCAGGGGTTACTCCTGGCTCTGCACTCAGGAATCACTCCTGGAGGTACGCGGGGGACCATATGGAATGCTGGGAATCGAACCCGGGTCAGCCACATGCAAGGCAAACATGCTACCTGCTGTGCTATCGTTTCAGTCCCTCCCTTGCTTTTAAAACTATGGTTTTAGGAACCAGGGAGATAGTAAAGCCAGTAAGGCATTTTCCTTGCATCCTTTATATTACATATGGTCCCTCAAGCATGGCCAGAAGTAATTCCACACTGAGCATCATTGGGTGTGGCCCCCAAACAAATAATAATAAAATTATTGTTTTAATTAAACCCAAATTAAATTGAGTAAATTTGGTCGCATTCCAACCTATACAACATTGAGGTATACCACATGAATAATGCTTCTATATTAAGAGTTTCTGGTTTGTTTTGTTTGGGGGTCACATCCAGCAGTGATCAGGGCTTCCCCCTGACTCTGCCACTTAGGAATCACTCCTGATGGTGCTTGGGGGACCATATGCAGTGCCAAGGGTTGAACCTGTGTTGGCTTCCTGCAAAACATGCTATCTCTCCATCCCAAAGTTTCAAATTATTAATTAGTTCCCTTGGCCTGGTTTCTGCATTACTAATATTAAGAGTTGCTTTGTTTTAGGTGGGAGAAATGGTACAATGGGTAGGATGCTTGCCTTGCACATGGGAATCCCCGATCCCTCATCTGATCTATTGAGCCCCACCAGGAGTGATCCCTGAGCACAGCCAGGAGTAAGACTTGAGCACAGTTGTGAGTAAACCCCACCCCCACCCAAAAAAAATCACGGAAAAAAGAGTTGCTTTTTTGTTTTAACTTTTAGAAAATCCACGTACATGCTAAAAACACCTGAAGCTGTATTTGTGGATTACATAATGTTTGTGTAGAAATATTGGTGACATGCAGTATTTAACTGCACTGTAGCACTACCCTCCCATTGTTCATCGAGTTGCTTGAGCGGGGCCAAGTAACATCTCCATTGTGAGACTTGTTGTTACTATGTTTGGCATATCCAATATGTCATGGGGAGCTTGCAAGGCTTTGCCATGCAGGCGAGATACTCTCAGTAGCTTGCTGGGCTCTCTGGGAGGGGCGGAGGAATCGAACCCGGGTCCACTGGTTCACCCGTGTGCAAGGCAAACGCCCTACCCGCTGTGCTTTCACTCTAGCCCACAGTATTTAACACATAACGTAATTATCTACAGGTCTTGAAACAGTTGCCTCCAAGCCGGGAATCCCTGTGAAGTGTCTAACTTCTAATCTGCTCCAGACTAGGAAAAGACTGGCCACGTCGAGTACCAGTAGTCAATCCCACACTTTTCTATCCAGCGTGGAATCCGAATACCACAGCAGTCCCCAATGGGAAAAGGATTCCCAGGTTAGAGTGACATTTATCTGAACCCAAAGCAATTCATTATGTATGTGAAACTGAGGATAGAAGCATTTTAAGCTTTTACATAAATTCTCTAAGCAAATGAAATTGTTATATAAGTTATAATCAAGGGTTATCAGAAATTTTTATTTTCTGTACATTTTGTCAGTTTCTTTTGAAATATTTTATTTCATGTTCACGTATATTGTTATGACTTGATATACAATAATAATTCCATATTTAAAATTTTGGGCGGCCACCCATTGGTACTCAGGAGCTACTCCCCACTCATTTGCTTGGCCAGGTCATGCAGTGCTAGGAATTGAACCAGAGCCTCCCATATGCTAAGCGTGCACTCCAGCCCTTCCTTTGAGCTCTGTCTCAGACCCCTAATTTTTTTTGGGAGTGGTGGTGGAGGGAGATGGGATGCTCAGAGCTTGCTTCTGTACTCAGGGATCAATCCTGGTCATCTTTCAGCGCCCAGGATTAAATCTGGGTCAGCTGCATGCTAGGCAAGAGTCCTGCCCACTGTCCTGTCACTCCAGTCCCTAATTTTTGCAGTAAATCAATAGTGGTGGACTTAACTTCTAGTGATGAATTTCTTGACAGAAACATTTGCTTGCTGGATTTTTTTTTTCTTCTTATGTCAAGAGGTGGATTGAGGACCACACCAGTAGTGAACAGGGCTTACTTCTGGCTCTGTGCTCAGGAGTGACTTCTAGAACTGCTCTAGTGACCTGCTATGCCAGAGATTAAATGAGGGTCGGCCACATGTCATACCTTACCTCCCGTGCTCTCTACCTGGCCCTTGTTGAAATTTTTTAACCTTTGTCTTTTTCTTTATTTTTTTCTTCTTTGGTCCTCCAGTGGTTCTGGGGCTCACTAGGTCTACCCCTTGTGGAAGTTGGAAGTCCATGTGTTTTTGGGGATCAAACTTAGGGCCCTAAGAATGCTAGGTATGCACTCCAATCCTTTGAACTCTCCAACCCCTTAGCCTGTGTCTTAGCTGAAAACTTACACTGCCTCTTTCTATATTGTTTTCTGACAATTTCTCATTTGGTGGAATGGTAACTTTTCTGGATCAGAAATAAATTTTAGGACTGGAGAGAGAGTGGAGTGGATAAGGTGTGCCTTGCACATGGCCCACCTGGATTCATTCCCCAGCACCACATTTTGTTCATGGAGCACTGCCAGGAGTGATCCCAGATTACTACTATGTGAAGCTCCAATGCACCCCCCCACCACCCTGCCCAAAATAAAAGTTAATGTACAAGATTCCAGTGGCAGTGCTTAAACACAGGAGCTCATCGTGAAATGTAGTTACAAAATTTTCATGATTGAGTTTAAGCTGTACAATGATTGAACACCCATTTCTCCACCAGCGTACATTTTCCACCACCAGTGTCTCCAGTATCCCTCCCACTACCCCCACCCCACCTCCTACTTCTATGGCAGACACTTTCCAGCTCAGTATTCTTTATTGCGGGGGACGAAGGGGGTCACACCCAGCAATGCTCAGGGGTTGCTCCTGGCTCTGCACTCAGGAATTACTCCTGGCAGTGCTTGGAGGACCATATGGGATGCTGAGGATTGAACCCGGATCAGCTATGTGCAAGTCAAACGCCCTATCCTCTGGCTCTCCCTTCCTTCCTCAACTAGGGCCACACACCCTGTGATACCCAACAGTTTGAGGGAGCCTGATGGCTTACGTTCGGGTCCACTGGTGCTGGGTGTTCCTCGGGCCACATGGGCAGTGCTTAGGGGTGCTGTGGTACCCAGGATTGAACTCCGAGCCTCCACTTGAGCTCTCTCCCCAGTGCCAGATTCCTCTTTAGATTCTGTTTTCATTGTTCTTTTGTTCCACTGGAGAATGGAAGTAGAGGCTGGATCTATTTATGGGTCATTTATCCCAACTCAGTGGGCTGTAGAGATTTAAAGCAAAGACTTTCAGGGCCAGGGAAATGGCTAAATGAGTTCAATGCCTGCTTTGCATGCAAGAGGTCCAGATTCGATCTCTGGCACCACATGTTCCTTGGAGCGCAGCTAAAAGAGACCCCTATCCCCCAAACATAACCATGTTTGGCTTCAAAAAAAATAAATAACTTGCGAAAAATTTTCAGCTTTATATTTTAAAAAATGGGTTTTGCCTCTTTTTAGGAAAATGACGATGTACCACGGGACTCTGAGGTGATGAGTTGGAATACGAATGAGGAACCTTCATGTGCAAAATTCACAAGTGCCCGCAAGACCAGCAGTTTGGACACTAAGCATCTGGAGTTAGCCCTTTCTCCCATCAACAGCAGCAGAGCTGACCCTGCCACTGGCACCTCTTATGTCAACCTCACTGAAAACCACTTCCTCGGGAAAGCTTCCTGGGAAGCAAGAGAACTGGATATAAATAATATGGCCACTGACACAATGCAGTCGGGACTGTATCCAGCACGTCAGTGGACTGTGGATCCCAGCAGCATGACTGAAGAGTGCCTTGGAAAAAGAAGTTTTAAAAGAAACATTGAGTTAGTTGACTCCAGCCCTTGTCGGGAAATCATACAGAATAAAAAATACTGCACTGACATGAAGTGTAGCAATCCGATGAGAGATGGTCACACAAATCAAAGCACGGGCTTAACAACTGAAATCCAGGACCTTCAGCTCTCGGTACACAGAAGTCAGCAAAGTCACTCTGCAGATAAGGAAAACACTATCTGTGCTTTTACCGATAAGCAGCAAACACCAGAAAAATCACCCATCCCAATGATAGCGAAAAATCTCCTATGTGAACTGGATGAAGATTGTGAGGGTAATAAGAAGGATCACTTGAGTTCTAGTTTTCTGTGTTCTGACGATGATAGAGCTTCTAAAACTATTTCTATGAACTCTGATTCCCCAGTTGCTGGCATCTCTATGATGCACAGTCCATTAGAAAAGCAATCCTTAGACCCAGATAAAAGCATCAGAGAGTCCTCTTTTGAAGACTCGCATTTGGAAGACCTGCTTACTGTGTCACCCACTGGCCAAGAAAATACCTTGCCCGATGGGGACAAAAATCCTGCCATCCAAGAGGACAGTGACCAAAAAATGTTAGCTCCTGCTACAGAGGCGTTGAGAACATTAATCTCTAAAAAAAATGCTGTAGCTTTTCGAACTTTTAACAGTCACATTTATGCATCCAATAACTCAGAACCATCCAAGATGAGCATGAATTCCTTAGATGCAATGGATACGTCATTTGCTTATAGTGGTTCATATCCCATGGCTATAACTCCAACTCAAAAAGGAAGATCTCATATTCCATATCAGGTATGTTACAATTTACTAACACACTGTTCTATGTGGTAGTAGTAATAGTAGTAATGATATAATAATAATAATAATAAACTATTAAGGAGGAGCTACTTGCCTCTCAGACTATGTGATATTAATTGTATAGTTTTATTCTGTTTGTTGGGAATCTATGGGTCGTTGGAAGTTTTAATATGGAAAAGAAAAGCTGTTGATAATGGTTTTTTTTGGGGGGGGGGTCATACCAGGCGATGCTCAGGGGTTACTCCTGGGTCTGCACTCGGGAATTATTCCTGGAGGTGCTCAGGGGACCATATGGGATGCTGGGAATTGAACCTGGGTTGGCCATGTGCAAGGCAAACACCCTACCCACTGTGCTATCGCTCCAGCCCCGATAATGTTTATTTTTAACTACACTGATTGGTAGCAGAGGCTCCCCTACTATTTGGCCTACTCCTTTTCAGAAACAAAATTACTCAAGGTAATTTCAGAAACAAAATTACTCAAGTATGTCATCTTTTTCGGGATTTGGGGTGTTGGGGAGAAGAGGGTCACTGCTTACGTCTGGCAACTCTGCACAAGGGACCACTCCTGATAGTGCTCAGGGGAACCAAATATAATGAAGGGGATTGAATGGGGGTTAGCTGTGTGCAAGACAAGCTCCCAACCCCCTGTATTATCTCTCCAGCCCCCAAGTCTGTCTTTAAGCAAACAACTCCAATTGCATCCAATTGGATCCAGTTGGATCCAAGACCCCCACATCTGTGCCCCCACATCATTCTGCCACCCACAGTGGAAACTCTGCTCTGTACTTCCACATACTTTTAATCATAATTTTGTGTTTTGATTTATTTATTTAGTTTTGGTTTGGGGGCCACATCAGGAGATGTTCTGGGGTTACTCCTGGCGCTGAACTCAGAAATCACTCCTGGCGGTGCTCAGGGAATCAGAGGGGATGCCAGGGATCAAGCCTGGGTTGATCACGCATAAAGCAAGTACCTTACAAGCCACTGTACTATCTGTTATGTCCCCAAGGGTTTATATACTTATAATCACATATTTTCCCTTAATTACAGCAACTCTCTGAGGTATAGAATTAAGTTTCACTCTACTAACTTCTAAGAAAATTTAGAGGAGATTTAGGTCATCTCCTTATAGCAAAAAGAGTTGAAAACGTGTTTTTATTTTTATTTATTTATGTATTTATTTTTGGGTCACACCCGGCGATGCACAGGGGTTACTCCTGGCTCTGCACTCAGGAATTTCTCCTAGAGGTGCTCAGGGGACCATATGGGATGCTGGGAATCGAACCCGGGTTGCTGCGTGCAAGGCAAACGCCCTACAAGCTGTGCTATCGCTCCAGCCCCTGTTTTTTTTAATTGTGGAGCCACATCTGGCAGTGCTCAGAGGGCAGCCAGGGGTGCTGGCAGGCGGGGTGTGTGTATCTGGGGCCTCTTTGTAAGCCACGTGTTCTTGGCTACAGCTTCCCTCTGTTCAGTCATTTTTTTTTAACCACAGCCTCCCTTTGATGACTGTTCCTAAACTTACATTATTAGTTCAAGCTCTAAAGGAATTTTCATGTGGGTTTTTTTTTTTTCATTGTCTCTTACATATCCATATTCTATTAGTATCACTGGTGCTTCAGAGTTACTGAGCGCAAGTAGGCATCAGAGCTTTTCACAGTTACTCGTACGGATGAGTCTGTGTTCAGAATTGATCAAGAATTTGAGGATGTTGGCGCATATGCCACCTGAGCCCATGTGCTGCTTGCGCCCATGTGGCTGAGCCCATGTGTCACCCACATGTGCCCTCTTGAGATGTGTGCTTTTATGCCTCCATATCTAATGCTGGGATGTGTGGAGGAACTTCTCCTCCTGTGGGGAAGCCCACGCTCACTCTCGAGCCAATTTTTCTCTACTCTCCTGCTTTCTCTCCCGCCTCCTCTTTAAAGACCTCCAAATAAAATCTGTTTTTACTTCAAAAAAATTTAAAAAAGAATTTGGGGATGTGTTTTTACACTCGGTGGTCTCACTTTTGTTTCTGACATATCTGCTCACCATGACAGGAAGTGAAATATTATCTCTTAGAGTTTCATCACCAGAACCCCATTATCTCCCCAAAAGCATCACTGGGCTGTGCACAACTCGGGAGGGCCCTGACAAACCCAAACCAAGATAACTCTCTTGAAACCTCTCTGAATTCGCAGACCCCAAAACAAGCGATGGCAGAAACTCCGTACCGAACTCCGAAGAGTGTGAGGAGGGGAGCGACCCCCACAGACGAAGGGCGAATCCTGGGAACCCCAGACTACCTTGCGCCTGAGCTCCTGCTGGGCAGAGCCCACGGTAAGGCACGTGGCTCTTGAGTTTCCAAGTGTAGCAATCCAGTTTTCTTGGGAGGTAATTGCTTTCAACTTCTCCAATATTTCTGTTACCTACAGTAAAAGGAAATGGCCCCAGTGTGGTTCTCTTTCCTCACATCTCTGACATGTGGCATAGGAGAAGAAGACTTACAGCTGGTGGTTCAGTTTCTCGGTGACCCAGAGGAAGCCACCTGCCATTCCCTTGGTTTCCTTTGTTCTCGCTGTCTCAGATCTGTTCTGGCTCGGCGTCAGGAATAGAGTCGGGCCTTGACTTCATTCAGCCTGCAATGACCATTTGTTAGCTTCCAAGAAGAGCCAAGGTAGAAATGAGCTAGCTTCCAGCAAAACTTAAGAATAGAAGGATGGGGGCGCGGGGAAGTGGGGGACGGGGGGAAAAGGAATAGAAGAATGATGGGCTGGAGTGATGGTATAGCAGGTAGGGCACTTGCCTTGCACTCAGCTGATCTAGATTCGATCCTCAGCACCTCCAGGATTGATTTCCTGAGTACAGAGCCACAGGAGTAAGCCCTGAGCATCTCTAGGCATGGCCCAAAGACCAAAAAATTAAACATGAAGGATGACGTTTTCACCTATCTTTCTTCCCTTTTTGTCTGTCCATAGTTTTCCCTTCCTCTCTTTTGCACTGAATTACTCCCTGTCATTTTCAGGAGTTTCTACCAGAGTCCTTTGAACTAGATGAATCAAAGCTACAGAAATGTCTTTCGTCTCCGTTCTGGAGACTAGAAGTCTTAAACTCAAGTGCCGGCAGGCCTTTGCTCGCTGCAGCTCACTGGGAAAGCCTCCTTCCCTTGTCAGTCCTGCTGGTCTCCTGGCAGCCCTTGGTGTCGCCCAGCCGGTAGGGGCATCTGGTGGCTGTGCGTCTTGTTATGCGGCTGTGTTCTTAGAAGGACACCGGTCAGAGTAACTTAGGGGCCTCCCTGCTCCTGTGTGACTCAAGTGAAGCCAATGGGTCACAGCTGCCAGGACCTTATTTCCAAATATGTCATATTGGGGGCCTCAGGTTTAGGATTTATAACGTAACTTGTTCAAACCTTTTTCTTTAAAAATTTTTGTGATAATTTAGGTAATAGGATTGCAGTGTTATTGACAAGTTCACTGCATGCAGGCTCACATACACACACACACACACTCACACACACATACACACACACCACCACCACAAGGAGCCTGACCCTATGGCACCAACACCACCATCCGGTCCTCATTCTTCCTGCTTGGTAATCAGTTTTGTGATTAAAGCTAATCATTGTTCAATGCTGTCTATTCCCTGGTTGATTTTCTGTGATTTTTCATTGTTGATGTGTTTCGGTTTTGTTTTGGGGCCACACCCAGTGTGCTTAGCAGCTGAGCACTTAATCTTGCCTGGCCTTGCAGGAGCAAAGTAAAAGGCTCAAATACCTCAGATCTTGCTATTAGTTTCATCTTGGTACTTAGTGATATGTTTTAAGATATTCTCTATAAAAGCCATATTATACACTCTTTAAAACAGTGAATACTAAAACACCATTTCTAATGAATAGCAATTCCCTGCTTCTTCCAGACTTCAGGTCCAGGGAGTCCCTTCAGCATTTGTGTTTTAGCTGGTATTGGCCTATGTGAATTTTTGCGAATTTTTTTTGTCAATTTTTTGTTAAACTTATTCATGTTAACTAGCTTTTTGCTAATTGATAATCTGAATTTCTTAGGAAAAAGAAGAGGAAATAATTACCACTTTTGCAAATGAAAGTAATTTTGGTTTTTGTGTCTTATGAAACCAGAAGTAAACTTGGATGACTGCCTTGAATATAATCATATCTTTATATAAATAATTGATCAAACAGTTATAGAAAATGCTTGCAAGTCACCATCTCTTAAATTCTAGGTCCTGCAGTAGACTGGTGGGCACTTGGAGTCTGCTTGTTTGAGTTTCTAACAGGAATTCCACCTTTCAATGATGAAACACCACAACAAGTATTCCAGAACATTCTGAAAAGAGGTGATTCTTCTCTCAATATAGATGAGTTTATCTCTGTGTACCATTTTGAGCAATAATTAACTTGCTTGTTTGTATTTGTAGATATCCCTTGGCCCGAAGGTGAAGAAAAGTTATCTGATAGTTCTCAAAATGCGGTAGAAATACTTTTAACCATTGATGATACAACGAGAGCTGGATTGAAAGGTATAGTTTTGTTCTTGTAAAGCCCTGATTAGTTTCAGGTGAAGAATGCTAATAGTGATCTCAAATTCTAATACAGATTGTCGATAAATGCTAAATTGGTTTTAAAATTTTCATTTTGAGGCCAGAGAGGTAGCACAGGGAATAAGCCAGTTTGAGTCCTGGTACCACATCTGGTATACCCCAAGCACCAGTAGGAGTGGTGGCCCCTGAGCACTGCTAGGTATGGCCTCATCCCACAAAAAAATAAATTCTATTTATTTCCTCCTCTAAGTATGCTTTGATGTAGCTGCAGGTATTGCTTATTAAAATTCAATGTGGGCTAGTTGTGCTATTCACTCACTGAATTTTAATAATACTAAGCAAGTCCCAGAAACCCTCTTGTTTGTGTTTTAGATTTTTCAAACTCTGATGTTCTTAGGGCTGGAGCGATAGCACAGCGATAGGGCATTTGCCTTGCACGCAGCCAACATGGCCGACCCGAGTTCTATTCCTCTGCCCCTCTCGGAGAGCCCGGCAAGCTGCCGAGAGTATCTTGCCCGCACAGCAAAGCCTGGCAAGCTCCCCGTGACATATTCGATATGCCAACATAGTAACAAGTGTCACAATGGAGACGTTACTGGGCCCGCTCGAGCAAATCAATGAACAACGGGAGGACCGTGATCGTGACCAATGTTCTTAACCATCAACAAATAGAAGATTTTATTTTATTTATTTAAATTTTTTGGTCATACCCAGCGATGCTCAGGGGTTACTCTTGGCTTTGCATTCAAGAATTACTCCTGGTGGTATTGCAGGGACCAGATGGGATTCAAGGGGTCAAACCTGGGTCAGCTGCATGCAAGGCAAATGCCCTACCTGCTGTGCTATTGCTCATGCCCTGAAGATTTTATTTTTTTAATTTTCATGTTTGGTTCTATGATTTTATTTTACTTTGGGGCCACACCCAGTGGTGCTCAGGACTTTATTTCTGGCTTGTTACTCAGGGATCACTCCTGGGGGAGCTTGTTTAGTAGATGTGTTATAGAGGAGCCAGTCATGGTCAGTGAAATCAATAGAGACAGAGAATGTTCTAGAAGCAAAATCAGTGTAGATATTGAGATCACCCTGAAGGATAAGGATGGGACAGAGGAAAGAAAGAAAAGTTGTGAAGCAGGAGTGAGAGTACAGCGGAGAGGGTATTTGCCTTGCATGCGGTCAACCTGGGTTTGATCCCTGGGATCCCATATGGTCCCTTGAGCACCGCCAGGAGTGATTCCTGAGTACAGAGCCAAAAGTAATCCCTGAGCACCGCGAGGTGTGACCCAAAAAGAAAAGGGGGGGAAAAAAGACAATAGCAAAATAGGGTTGTGGAGGAGAATGTCATTCTGAAGTCATATAAGGCTCAGGCAGACAGAGACTTATTTACATAATTGGTTAGCCCTCAGAGAGGCCTCATAACTCATGGGAGATGAGCAGTGTGGAAGCTGTCCAGGACCAGGGAGAGGCCATGCTTTCATCGGTCACCAAATCAGTTTGTGTGCTAAGAGGCACGTGGCAAGAACATTCGGTCTCCATTCGGGCAAATCATTTGCTGAGGTGACAAATCCTGTGAGATATAGGATGATACCCCATGGGCTATTATGGGACTTGGGTGTGAGAGATAGTACATTCAGCCAACTTTCGTGACACTGACGTAATAAAGTAGGGGAATATCAGTAAGATACTTTCTTCGCCTTTTCTGTAAAATAATACTAACTGATGATGTCATAGTATTCCATTGTGTCGTATGTTTTTCCTAAGAGCTGAAGCGCCATCCCCTCTTCAGTGGTGTGGACTGGGAAAATCTGCAGCATCAGTCTATGCCTTTCATTCCGCAACCAGATGACGAAACAGACACATCCTATTTTGATGCCAGAAATAATGCTCAGCACCTGACCGTGTCTGGATTCAGTTTATAGCACAGACGTTTTCCTCTTAGTCTAACTTCATGTTCTAGAACAAGTTTGTATAATTATATCCTCCTTAACACTTCAGTGATATAAGGGTAAAAAAGCTCATTATTTTACGTGGGTCAGTGAGCTTTTTGACGTGTGTTACAGCTTCCACAGAATTTAAAGTAAATCAGGGGTCTAATCATTAACTTAATCACAGAATTGTGTATATATGTATATATAGCTCGTCAATGCTCTTATTTATTCTGTGACTGCACTTTATGAAGTTTAATGTTTCCAAAAAGATATAATACACTGTCACGTTAGAAAAGGATTGAGCTTGATTTCCTTTCTCATTTCTCGTTGACTTTTGTTCACTAATTTAGTATTAAGCTAACAACAAAAAAATGGGGCTGGAGAGATAGTACAGCGGATAGAGTGCTTGCCTTGCATGTGGCAGACCCAGGTTTGTTTCCTGACATCCCATATAATCCCCACCTCCCAACCCCCCAGGAGTGATCCCTGAGCATGAAACCAGGAATAAGCCCTGAGAACAGTCCATCGAGACCTAAAAACCAAAAGGAAAGAAAAGTACCATGATCACTTATAAAAGCTGTAGCTTCAAGGTCGATCATTTAACTGTGAGTGTGACCTCTAAAAGGCAGCTGGGAAATCTCTTCCCTCATTAGTGTATCTCCTGTGGGAAATGAGGAATAAACAAAAGGACTAAGCTTCTAACCAACCTCACGTGAGACCAGTTTTACTGCCTTGACAAACTGCTTCCGGTATCTTCTCTACAGTACCTGTCTGTTAAAAATAAATAGTACCAGAAAGCTCAGGTGTGGTAGACAATAGCAATTTTAATAGCCTGTCCAATTTGAATTTTTCAAAATGTGAGGGTTTGAACCAGGGCTTAGACTTATGGTTTAGATCTTATATTGGTTTGTTTTGTGCGTATGTATGTGTGTGTGTTTTGGAAGGGGGAATACCTGGCAGTGCTAGAGGTGAAGGGGTTAGCCATATAGTGCTGGGGATTAAACCCAGAGCCTCTTCCTCAGCCTACATCTCAAAAATGTATTTAAAAGACATATGCAATATTACTTACATCTTGGTCTTAAAAAATAACTTTTGTTTGATAGGTATAATTGCACATACTTCAAGTGAATTATCTTTCAGCATCATTCTTTCAAGTTTATACATAGACACACATATGCACGCTTTCAGCATACTTAACCCCCAAAAGATCAAGTTCATATTTAATGTACCATATGTCAGTTTTCGATCTATTAAATTGTATTGCTTTTGCACAATGGCCTTAGTGTGTTTATTTTCCACTGTCGTTTCAGTAAGAACCAGTTAGAATGTAGTTGAAAATGATACAATTCCAGGGCTGGAGTGACAGCACAGCGGGTAGGGTGTTTGCCTTGCACGCGGCCAACCAGGGTTTGATTCCCAGCATCCTATGTGGTCCCCCGAGCACCGCCAGGAGTAATTCCTGAGTGCAGAGCTGGGAGTAACCCCCCTGAGTATCTTTGGGTGTGACCAAAAACGAAAGAAAGAAAGAAAGAAAGAAAGAAAGAAAGAAAGAAAGAAAGAAAGAAAATGACACAATTCCAGAAGTGTTACTGTGAAAGTTAAACCATTCTAGCCGATGCTATATAACTGAATCCATGGTGAAATGGTCCTGCTGAGCTTGCTGCAGTGAGAACAACTTAGATTTAATGTTTCTGGGTACTGTCTTCAAGTAAAATATTAAAAATACACTTGTTAAACTAGTTTCATCATTCTCTTACATTATGTCAGAACAGGGCTGGAGCGATAGCACAGCGGGTAGGGTGTTCGCCTTACACGTGGCCAACATGGCCGACCCGAGTTCGATTCCTCCGCCCCTCTCGAAGAAGCCCGGCAAGCTACCGAGAGTATTCGATATGCCAGACACAGTAACAACAAAGTCTCCAATGGAGACGTTACTGGGCCCGCTCGAGCAAATCAACGATCAACGGGAGGGCCTTTACCTTTACCTTTATGTCAGAACAAGGTTTGTTTTTACCATGCTTTTATGTTATATTCATATAGTAGAAAGAAGAATGACTTTGGAACCAAGTACTGTCCTCCCGTTGTTCATCGATTTGCTCAAGAGGGCCCAGTAACATCTCCATTGTGAGCCTTGTTACTGTGTTTGGCATATTGAATACGTCAGGGGTAGCTTGCCAGGCTTTGCCGTGCAGGCGAGATGCTCTCGGTAGCTTGCTGGGCTCTCTGAGAGGGGCGGAGGAATCAATCTCGGGTCTGCTGAGTCGGCCACGTGCAAGGCAAATGTCCTACTGCTGTGCTATCGCTCCAGCCCACAAATGGTTTAAACCATTGCTCTGTCACAGTAAGAGGCCATAGGCACATTTAACTTAACTACTAATTAGTCGGCAGATTAATAAAAACAGGCCAATTCTCTCAGGAAATTGTTCAGAATATCAGACTTATTAGAAACCTGAAACATTACTGAATAATTGGTGGAAATATATATTGTTCCCAATACAAGAGATAGTGCCCATAAGTAGAACAATTATGAAGAACAGCGTGGTACAGAGACATGTTCAGTGGCACAGCACGTGCCACGTGTGCTGGATCTGATCCCTAACATTGAAAAATACAAAAGTTTTCTGTTCAAGTCAAGCATGTAAAGGTAAAGTCACATAGAATGCTTCATGCTATAAGTGTTTCCTGGGAATGTGTGTGTTTTTAAGGAACACTGTTTCTGCCGGTAAAAATAGATGCATCTGTACTATATAGAATTGTTTCATCAATAGAAACATCTCTCGCCTCTATTATGTAATACAGAAAATATATTCAAACAGGTGTCTGTTTACCTTCACAAACCTCTTGTCAGACCAAATGAAATGCACAGCAAGCCAAAGATGTTAAATAAATGATCATTATTTGGACCTTAATTACTCTACTGTTGCTTGGAGTATTTGTCTTGATGTTGTATTTGGGAAATAGTGCATTGTAGCTCTGTCCCGTTCATCGATTTGCTTGAGTGGGCACCTTAATGTCTTCATTGTGAGACTTGTTACTGTTTTTGGCATATCAAATACGTCACGGGTAGCTTGCCAGGCTCTGCCGTGCGGGAGGAATACTCTCGGTAGCTTGCCGGGCTCTGAGAGGGGCAGAGGAATCGAACCCGGGTCAGCTGCGTGCAAGGCAAACGCCCTACCCGCTATGCTATCACTCCGTCCCAGGAAATAGTGACTATGTAAAAATATCGCTATTCTCCAAATCAAGTGCTTTACTGCTAAGCCACATTCCCAAGTACTCCTAACACAAGGAAATTCAGGTCCGGTATCCATTTTCCAGAAATAACCACTTTTGGTTAATAACCACCAATTACATACTCAGAAGATTGTGGAAACCTTGATAGTTTCACCAGATTTCCTTTCAGTTAACACTGTGCCAACCACAAGGAGGCCATCCTTAGAGCTGCATGGAGAATAAAAGAAAATATTTGAAGGAAGAGGTGTAAAAAACACATACCCCGACCCAGATCCAATATATACTTAAGAGGCAGTCACCAAGACTTTCAGGTGAAAGAAGTATACTAAGAAGGGAGAGGGCAAGTTGGAGACCTCATTTCTGATTGGTCATCTAGCTCAATTGTGCTCCATCCTGAAGTGAGGGACTGAGGGCAAGATTAATTAATGGCCATATCTATGTGACATCCAAATAGCAAATCCGAGGGACCAGAGAGCTAGTACAGCAGGTAGGGCGCTTGCTTTCACTCTGTAGACCTGGGTTTGATTCCCAGCACCCCATAGTCTCCTTCACCCACTAGGAGTGATCCCTGAGGGCAGAGTCAGGAGTAAGGCCTGAGCACCACTGGCCCAAAAACAACAGGCGCTGTTGAGGGGCACCATAGAAACTTGAGCTGGTGTAGGAAGTCCCTGTGTGCTGATGCCAGCAAGCCACACTGGGCAGATCCTAGTGTAATCCCCAGAACCCCCTGGTACCCTAAGCACCCCTGATCTCAGAGCCAAGAGTAGTCTCAGCACCACCTGGATGTACACACACACACACACACACACACACACACGCACACACACACACACACACACCAAAAAAATACCCACAGCACCCCAGTTGTACCACCTCTAATAAGTTCTCATAGCACCAACAGACCTGAGAATGCCGATAAGGAACTCCAATCTGACCCTTTTAGTCAACTCAAATGTGCCCAGTCCATACTCTGAACCCACACAGTGCAGCAGCACAATGGATACATTTATAACGGGGGAATCATGTATTCACCTTGCAACCACCTTCCCTACCCCTCCTTTTTTTGTTGTTTGGGTTTGTTTTGTTTTTTGGGCCACACCTGGCGATGCTCAGGGGTTACTCCTGGCTCTGCACTCAGGAATTACAACTGGAGGGTTCAGTAGATCATATGGGGTGCCGAGGATTAAACCTGGGTGAGACAAGCACCCTACATGTCTACTATTGCTCTGGCCCCCAAGCTTAGAACAGGTTAGAACGCATGTTTTGCATGCAGGAGATCTAGGTTCAATTCCTGATACCACATATTCCCCGAGTAGATAAGTGTTTATAGTGAGAGCAAAGGAGAATATAAGAGGTGGACCTCTCTGCACCCCTGGCTTTATTATTTAGGGTGCTCAGGGGGCCCAGGATCAGATTGCAAGGCAAGAACATTAAACTCTTGTGATAACTCTCTGGCCCCTATTTGCTTAATCTGTTTTGTTTGGGGCGGGGGTGGGGGGGCACACCTGGCTGTGCTCAGGGGTTATTCATGGCTCTGCACTCAGGAATTACTCCTTGCAGTGCTCAGGGAATTATATGGGTTTCTGGGGATCACACCCACGTCTGCCCATGCAAAAGGCAAACACCCGCCCACTGTACTATTGCTCTGGCCCTATTTGCTTGATTTTTAAAACGACCGAATGTAATCCCATCCGCTGTTCTTTCCCAGTCGTTTCAATAACCTAACAGAACAGTCAGATGTACCTGCCTACCAATTTAGTTGATCCTTGATTTATTTTTCCTATCTGACACTGTCTCCTCTGGACTTTTGACCTGCTCTGAATTTACTCCCCCTGTGTCTGGCACTTTCCTGTCTTGGTCTGCTTCCTA